GCGAGCTCCTCCCAGAACCGACGGTATTCGGCACTTTCCCGGTACTCCGGATCGACAAACATGCTGTGATGCTGTGCCTTGATCTCGTCGATCGAGTATCCCAGGGCACCGAGGAAATTTTCGTTGGCATCAAGGATAGTGCCATCGAGCTCGAAATGAATCACGGCCTGCGACCGGTTGAGCGCATCGACCTGACCTTCAAAATCGGCGCTGCGCATTTTCCGCTCGGTAATGTCCGTGGCGATCTTGACGACCTTGACGACTTTTCCGGCGGAATTGACGACCGGGTTATAGGACGCCTGGATCCAAACTTCATTCCCTTGCTTGTCGAACCGCAGGAATTCCTCCGCCTTGAACTCGCCACGTGCCAGATCCTGCCAAAATCCAGCATATTCTTGGCTGGCGCCGTAGTCCGGATCGACGAACATGCGGTGGTGCTGGCCCATGACTTCGTCCAGCGTGTAGCCCATCGCACCCAGGAAATTTGGGTTCGCGTCGAGAATGTGCCCGTCCGGGGTAAACTGGATCATGGCCTGGGAGCGGCTGAACGCCTCAACCGTGGCCTTCCACGAATTTCCGAAAAATACGGTCATATACTTCCCCTTGAAAACAAAATTGGTAGCCGCCCGCATATTACGTATGGTAAGGTAAATAAATATTTGAAGCGAAGAGCATTTTACATGAAAGCGAAGAAATTCACGGATACAATCAAGGGTTATTTCCATAAAACCCGCGCAGATATCAATATAGTTAAAAATGTCACTTTTAATTTACTCAAGGCCAACACTGGGTTGAAAATTCTATCAAGTATATCAATCTTTGATTGCGGGCCGCGAAACTCAGCGGGGCATGCAGTAACCACATTATTCAGGCTTGAGCGAACGCAGTTCGACTAAAGTGCAAACGGTTCTATTGGTTGCGGCGAATCGTTTTAGAAAGTGAGGAGTTGAAGGCGATAGAACCGTAGTGGTTTAGCCGAACTGGTTTCAGTCCGAGATAGCTTCCCTAATTATACCCATAGTTGCAGTCACGCGTGTATCACACCCGATATGTTATGAATTTAGTTGTATTTTAAATTCATATCGGGGGCTGTGGTGCGCGGAATAACTCGGCTGGTCTTTCTCTCATTTCTGCTGTCCTTCGGGTCCATTTCTGGATCCATCTCTCAAACTCCCCCTCACGTTGACAAAACCGAGCAGCTTGTCGCCGAAGTGGTCCAGGCGGCGCGAACCAATCAGCTCAGTGCGGAACGTGTCCTATATGCGGCCGATCAGGCGATCGACGCAGCGGCCGTGATCGTCTCTTCGATTCAAAACAGCCGGCTCATTCATTCGGAACTGAGACGCCTTGCCACCGGTGTACCAGGAGCGCGCGCAATTATTGTCATCGGACCTGACGGCAAGCTAAATCACGACAGTTACAAGTACCCTGCCCTTGCTGTTGATCTATCAGACCGCGCTTACTTCAAAGAGGCTTTGACACGGTCTGGACTGGTGATCGGACAAAGAGCGATCGGTAGGACATCAGGGGCGGCATTCATCCCGCTGGCGAAGCGGCTTGGCACACTCACTTATGTAATCGTGACCACGCCATACGCTCTTGTCGATGTCCAAAGCGAGTGCGGAGACTGCTGGTCATTGGCTGTTCAGCAAGGTGGAAAAATCGTGACGATGTTCCCGCCTGAGGCCGAAGTCTCTCCGAACCTGCTTGATGTTGCTTTGAAATCAAACGCAACGACAGGAGTACGGGTCGCCCGCTACCTGAATTCAGTTGTAGCGATCGCGTGGAGGAAAAGCGCCGACTTTCAGATGACCAGTGTGAGCGTTCGCGGTCTTCCGGATACTGCAGCGGTCGATATCGATATCCACTAGGAACTGCCGGGCAACTTCAGTCCTGTAATTCAGAAACCACCGCTCATCAGCTTGAGCTCTCAGCCAGAGCGCCGAAGCCGGCTGCCCTGTTGAACAGGCAGCCAGCTCGGCAAGCTTGGCAAGTTCGTCGTCTGTGAAATTCGCAGACGAAAATGCGAAGAACCCGACTGCGGTGACAAAGCCAACCGCAAACGCCAGCAGAAGTGCGGCACCAACCTTCACCGTTCCCGGTTTGACTAGCACCCTCTCCTGAATAATCTGGCGCAGAAATTCATCGCGCATTGATTGCCCCTTGCACCCGACAACTGCAACCTAATGGGGAATATGCGCCATGTCTATCGTTACGGGTATCCGGAGCGCGGTTTTATCTGACGTTGTATCGATCGCGAAAATTCACGTGGCTTGCTGGCGAGAGGTCTACTCGTTCATGCCGAAGGAAGTACAAGCCAAGCGAGACTACAAATTCCGTCTGGATCAATGGCTTAGATGGTTTGATGCTCTACCCAATGACGAAGCTCTCTTTGTCCTTTTGGACATTGATGAGGTCGTCGGTTTTGCCATCGCAAAGGCAAACAAAGACCCAGATATCGACGTTTTGGGCGAGTTCCATGCTTGCTATATATTGCCGCACTACCGGGGAGGACAAGCTGGACCGGTTGCAATGATGGCACTGGCCGAATTCTTGAGGGACAATGGACTGTGGCCTGCCTGTGTGTGGGCGTTCAAACACAACCCCTATCGTCGCATTTATCCTGCGATCGGCTGCAAGCCGGAAGTGTTCCGAGACCGGCATATTGCAGGCTTTGCCCTTCCTGAGATTGGGTATCGAGCGCCGGACTATCCCGTGCTTATGAAACGCCTCAACCGGATGTGCGTTTCAGCCGCTCAGCGCCAAACTGAATCACTTCAGACGCCGCATCCTCGTTTACTTGTTCACGGCTGAGCAGATAATCGAGCGTTTCAACGAATTGGTCTGCGACCTCGTCTGGCTTCGTCTTTCGAGGCAAAGTTTCCCAGAACGTCGCAGCGATGTTCCAAGTGAACTTACGAACGATATCGATCGAGGTTCCCTTGACCTCAATCTCAATCTTCTTGCTGGTCTCTCCTTCTCCGGTGGCAAGCCATTGAACCGAAACACCGGTCGCCTTGGCAATCTCGACCATTGTTGAGACCTTCGGCTCTGTGCTGTCAGCCGCATAGTTAAAAACAGTTGCGCGCTTGATACCAGTCGAACTGGCGAGCGCTTCAAGCCCCCCAATTTTCTCAGCCGCAATCTTTATTCGCTGCCCAAGTGTAGCCATGACGAAACAAAAAATTAGACTATCCAGTTTTTTGGATTGACGAATCTAATTTTTTAGACCACCTTCCGTTTTGTCGGCGCGACACGTCGCACCGAGTTGTCACAATCAAAATCCAAAGAAAACGGCTTGCTGCAACAAGCCGTTTTCCAGCGAGGCTCCAAATGGCTAAACCACAACACGTGCCGCCAAATGGATGGGACCGGTTTTCAATCACCGCCGAAATTCATCGACAGGGAATGACATTCGGGGAACTGGCAAAACGCGCGGGCATCACCCTCAAAACGTTTTCCCAGGTCTGGACCAGGACAAACAGACGGGTCGAGAAGGCAATCGCCAGCTTCCTTGAAGTGAAACCCGATGACCTCTGGCCTGACCGGTATCCCATCCGATCCGCTCGAATCCTTTCTAGCAAACATGCCGACCGCAGCGCTAGCCAGAAAGCAGGGTCGCACGCGGACAGGAAGGCTGCCTGATGGCTGGTATCCGTCAGCAGGCAACGGGTGGCCAGACATGAGTTTGTCTCTTGGGCTCGCCCTCATAGCCTTTGCCGTCTCCTGCGCAATTGCGTGGCTCCTGCACCGCTTCTCCAATCCCAACCATTCGGTCCGAACTAGACCCAAATACTTCTGGCCTTTCCGTCATCCTCTTCCCTAGCTCCCGGATGATGGAAACGCGTCACCTGCGTGAGTGGTGAGACGCGGCGCTGCCGTACTTGCCACGCCCTTGGTGGGCGTTCCTCCCCACTAACTTGCCGGGCGGCATAGGATCGCTCCGAACGCCGGCCGGTCCTTTTGTTCAAACATTTGAGGTTCCATGAGCGCGTATCAGTCCATTGATATTTCAAAGATCAAAGTCCCTGAAGGCCGCCTTCGGGATATTGATCAGGATTGGGCCGAATGCCTTGCCGGCATGTTTCACGAAGTCGGCCACAAAACCCCTATCGATATTGTCGCGAAGGGTGAGATTTTCGAATTGAACGCAGGCGGACACCGTCTCGCCGCAGCCAAAATTTGCAAGTGGAAGAAAATCGACGCTCGCATTCTCGAGCCCAAATCAGATCAGCCCGCAGAAGAACTGCGACTGAATGAAATCCTTGAAAACCTCGCCCGCAAGGATTTCAAAGCGCTGGAACGGTGCGAAGCGCTGACAGAGATGAAGCGCATTTACGAGGACATGCACCCAGAAACGAAGCATGGCGGAAAACGAGGAAACCAGCACACGGGCGGCGAAAAGAGGCAAGTGGCAATTTTTGCCTTTTGCCAAAACGCTGCTGAATCAACCGGTCTTTCCGCTCGGTCGGTCAGACTGGCGGTCCAGATCTTCGAAAGCCTTTCTCCCCAAACCCGTGAACGCCTTCGCGGCACTGAAATTGCCAACAAGCAATCCGATCTGAAAGCCCTAGCGGGACTGACAGCCGAGAACCAGACAAAGGTCCTCGACATGCTGTTCGGCGAACCGAGCACGGCTGCGACAGTCGGCGAAGCTATTCAGTTGGTCGAAGGTCAAAAGCCAAAGTCTGAGACCGAGAAGCTGTTCAAACGCGTCTCCGACATCATGACCGGCCTGCCGAAGGCCAGCCGCACCAACGTCTTCCGCCAGCACAAGAAAGAAATCATAGCGCTGGTGAAAAAAGAGGGGTGGCTAAATGGCTAAAACCCCCCGCGACCCATTCACTCCCGACATGTTCGTTGACTGGAGACCGCCCCGCGTTTCGGTCGGTTTCGAGCCGGGAACGATCTCCGGAAACCGGTTGTCATCGCGTATCAGCCGCGCCATCGCAAAGGCTCTGAAGGACTGCGGTAAAGACCGTACGACCATCGCCGGACTGATGAGTGAACGGCTTGGCCACAAGATCACGGTTGCCACGCTCGAAGCCTATGCCAGCGAAGCCAAGACCGGCAACAACATCACCGTTGAACGGTTCATTGCCCTCGTCGAGGCGACAGGAAAGATCGAACTGCTCGGGTTCCTTGCCGAAGACTTCGACATGGCGGTGGTCCCACGCAAGTTCGAGAACGTGATCGAGCTGGCTCTGATCGAAGACCATGAACGCATGATCGGGTCCCGCAAACAAACCCTTCGAATGAAAATCCGGGGCACCAAATGAAACTCTGGCTCACCGCACAGGAAATCGCCGATCTCGCCCTGGATGGATTTCCGTCCACCAAGCGAGGCGTCCAGAAGCTGGCAGACCGCGAAGAATGGGCTAACTGTGGTCTTGCCCGCAAGCGTGAAGGTCGCGAGGGCGGCGGTGGGCTGGAATACCATATAGATCTCCTGCCCCTGCCCCAGCGCCTTCAGTATGCCGGGACATTCGTCCGGGTTGAGCGCGAAGACTATCAGACGGAAACGACCAACGAACTGACCAGACGCGAATGCAGCGTTCGCGATGCCAAGCTGATTGTCCTGAAAGTCGCTGAACGGTTCCGCAAGACCTGCGGCATGGGTGGAACCGCGTCCGACCATCTGTTCAAGCAGCTGTTTGAAGACGACAAGGTGCCATTGCCCGAGTGGGTTCTGGAGAACGTCAAGACGGTCTCCAGACGCTCACTTGCCCGTTGGCGCAAGGACATGCGGGAAGACATTAATCGTCTTGCGCATGACCCGTCCAAAGCCCGGAAGGGAACCGGTGTTCTCGATCGCGCCGAAGGTGGTGAAGTGCGGGCCTTTTGCCTTGCGGTTTACGTGTCGAACCAGTTTCTCAGTGCCAAGCACATTCGAAAAGCTGCGATCGACAAGTACGGCCCGACGATACTTGTTGAAACAAGTCAGGGACAAAAACGGGTCTCCATGCCGCCTTTAAGGACGTTTCAAAACGCTCTTAAAGGATGGAAGAATGAGGACAGGAATGCCCTCCTGAGACTCACTGACCCGGATGCCCACAAATCCAAGGTCCGGTTTGCGGCATCCGGTGCGAAGCGGGTCGATCGGTTGAACGAACGGTGGGAAATCGATGCTTCCCCGTCCGATGTCATGACCACGGATGGCCGCATGAACATCTATGCGGCGATCGACCTCTATTCCCGCCGCGTGATCATCCTTGTCACCGCGACACCTCGCGCTGCAGCTGTCGGTCTGTTGATCAGAAAATGTCTGATCGCTTGGGGTGTTCCGGAAGTCATCAAAACCGACAACGGCTCGGATTTCACAGCACGTGCCACCGTACGTCTGCTTGATGCATTAGCCATTGAACAGCAGCTTTCTGCGCCCTATTCGCCTGAGCAAAAAGGCACTGTTGAACGTGTCATCGGCACGTTCCAGCGCGACTTTGCCGCAACCCTTCCCGGCTTCATTGGCCATTCGGTTGCCGACCGGAAAGTGATCGAAGCGCGCAAGTCCTTTTCGTCGCGGCTCGGCACCGACGATGCCAAACTGTTCAACGTCGAAATGTCCGCCGCCGAGCTGCAGGAGCAAGCCGACCAGTGGGCCGATGAAAGCTACGGCAACACTGCCCATTCGGGCCTGAAAGGCAAAACTCCGAACGACGTTGCCCGTGCCTGGATGGAACCGGTCAAGGCAATCTCGGATCCCGCCGCCCTTGATGTCTTGCTTGCGCCCGTCGCGGGTCAGGACGGGCTTCGGCGGGTCACGAACCAGGGCATTCGCGTTGCTGGAGAATTTTACTACACCGGCGATGTCATGCCCGGTACCGACATCCTTGCCCGCCACGACCCGGAAGATCTTGGGCGGTTGTGGCTCTTCGACCCTGACGGCGAAACCTACCTTGGCGAAGCAGTTAATCCAGACCTTGCGGGCCTTGACCCGGCAGCGACCATTCAGAAGGTCCGCGCCATGCAGAAGAAGGTCGAGGAGGACCAGCTCGCAGCCATCCGCAAGCAAAAACGGGCGATTACACCGCGTACAGTCGCGGATGCGCAGCGCGCTGCCTACCAATCCAATGCGGACGTCCTGCAGTTCCCCAAACCAACCGAGAAACACGAAACGGCAAAGACCAGGGCAGCTGCGACCGTAAGGGCGAAACGCGCGCCCAAACCGCTGAGCGATGCCGAACAACAGACAATGCAAAAGCTTGCACGCTCAGTGCCAACACCGGCGCCCGTGCGATCCATCAAACAACGCGAAACCCCGGAAGACCGCTTTGAACGCGCCAAGCGATTTGAAGCCCGGATCAGAGCCGGGGAACCCCTCACACAGGACGATGCTTTCTGGCTGACCAACTATCAGGCCGGAGCTGAATACCGGGCGCGAAACCTTCTCTGGAACGAGAGGGAAGCGCGTCAGGCGAGCGTACCGCCCGCGTCTTAGGGCAAAAAAACAGGCCCCGAAAGCTGCAACTTCCGAGGCCCGAAACATCAACATGTCGGGAATGAAAATGACGAACAGCAATCAACATGTCAATGGTGGACTGGCGGCGGTGAAAAATGTCGCTCGCTTCCTGACGCTGGTCCAAACCCTGATCGACAGACCTGAGGGCCTGCCGGGTATCGGTTGTTTCTATGGCTTTTCCGGGCTCGGGAAAACCATGGCTTCCGTCTACGCGCAGAACATGACCAATGCCATGCGCATTGAGGTCGGCGAAAGCTGGACCCGCAAAACCCTGCTGCAAAAGATCCTTGTCGAAGCCCGTATCGAACCACGCAGGGCAACGATTGCCGATCTCACCGAAATGGCGATCAACGCCCTCTCCGATAATTGGCCGCGCCCGCTCTTTATCGACGAAGCCGACAAGCTCGCTGACAAGGGCATGCTGGAGCTTGTGCGGGAAATCTATGAGCACAGCCAGACGCCCCTTCTCCTGATCGGCGAAGAGCGGTTGCCTGAAAAGCTCGAGACTGTCGAGCGCGTTCACAACCGCATTCTTGAATGGGTGCCGGCAGACTATTGCGACCATGACGATGCGCGCATGCTCGCGGATCTGATCTGCCCCAACCTTGACCTGTCAAACGAGCTGATCGACCACTTGCTCGAGACTGGTAAAGGCCGTGCGCGGTCGCTGTGCATCAACTTCAACCGCATCAAGGAACGCGCCCGCAACCATCGGGAAAACGCCTTCACGATGGGGTCCTTCGATGAAGACTTCTTCTTCACCGGCAAGCGGCGTGGCCGTCAGGCTCGGAGGGCTGCGTGATGTCCATCCAGCTTGAACTCAAAATCGCCAGCGGCACACCGATCTATCGCGGTCACGATCACTACTGGAGTGTGATCCGCGACCTTGGCAAGAACGCTGATTTCTCACTCGCTGAAATCGCCGCCCGTTCCAACGACCGGACGAACAAGAGTATCAGCGAGTTCGTAAATCGCTTGGTGAGAGCCGGTTTCCTTGAGGTTGTCCGAACTGAAAGAGGACCGACCGCGCGTGGTGGTCTTGTCGGTCGCCACGTCTACCGCCTTGCGAGGAACCAAGTGCGCACGCCGATCCTCGATCGAATGGGCAACACCGGAACGCAGGGGCTTGGCAATTCCTTCATGTGGAATGCCATGCGCAGCCTGACCTTCTTCGACAAGCACGAATTGTCGCTCACCGCGTCAACACCAGACGTCCAAATTTCCGTCAGTACCGCCTTCACCTATGCCATGCATCTGGAACGCGCCGGATATCTGAACATCGTTCGGAAAGGCAAATCCACCACGCCTACAAAATGGCGCTTGAAGCCGTCCATGAACACCGGCCCGGACGCTCCGAAGATCCTGCGTTCCAAGATGGTCTATGACGTCAATCGTGGTCAAATCATGGGCTCGCCCGTTGCTGAGGAGTGCGCCGCATGACCAGCAACCCCACAATGATGGAGAAGGCAAACTTTGCCTGGAACGGCACGCCGCCCGATTGGGTCAGCGAGTTGGCGCAAATGGCCAACTCCAAAGGCTTGAACAGCGTTGCGCAACGTCTTGGATATTCCGCAGCGGTCATAAGCCAAACCATCGGGAACAAGTATCCCGGTGATCTGTCGAAAGTGGAAGACAAGGTGCGTGGCGCTCTGATGGGCGAGAAGGTCGCCTGCCCGGTTCTTGGAGCGATCGGCCGGGACAAATGCCTCGACGTTCAGGCATTGCCACGGGCTGTCACCAATTCAATCCGCACTCGCCTTTACCGCGCCTGCAGAAGCGGCTGTCCACACTCCCGTCTGAAGGGAGGCAACGATGCTTAGCAGTGATCTGAGAATGTTCCGCCAGCAGTTTCATGAAAATAAAAATGAACGCGGCGAACTTCTGATCCCGGCCCATACCGTCGAGCTGATGGACATGGTGTTGAGCGACTGCATCGATGTCGCCCGGCACCTGGAGGCATCGCGTGTTCAGCGCCCGGTGACCTTGTTCGATCTCAAGGATCCGAAGATCAGGATCTTCCCTGTCCTGCGCCGATCAAACACCGTCGAAATTCCAATCCAAACGCCCGACGACGACGGCGCGGCTTGAAGCTTTGTACCTGCGTTTAACCAGCACTCAATAGGAGCTTAAACACATGGAAGATGCGGCAATTGAAACTCACGAGATCACGGCCACCGATACCGGTGTCGAGATGATCAACGGCACTCCCTACATGCAGGATGCCAAAGGCAATCTGGTCCCGCTCGATAATGTGAAACCCCAGCACAAGCTTGAAGACGAGACGGTTCGCAAGGTCATTGATTTTGCGGAAAGCCTGTCAGCGGAAATCGGTCGGTTCCGCAATCACACTTTTGCGGACCTGTTCAGCTTGACTGCGGTGTTGGCGCAGGAATACGGCTCCAGCAAGGGTGGTGCGAAAGGCAACACCACGTATCAGACCTTCGACGGCTGCATGAAAGTGCAGGTACAAGTCTCTGATCTGGTTGACTTCGGTCCGGAAATCCAGGTCGCCAAAACTTTGATCGACGAATGCCTGAATGAATGGGCTGCAGACAGCAGGCCCGAGATCCGCTCGATCGTCACGCGCGCCTTCAACACCGACAAGGAAGGCCAGATCAACAAGTCCGAAATCTTCATGCTGATGCGCATGGAAAGCGAAGACGAGCGCTGGCAGAAGGCAATGAAGGCCCTGAAAGATGCCATCCGCGTCACAGGCTCCAAGAGCTATCTGCGTTTTTATAAGCGAGACGCTCCAGACGCAGACTGGACCACCATCACCATCGACATTGCCAAGGCGGCTTAAGCCTCCGCGAAAGGAGACCGGACATGTCTCCCCTCACCGACCCCGACGTGCATGTGTTGAGTGAGACCAAGGCTGAGCGCGATCGGCGTGATCGTCTTTTGCGCGAAGCCAACCGACACCGGTACCGCCTGCACCGGATGCGAGATCTGCAAGAAGAATTAAAGCAGGCGACCAACGAGCTTTTGAAACGTGAACTTGAGGCCCGTGCGAGGCCCGACACCACTCCGGAGCCTTTAGACGATGCAGGCGCGGTTGGCGGGAATACGCAAGGCCGATTGCCATACAAGGATTGAACCATGGACACACGCGAAAGAATTGCGTTTGCGATGTTCAAGACGGACTACCCGTCGCAGATGCGCAAAGACATCCAGATTGATCAGCTTGACGTGATCGAAGCGGATGTCGGCAAAGGTGTCACGGTGCTCGCCGATCTCACGATCGACTGGAACGCGAACCGTCAAGATTACTTGCGCAAGGCGGATGCCGCCCTTCGGGAGTTTGATTGCATTGTCGCGGAAAGGATATCCCGATGAGCGCACTTGCCAAAATACACGTCCTGAAAAAACAGGCGATGCTTGATGAAGATACCTATCGTGACATCCTTGAACGCGAGACCGGCAAGCGCTCATCAAAAGGCATGTCGCACATTGAGCACCTGAAGGTGATCGATGCGCTGACTGCGATCGCTCCGAAACAGGATAGTCAGCGCGCCACGGGTAAGTTCGCACGAAAGATGCAAGCTCTCTGGATCGCCGGTTACAATGTCGGTGTTGTCAGCAACAAGTCCGATCAGGCCATGATGGCCTTCCTGAAGCGGCAGACTGGCCTTGAGCACCACCGGTTTCTGCAGGACGGCAAGGACGCCAACAAGGCGATCGACGCGCTCAAGCTCTGGATCCGGCGCGGAACTCAGAACTACGAGCTGTTCACCCAGGATCAAAACCTGCCACCACTTCAGAACGATTTCCGGTTTCAGGTGTGCATTCACATATGGTCGCAGCTTGTTGTCCTGGACAAGGTTCCAGCAGGGACACTGACAGCGTATCTCTATTCAATAGGTGGGCAAGAAGATCTTCGCCTGTTTGCCTCGAATGACTGGATCCAGGCGATGAACCGGCTGGGCAAGCTTTATCGGTCGGTGAAAAAATGACCAGCGCGGTTCCAGCCCATATCGAAACCTACTTCGAGGTCCTAGGACGGGACCTCGCCATTGATTTCTTTTTGCAATTCGGCGGGTCTGAAATTTACCTTTCCAATTCGCCGAGAGCCTCCATGGTTTTGAAATTGACGGGACCGGATAAGTTGGCCATGTTGTCTGAGCGCTTGGGGCCCGGTCACGTCCGTGTGCCAATCCCCAAGAGCTGGATCGCACAGCAGCTGCTCGATCGGGGTTCTTCAAAGGCCGATATTGCAAGGCTTCTTCACGTAGACCAACGCACCGTTGGCAGATGGTTCGCAAAGGAGGTCGATCGGGATCAGCTCGGATTGTTTCAATTCGAACTTTGAGGATCAGGGTGTTGAAACCGATTGTCATGAGACTGGATCTGTCCCAACGAGACCAATACCAAGTCAAGCTTTACGAGTCATCGCAAACTGCCGAGCAGCTCCGTATCAGTGGAAGCCGCAATCTTGACCCAAACAACATCGACGGCAATCTCATCAAAACCCTGGATTATCCGGAGGTGCACGACCTCTATGAAGATGCGGCTGCATATCACGCTACGCGCGAAGCGCTGCTGGAAGTGGGTATCCGAGTTGGCTTCTTCAGACATAGCAGTCCCGAAACCAACGGGATTGCGGTCATGGGCTTGTACTCATCCCCAATTCGAAAACCCCATGATATGGCGCAGGCAGACTTTTTTGACCTGCTACGTGAACTGGACGACGCGATTGTTAATCTAGCGGACTATTTGAGAGCAGAGGAGGCATCTGTTCGCGACGTACGTTTGAAGATGGCAAGAGCCGCAGCAGATGCAATGCATGGTTACCTAAAAATCGACTTCGAAGGCGCGACCAGCGAAATTCCGAGAGGTCCTACTATTGAACTCCGAAATCGACTTGGTAGCGTGGACTGGCTCAACTATTCGGAAAAAGCATACAAATGGGTAGTTACTATTCAGAAATGGCTGAAATTCTTCGACGACACCTCCCCACCGTCAGGGATGGTTTGACAGCACTCAGCAAATCTTAAACACTTCGACTGCAATTGCGTAAGTTGCCCTTGGACCTCGCCCCGACACGCGCCGGGGTGAGAAGAAATCCCATAATTCGCCATCCTGCACCGGACCCTTTGGAACGACTGTCCAAAATCCGGAGACAGAGATGTGACCGCCCAATATTCCCAACCTCCCTATGACCTGCGCCTGCTGCCCTGGACGGGTGGCAATGAAGGTTTTGTTGCCCGCTGGTACAAGGACCCAACCGGCACCCCGACCATTGGCTACGGCTTCACGTGGGCCTCTCCGGTCTTCCGCAGCTGGTGGATGACAAAGCACGACAGCAAGATGAAGCCGGGCGACACCATCTCCAAGACTGATGCGCTCAAGGTCTTGCGCATTCTGATCGACGAAGACTATGCGCCACCTGTCCTGAAAAAACTGAAGGCGTCATCCGCCGATGTCACCCGGCACGCGATCGCTGCCAGCATCGACATGGCCTATAATTGCGGGCCCGGCTCCCTGTCTTGGAAGTGGTTCAAAAGTCTCTTGGCTGGCAAGATCCACGATGCTGCAACACGCTATCGGGTCACTGCCACTACGTCCAAAGGCCGCCGCCTGCCCGGCCTGGTTCGCCGCCGCAAGGAAGGCGCGAATATCCTTGAACACAACATCTGGCCCACTTGGGTGAAGACACCCAAGACGGGCAATATTGCCCATGTCGCAGAAGTTTTGCCCAACTGGCAACTTCAAACGGATGACTTCTGGAAAGGTATCAGCTGGCTTGAGCAGCTGAAGTTCTTGAAGCCGTCCGCACGGGAAGATGTCGCGCAACTGCGTGCCGGGATCCTTGCGTTTCAGAAACAGCATCCGCAACTCGCCAATGACGGGATCCTTGGCCGTGCCACGCTCGACCAAATCCAACGCGTCATCGACTTGAAGACGAAGGCCAGCCATTCGACAGCTGCCGGTGCGGCCGGATCAGGAGCCGGAATGGTTGAGACAGGCACTGTGTCGACCGGGTACGGCGACATTGTAATTGTCGGCAGTCTCCTAATCTCAGCGATCGTTCTTGGCTATTTCGCCTGGACATATCGCGATGAAGTCAAACTCGCCCTCAAAACCATCGGAAGAAAACTATGACCCCGCTTGCAGCAATCGCAATTCAGGTCGGAGCGACCGCTTTGACCGGCCTCCTACGCCGGCGCGGTGGCAACGCCGGCCAGATTGCTGCCGATGTTGCCGACACGGCGATCGGGCAGATCACCGGCACCCTTGGCATCGAACCGACCGAACAAGCAATCTCCGACCTTTGGGACAAGGATCCGAGTGCGGTCACTGAAGCCATCCATCAAGTCGATGCCGAGCTTGGTGAAATGGCCAAGGCCGCCAGCGAAGCAACGCAGTCCTATCATGATCTGATCAAGGAAGACCGGGAAAGCGCTTCCCTGCTGACCCGGATCTGGCGTCCGCTCAACGGAGTTCTGTTCGCATGGTCCTGTCTCGCCCTGATCATGTCCTTCTGCTACCTCATGATGACGGGCGACGTGCAGACCATTGCCAACGCTTCTGTTGCATATGGCTTTCTTGGCACTGTTCTGGGGACGTGGGCCGGCGTTGTCGGTGTCTATGTCTGGCGGCGGACGGACGAAAAGAAAGCCGGTTCGACCTGATGATGGGTGATCTGCGAAACTGGTTTGGTGTCGCTGCACTCGCCGTCTCGCTGGCGACAACGATCTATGCATTCCTTACGTCCAAGGCCAAGGCTAACTCCGAACACCTGAAAAGCGTCGACAAGACCCTGACGGATCTAGACCGGCGTGTGCAGTCGATCGAAGCCGAACAAAAGCACATGCCGTCCAAGGACGATGTCAATCAGCTGAAACTGGACATCGCCGAGATGAAGGGCGCAATGCAAGCCCTTGACGGTGAAGTCAAGGGCGTCTCCCGGACGATACGCCGGGTCGAGGACCATCTCATTAAAGAGGGTAAATAGGTGAGTTACTCCGACATCGTGGATGAAGACTGCCGCCTTATCATCCTGAAAGAACTGGCGAGGCAAAATGATCACCGGCTGAACGAGACCATTCTCATGAGGGTCCTGGAGCGGTTCGGTCATCTAAAGACGCGCAACTATGTCCGTACGCAAATCCGCAAGCTTGAAGACCTGAGTGCAGTCAAGGTGAGTGAAGTCGGCTCAGTCCTTGTCGCGCAAATCCTTCAGTCAGGCATCGATCACATTGAGCGCCGGTGTTTCCTTGAAGGCGTCGGCCGCCCGTCCGCGGAGGGCTGAATGTCCAAGCGTCGTTCCGGCCGTGGCCGACTATCAGCAATCGAGCAGCTCCCTCCTGAGTCTGAAGACATTATTGTCTGGGCCGCGAAGGAACTGGCGAAGCGAGAACGCACCCAAAGAGAAATCTATGAGGAATTCTATCTGAAGCTCGAGGAGCTGCAGCGAGACTTTCGCGGCGAGCTTGAATTCAAGATCCCGTCCATGTCTGCCTTCAATCGTTATTCGATCAAGCAGGCTCACCTCACCCGCCGCCTTGAGGACACCAGGGCGATCGCCAGTTCGATCGCCACCAACTTCGACGCTGAAGCGTCCGACGATCTCACCCTGATCGCGGCAGAGGCCATCAAGACACTCACTTTCGAGATCCTGACCGATGCCGGTGAAAGCGGTATTGCGCCCAAGGATGCCATGAGCCTTGCCAACGCGCTGCGCGCTGCCTGCCAGGCGCAAGGTGTTTCAACTCAGCGCCGGCAGAAGGTCGAGAAGGAATTTGCCGCCAAGACCAGGGAAGCCGTCGACAAGGTTGCCAAGGTCAAAGGCCTCACTGCTGAAACCGCAGAATCCATCAAGTCGCAAATTCTGGGCGTTGCTACATGAACGCACCGATCTCACGGGAAGAATGGCAGAAGCTCCGGGCTGAAACTGTCACGGCGATTGATGGTCTGGCTGCCGATCTCGGCATGCCGAAAGTGCTCTTGCCCTACCAGTCCAAGGCAGTCGGGCTGCTTGAAAGCACAGGGGTAGAAGTCCTCTTTGTCGAGAAGTCGCGCCGGATTGGTATGACATGGGGGCTTTCCTCCTATGCGGTCTTGAAGGCCTCCAAGTCGAAGAAGGCGGGCGGCATGGACGCCATGTACATCTCCTATTCGCAGGAGATGACGCGCGAGTTTATCGACGCCTGCGCCATGTGGTCCCGCGCCTATGCCGAAGCTGCAATCTCACTGGACGAATTCCTGTTTGAAGATACCGACCCGAACAATCCCGATGAAACCCGGCACATCAAAGCCTTCCGGATCCAGTTCGCTTCCGGCTTCGAGATCCTTGCCCTGTCTTCAGCACCGCGATCGCTGCGCGGTAAGCAGGGCCTTGTCATCATCGACGAAGCCGCCTTCGTTGAGAACTTGAAAGAGTTGTTGAAGGCCGCTATGGCCTTCCTCATGTGGGGCGGTCAGGTTGTCGTCTGCTCGACACATGACGGCACCGAAAACGAATTCAACGTCCAAGTCCAGGACATCCTTTCGGAGCGAAGTCCATACGCGCACATGCGGGTCGATTTCGACGATGCGCTGAAGGACGGTCTCTATGAGCGGATCTGTTTCGTCCAGGGCAAGGAATGGTCGCCAGAGGGTGAAGCCGAGTGGCGGCAGAAGATCATCGACTTTTATGGTGACGGTGCCGACGAAGAGCTGTTTTGCGTTCCAAGCCAAGGATCAGGTGCCTGGTTGCCGGCACCGCTGATCGAAGCGCGGATGAAAGAAGAGGGCGAAGTCCTTCGTCTGGAGCTGCCGGCCAGCTATCTGCATCTCAATCAACTTCAGCAGGCCATGCTAGTTGCCCCCTTTTTGGCGAGGCTGTCAGCTGCCTTGGGAAGATTGCCTGACGACGTTCTGTTTTCCTTCGGCTTCGACTTCGGCCGTGTGGCTGATCTCACCACCGGTACCCTGCTTGCCATCGAAAGGAACCTGAAGCGCCGGGAAGCCCTTTCGTTCGAACTGCGTAACGTTCCGGGCAAAGAGCAAAAGCTCATTACCAAGATGGTTCTGAACGCTGTCCGATCGCGCCTGGTCGGTGCCGCCTTCGATGCGACCGGGATGGGCTGGACGGTTGCTGAGGATATGGGCCGGATCTTCGGCCTGCGTGAGGACCCGGAAGGTGCCGGCCTTGTCATGGCCATCCACTTTTCGGAAAGCTGGTACCGGACGGAAATGCCGCCGCTTAAAGCGGCCTTTGAAGACGACATGCTTTCCCTGATCGCCGATCGGGACCATGTGACAGATCTTCGCTCTGTGAAACTGATCAGGGGCATTCCGCGCGTGCCGCCAGTACGCGAGGGCGAAAAGGGTAAGAAACGCCACGGCGACTATGCGATCGCCCTCGCCCTCGCCCACTATGCCAGCCGCATGCAGTGGCGCGAGTTCGATTATATGCCCGTCCCTGCCCCTCCTGGCCGCTACGACGAAACCTCCGACTATGGCGACGATGACGGCCCCTATCGCATGGGCTCGATGCGTCGATCGAAAGGGACCTACTGATGGCAAAGCCGCCGCTTGTCGACCAATACGGCCGTCCGATTTCCTCCCGCAGCCTGAAGAAAGAACAGGCTGATGTGAATGTTCAGGCCGTCCACCGGTCCAGTTCCCTGCATCCGGCAACCGGCCTGACACCGCCGCGCCTTGCCCGGATCCTGCGTGACAGCATTGACGGGGATCCGGAACTGTATCTTGCGCTCGCCGAAGATATGGAAGAACGGAACGAACACTATGCCGGTGTGCTCGGAACGCGAAAGCGGCAGGTGTCCAGTCTCGAAATCACCGTCGAAGCAGTGAGCGATGATGCTGCGGACGTCCGCGATGCAGATCTGGTGCGCGAGATTGTTGAACGCGATGTCTTCCGCGATGAGCTGTTCGATATTCTTGACGCGATAGGCAAAGGATTTTCCGCAACCGAGATCCTGTGGGATACGTCCGAAGGAGATTGGCGGCCGAAGGCATTCAAGTGGCGGGATCCGCGCTGGTTCCGGTTCGATCCCGACAATCCGGAAATGCTGCTGTTGCGCGCACCTGGAGGTGATGAGCCACTTAATGCGTTCGGTTGGATCACGCATTTTGGCAAGGCGAAATCCGGTTTGCCCATCCGGGGCGGTCTGGCTCGAGGTGCCGCTTGGGCGTTCCTGTTCAAATCCTTCACCATGAAGGATTGGGCGATCTTCTGCGAAGCCTATGGCCAGCCGTTGCGTCTCGGCAAATACGGTGCCGGTGCGACTGACGAAGACAAGAAGAAGCTCCTGCAGGCGGTTGCCAATATCGGCAGCGACTATGCTGCCATAGTGCCGGACAGCATGTTGATCGATTTTGTCACCGCCAACTTGAGCGGATCCCACGAGCTTTATGAAAAGCGGGCGAACTGGCTCGACCAGCAAACCTCGAAACTCGTTCTCGGCCAGACACAAACCACCGACGCAACGGCTGGCGGATATGCAACATCCAAGGTTCATGACGGTGTGCGCGAGGATATCGAGCAGGCAGACTGCCGGCAGGTCAGTGCAACGCTCAACCGCGACCTGGTCAAGCCGCTGATCTGGCTGAACCACGGTCCGCGCAAGAAGTACCCGATAATCAAGATTGGCCGGCCTGACGAAGTTGACGTCAAGCAGCTGGTTGAGAATGTCGCCAAACTGGTTCCGCTTGGTCTGAAGGTCGGCATGTCGACCATGCGTGACACGATTGGTCTGCCGGATCCGGACGAAGATGAAGAGCTGCTCGTTCCACCTACTGCCACCAAGCAGGAACCGGTCGAAGACGAAGAGGACCAGGACGAAGGGCAAGACAACCCCAGCAAGGCAAAGGCATTCCGGTCGATGCCGGCACAGCGTCAACCCGATGCTTATGACCGGGCTATTGACGGGATCCTCGCCGATGAAGGCTGGGTGCCGCTTGTCGGGCCCATCATTGAAGGGCTGGAAGACGAGTTGGCGGGTGCCACCACGATCGACGAAGCCCGCGCCATTTTCCAGAGGCGACTTGAAGCTCTGGGCGTTACGGCCCTTGCTGACAAGCTTGCTCAGGCAAGTTTCGCAGCCCGGATCTCCGGTGAAGCCGGCGAGGACGCTGACTGATCATGCCTGCCGAATTCAAACCTTTGCCACCGCGTGCTGCGATCGTTGCCCTTCAGACACGTGGCTATACCCTTCGCCCAACCTTTGCCTGGCAAGATGTATATGCTGAGGATCATGCGGCCATGTTCACGGTTGCGAAGTCTGCGGGGCATGACATCTTGAGCGAAATCTGGAATGCACTCTTAAAAGCGCTTGAAGACGGCGAAACCTTCGAGACGTTCGCGAGCCGGATCAAACCCGAACTGGTCCGCAAGGGCTGGTGGGGTGAAGCGATCGAGGAAGATCCACAGACCGGCGAACCGGTGAAGGTCCGGCTCGGATCGATGCGCCGGCTGCGCACGATCTTCGACGTCAACATGAATGTGTCCTATGCGGCAGGTCATTGGTCGATGTTCGAGGACCTGAGATCGAGCCGTCCCTTCCTTCGCTATGTGGCGGTCCAGGACGGCTTGACCAGACCGGAGCACCAACGGCTGCACAATGTCGTCTTGCCGGTCGATCATGAGTTCTGGAACCTCTACGCGCCACCCAACGGCTGGAATTGCCGCTGCACGTTTCAAAGCCTGTCACAGCGCGATATCGATCGGCTGATAGCTGAAGGCGAAGAGTTGAAATTCGATCCGCCCCCTATCTCTTTCCGGGAATGGACGAACAAGCGGACAGGCGAAGTCAGACAGGTTCCAGACGGGATTGATCCGGGCTGGGACTACAATCCCGGCCGGGACGGTCATCAGGCAACGATGGAGCGGCTTCTGCAGCGTGTTCCGCCTGAGTTTTCGGGATGACAGGTCTTGTGATCATCGGCAATGGGTAGCGAATGTCTGCATTGCGAAACTTTCGGACTTTGATCGAGTGGTATTCACGGCTCTGTGCGGATAATCGTGACGATTGCGGCGAATGCCTGGATTGAGCCCAAAATAGACGAGCCATGTCATTCATCGCGAGGAAAGTCGCGCACTTTCTAGCTGGCTGTAACTGGGCAAATCGACTTCAAGAACTTATACTTCAGCGAACACTTGTGTTTCTGTTGCAGTCGCATCTCTTGCGGTAGCAAATGGCGACCCCACATTGTAATTATTGATCAGGAGGGCGCATGCGACAACAGGACTACCCAGCACTTTTTTTAGACGCGGACAAAGCTTCCAACAGGTTCCAGCGAAACTTCCTTCTTCTTGTATTTGGGGAATACCTCGCTCTTTTTGCCGCCGCCGTTTTCTCCATGAGCTTTCTCGATGGTGTCGCCTATCATGTTCTGTTTGCTGGAGTGTTTTTTGTTGGTCTTATCTTTCTAATCTCGCGAGCTCTGAGCAAACCTGATCAATGGTGGTATCGGTGCCGTGCTCTCGCTGAAAGCGTAAAGACACTGACTTGGCGCTACATGATGCATGCTACGCCTTTTGATAGGGTTGACGCTGAGGCCAGAATAGAATTTCGAACGCAGCTTGGCCTTATTCTTCACGAGAACCTGGAGACTGTTGATTTGCGCTGAGAACTGACCCGGTAGCCCCATAAATTTTCACTGAGAACTGACCCATGTAACGACGCTACCCTGACGCTTTTGTTTGGGGGAGATATGGAGTGATCGACATGGGATTTTTAAGTGTCATTCGACGTTGGGCATTACGTGAAGGGATGCCCATTCGCGAGATAGCCCGCCGTACTGGTTTGTCTCGCAATACCATCAAGAAGTACCTGCGAGAGGGCGCTGTTGAGCCGAAGTTCAAGGTGCCCAAACGACCGAGTAATCTTGATCCGTATGCGGATCGTTTGTCTGCATGGTTGTTGGCTCAGACACGCAAATCGCGCAAAGAGCGGCGTACTGTGAAGCAGATGCACGCCGATTTGGTGAAGTTGGGCTATGCAGGATCCTATGCGCGCGTGGCCGCTTTTGCCCGTGCCTGGCGTGACGACCGGCATCGTGCCGAGCAAACAACTGGGCGCGGCACGTTTGTACCGCTGGTGTTCCAACCCGGCGAAGCGTTCCAGTTTGATTGGAGCGAAGACTGGGCCACTATCGGCGGTGAACGGGTCAAGCTGCAGGCGGCCCATACGAAGCTCTCGCACAGCCGAGCTTTCTTAGTGCGCGCCTACCCATTGCAAACGCATGAGATGCTGTTCGATGCCCATTGGCATGCGTTCCGCGTTTTTGGCGGTGTGCCTGGACGCGGGATCTATGATAACATGAAAACTGCTGTTGATCGCGTTGGCCGTGGCAAGCAGCGTGACATCAACGCCCGGTTTAAGGCGATGGCCAGTCACTATGTTTTTGAACCCGAGTTCTGCAATCCAGCGGCAGGTTGGGAGAAGGGCCAAGTCGAGAAGAACGTCCAAGATGCGCGCAATCGCATGTGGCAGGTCATGCCTGTCTTCAAGGATCTTGATGAGCTGAACCAGTGGCTGGAAGACCGCTGCATCGCCCTTTGGATTGAGACACCGCACCGGGATCTGCCCGGCACTATTGCTGACATCTGGGAAGCAGAGAAGCCCATGTTGATGGCACTACCACCCGCCTTCGACGGTTTTGTGGAGCACAGTAAGCGTGTGTCGCCAACATGTCTGATCACCTTTGAGCGTAATCGCTACAGCGTGCCCGCGAGCTTTGCCAACCGGCGCATCAGCTTGCATGTCTATCCAGAACGGCTGGTCATAGTGGCCGAGGGGAAGACCGTTTGCACACATGAGCGCATCATAGATCGATCACACCGCAAACCTGGTCGTGTTATCTACGACTGGTGCCACTATCTCGCTGTAATCCAACGTAAACCCGGTGCCTTGCGCAACGGAGCACCGTTCATTGAGATGCCAGAGGCCTTCCGCAACTTGCAAGGTCACATGCACCGCAGAGAAGGTGGTGACCGCGAGATGGTCGATATCCTGTCATTGGTTTTGCACCATGATGAGAATGCCGTTCTGTGTGCCGTAGAATTGGCGTTGGAGGCTGGCGTGCCAACCAAAACCCACATTCTGAACTTGTTGCACCGGCTGATAGACGGAACGCACACTGATCTCCCAGAGGTCGATCCACCTGATGCACTCGCATTGGAAACAGCGCCAAAGGCAAACGTGGACCGCTATGATGATCTGAGACAGGCTGGGGGCAAGTACCATGCGTCATGACCCAGCAGGAGCCTCAATCGTGATCATGCTGCGCAGTCTCAAGCTCTATGGCATGGCAAACGCCGTAGAAGATTTGGTCGCCCAAGGCGGGCCTTCTTTTGAGGCCGCAACACCTATGTTGTCCCAACTGCTCAAAGCGGAGATTGCCGAAAGGGAAGTGCGCTCAATCACATACCAGACAAAGGTGGCCCGCTTTCCGTCATACAAGGACCTCGCAGGCTTTGAGTTCAAATCTAGTGACATCAATGAAGCGACCGTCAAGCAACTGCATCGGTGCGAGTTCATGGAGAACGCTGAGAACGTCGTGCTCATCGGCGGGCCTGGAACGGGCAAAAGCCATGTCGCGACCGCCATCGGTGTTCAGGCCATTGAACATCACAGGTGCAAGGTCCGCTTCTACTCAACCGTCGAACTGGTCAACGCGCTAGAACAGGAAAAGGCGCTCGGCAAGACCGGAAAGATGGCAGAGATGATGACCAAAATTGACCTCGTGATTTTGGATGAACTTGGCTACTTGCCGTTCAGTCCATCCGGCGGCGCACTACTGTTCTATCTACTGAGCAAACTCTACGAGCGGACCAGCGTCATCATAACCACCAACCTCAGCTTCTCAGAATGGGCCCAGGTCTTTGGAGATGCAAAGATGACAACCGCGCTTCTGGATCGCCTCACACACCGCTGCCACATCCTGGAAACTGGAAACGACAGCTACCGCTTCAAAGCCAGCTCAGAGGCTGCAAAGAAAAAACGAAAGGACAAGCCAACATTGACCAACACGTAACCGCTGATACATAAACAAAGGTGGGTCAAATCTCGGTGAAAATACCGGGTCAGTTCTCAGCGCAAATCAACAGAATGGCGACACGCGAACCACTGTCGCCTCGTTCGATGAAGCGACGGACACGATCTACATCGATGCGACCGGGATGCTCCCGACCAATCGCACCATCGAGACCAACCCGAACAAGAACAGGTTTATCCTTGTAAACCTGCTACCTGCCATGCGCCGGGGCGAATGGGGATATGTCGACAACGGAACAACAGTCGATCTCTATTTCTGGCCGATCGATCCACTCAACGTCGATGTCAACATCGAGTATTCAAGGCGCGGAAGCTGCGTTGAAGCAAAAAGCAGAAGCTTCCTCGAATTCCGCTCGATCATCCTTGAGCGGTCCAGCTCAGCCGGTGCAAAGAATGACGGGCACTATGCCTTCAATGCCGGCAACAGCGTCGGCGCGTCTCCATACGCAACCGACATCACACTGGAAAATTGCTGGATCCGGGACACCTACCGCTCTGAAAGCAGTTACGCGCCGGTCTGGGCGCGCCATGTCAACAATTTCAGGCTGATCCAGTGCACCATTTCCGATGCTGTCAACCAGTTCGGCATGCAGATCACCGGACCGTTCTGGAACGAGTATGACGGGCCTGTTACCGGTGTTTGGATCGACCGCAACATTATCCTGCGTTCAGATCAAACACCGGAGCGGTGTTACGGCCTGGAACTCTTTATGGTCACCCGTAACCGGGCGATTGATTGCGGACAGGCAGCGCACGCCAACAAGGGCAACATCTACAACGGCGGGCACAACGGCCTTTGGTGGCACAATTACTGGTGGGCGTGTCCCGGCTACTGGACGTTCCAGCGCTCGTCCGCTCAGTTCTTCGGCTTCAATTTCTGCCCTGGCAACACGCTGGATACAGATGGCCGTGCGATTGAGGATCAGAACTACGAGAGCACGGTTATCATCTCGCAGTTGTCACCGGCCACCGGGCGCACGATCGGCGGCTCACCCACCAACGGCGATAGCTATTTCCTCAACAATATATTGCCGCCTTGGAGAAACGCGGCAAGCTACGCCAACGCCATGTTGGTTGGACGCGGGGCGGAAACAGCCATTCGCATGGTTGTGATGAACAACATCGCGAACGGGATCACGCTTCGAATGGGAATGGTTGTTGCAGACGGCATCCGGCGCAATGTCATCACCAACGGCACCACAAACGATGCAACGGACGTTATCACTCCGTTCGGGGACATCTTTGAGGACATTCTATTGGGCGATCTTGCGATCAAGCCTGACAGCCCGCACCTGACCGGCACGTCCCATCCGATCAATGTGCTGCCGGGACATGACGGCACGCGCATTCTCTCTGACGTGTTCCCTGACTACGATGGCTTCGGGGTGGATATCGCAGGCAAGCCGATCGACCTTGCAAACCCGCCAGTCGGCTGTGTGGGAGATCCCGCAGATCTTCACCGGTTCGATCCGGTATGGATCGACAGACCAGAACCAACAGGGGCGCCTATTGTCGGTGGTTCAGTGTCTGCGGATGACGGTTACATCATGGCGTTCGGTCATTCCTCACGGACCTACCAGTGGTATCTGGTCGATGATGTCTATGATCCACGCATTGACTGGACGCCGATTTCGGGTGCCAACTCTGCATCCTATTCACCGGTTGCGGGGGACATCGGCAAGTATCTGGCACGGCGCACAACGATGGACGGCGTTCCGATCTATTCCCTCATGGATGCGCCTGTGGCGGCCGCCTTCCCGCTCGGTGATCCAATATCGCTGCTCAATCCGCGTTCGTCTTCTGATGTCTCTGTCGGTGCCAACACATGGTTCGAAACTGCGCAGATCACGACCTCGAACAAGCCACTTTTGGTTGTCGTCAATTCAAACAACGTCACGTTTGCTCGCGTCGCTGCCTTCTCTGCCACTATCGGTGCGGCCGGTCGAAATGGAGGGGAAGGCACTCCGCTCACGGTCGATCCGGGGACGGCTCTGCGGACACGCAATCAGATATCGTTTGCCACGATCCTTGCGCCGGGAACCGGAGCACAGACCATTCAGGTGAGCAATGACGACGGTTGGTCCAATATTCACGTGTCGGTTTTTGAGATCGACGGAATGGACAGCATTGTCGTCGGTGGCGAGATCGAGGCATCCAACCCGCTGAGCCTGTCTCCAGCGATCACAACGGGACAGATCAACACGCTCGTCTTCTATGCGGCCAACCGTTACGACGGCACCGAAGACCCGTTGTCATGGGAGGGTGGCACAGCGCTCTTGAGCGAGCCGACCGGTGCGGGAGGCGCGTCTACTTCCTTGTGGGCCGCCATGGCCTTCGAACAGGCTGCGTCGACTGGAAACTACTCGCAGACTGTGTCCTGGCTGTCTCAACAGGGCGCGGCAACGTCCTGTGCGGTTGAGATCCGGGCTACGGCTTGATGGGAGGGAATGAATTCGAAAAATAGCTGACGGACGGTCCGGACCAGAAGGTCCGGACGGCGGGCCTAGTCGCCAAACCATGAACCCGCCCGTTAGCCTAGGCAACCACCGCGCCCGCTGCGTCGCGCGACGCAAGGGTGAACAACTAAGAATTTGACACAACCTTGCGTCACCTGCTTTGGTTGACTTTGATTAAACCTACAATCAATTCTACCTCCAATGGAGGCTATACATGTCAATGATTCTTGATCCTGCGTTACGAGCGATTGATGATGATCATCAAATTTTCATTCTACGTCCTGGCGACGGAAAACGATTTTACATCGACTTTAAGCATACAAGCACAGTTTTCCTAGACATCCCAGGGGCGACCTTTGACGAGATACCTGATGTAAGTAAGGAAGATACGCGACGCGTCTTGCGAATGGCGAGATCCATAGCCGGTTGGCACAGAAAAGGTCGTCCAGTTGATCAAAAGCCGTCGCGAAAACCAGATGACTATAAGGTCCAACACGAAGGGCGCGAAGCTCCCAAATTCATGCGGGAGTTTAATACCTTGTATGTCGAAGCGAAACCTGGCGACTTGGTTGTGGTTCCTGGGCCGGGTTACAATTCCGAGGTGCTACTTGCGGAGCTGATTGAGGAATTTGATCCAAAAATAAGGATTGATGTTCGAAAGTACGGTGCTGATACGATCCCCGCACGCAGAGTAAGGCTTCTGGGAACCAATCAGAATCAATCGAAGTATGAGTTTGGCCTGAGGGCAATTCGATTGATGCAAAACAGACAAGCCATTATCCGGGTCGGTAAGGATGTCGACAGACACGAGTTTTATGAGCACGCCTACGGCGACTATTCTTGGGGAGATGTCTCTGGAAGCTACATGGAAATCAGCGAGGCGGTAGTCGATCAGAAGGATTTAACCGACGTCCTGTTCCTCACAAATGTCTATGGCGCGATGTATGTCGCACTTAAGGCTGGTGAACTCGAAAAATTCATGCAGCTGCCTTTACACAGAGCGGTAAATGAATACTACAATAGGGAGCTCTTCGGCGACATCTCCATCGAGGTTCACTCTCCAGGGTTTTTCGGTCGCCCAATAAGAAACAATGCTATTGCCGGTTTCGTAGCAGCACTTACGACTATTGCTTCGGTTGGGATTGACGCAGGCGACGCCAGAAGCTTAGAAGTGCAAAATTCTGCGAACGGTCGAGTATCAGCCTGTGATATGCAGTTGGAGGCTGATATTCGGTCTACCATGGAGATCGTTACAAACGCCCCTCTTTGGTGGGAAGAACTTTGTAGAATGCAGAAGGTCGCTACGGAGCATACTGGACTTAAAGCTAAGTCAAGAATTTTGAGCGATTCTGCTTCTGTGCAAGCCGATGAGGCTACCTCCACGAATTAGCGTAGCATGCTACTTTGGAGTCCGAAGGAATAGCAGGCGATGGCAAGATTGGTCGATTACGTCAAACAGCATGTTCTTGGGGCAATGCTGACAGCAATGATAGGCAGCGGTTCTATTGGAGCCGCCGCCGGCAGCGCTGTAACGTATTATTTTGCCGTTCAGGAAGCACGCGTTGCGCGGTTCGAAACAAGCATGCTCTCGGAGTACCAAGCGGTAGCGGCGGCCAAAAGAGAACTTTATTCTTCAATTGACAAAATGACGCTGGCGCTTGCGGATGGCACCCGCCCTGATGCGCAGCTGATATCCAATTTGAATCAGCAGCTTTTGGAACTGCATCAACGTGTCGACGTTTTTAGCATCGGCCTCAATGATAAAGACCGGGCGAAGATTACCAACGTCAAGATTGCACTCGCCGAAATGAAGGCGGAAATTGCTCGAGCAAAGACCAAAAAGATCTCCCCTACCTTGCAGGCAAAGTGGCCTTGTTTGAAGAAGCCTACAAATCGGTTACGCCAATCGTAGAGCGGAAAATCGGCTTACCGAATGATATGCTGAGCGGCTGAGTTCAAATTAGCTGCCACCGCGCCGCAGGGCCATATCAGTCACAAACTAGGTGCCAAGTGAAGTTGCGCAAAGTGCCAAACGAAGTTGCGCGCTACAGCGCTACATTTCGGCAGGCACGGCATATCCGCACATGTCACTGGAGGCATGCGAATTCATCGTTGAATATACTGGGAAAAACTGGCTGGGGTGGCTGGATTCGAACCAGCGCATGCCGGTACCAAAAACCGGTGCCTTACCGCTTGGCTACACCCCAAGGCCGTGGAGACGCTATATAGCGAGGTCATTTCAGAAGCGCAAGCCTTCCCTAACCCAATCTTTCCGGCAGCCACAGGAGTTTTCCCCAGGTCCGGCAAGCGGGTCCGACAAAGTAATCCGTCAGCTCATTTTTGCGCCGTGCTCCGGCCGGAGTTCAAACAGGTCGCGGAGCGAGCGCCGGACCTATCCTTCTGGTATTGCAGGCGGTTTTAAAAAAGTGAGGTGCGGACTGGCAAATCTCTTGCGGGATCAGATGAGCTTTGCTAAATGACCCTCCACGCAGCGAGGGCTTGCCCCGCTGTTCCCGATGGGTTTAGCTGAAGCCCTGCAAATGTCGGAGTGTAGCGCAGCCTGGTAGCGCACCTCGTTCGGGACGAGGGGGTCGGAGGTTCGAATCCTCTCACTCCGACCATTTTTCTTTTCTTGCATTGAATTGATTCCAGGGCGTTTTTCGCACCGGTGAGCTTAGTGCTGAGTTTTCGATGTTTTCAGGCCCATGATTGGATCATCGGTTCAGCTTCAAGGCAGCTGATTTGCTCTTCTTAAATCAAAGCCGGAGCCAATGAGTTCTGCGGAAGAACCAGAGAAATCATGGACAGGGGCTACTTTTGGTTGTTCAATTTGGCCTGCACCTTCGTAACGGTGTTCAACATCCAGAGAAACCCGGGAATGGCGCATGTATCGATTTGTTGAGGCAGTGTTTTTCCGAAACGCGAAGCGCATTGTCTTCCTGACACCGATCTTGTTTGTCGTGCCTTCTCCGGGAACCGCAAACGAAAAACCTCCCAGTCTTCCCCCTTTTACCAAGGCTGATGTCCCCCCCGCTCCTGACTATTCCAAGAAGGCGAGCTGGCTCGCAAAACCCAAGGATCCGGATCAGTTCGACATAGATATTTTGTGGCTATATCCCACGGTTCTGACGGGTGACAGCGCCTGGTTGATGAACATTTCCCGCAAAGACCTTGTCGCGAGCGCGGAATTGAGCATCAAAACCGAAGCCCGGGTTTTCTCCGGGCAGGCCAACCTCTATGCCCCCCTCTACCGACAGATGAATCTGGCCGGGTTCTACCTGCCCGAGCCCGAGAGGGACGCTATTGTCGAGTATGGTGTCCATGATGTCCGGCAAGCTTTTGAACACTACATGCAACACTACAACAAGGGCCGACCGTTTATTCTGGCCGCCCACAGCCAGGGATCCTACCTGCTGACCCAGTTGCTGGTGAAGTATTGGGGTGAAATCGGCATAGAGGACCAGTTGATAGCCGGTTACGTGGTGGGCTGGTCCATCACCGATGAAGATCTTCGCGACAATCCGAGTATCGAAATATGCGATGCTGCCCACCAGACCGGCTGCTTCGTCAGCTATAATTCGGTCGCGCCCGGCAAACAGAAAGACTCACCAGTCATTTTTCCCGGCGCCATCGTCGTCAATCCTCTCACCTGGACGCGGGAGGATACGCTGGCACCTGCTTCACGCAACCGAGGCTCTGTGTTCATTGAAAAGAACGGGACCTACCAGATCCTGCCTGGATTTGCCTCCGCCCGAATTGCCAATGGCGGCCTTGAAGTTGTCGCCGAAGATCCGGACAGGCTCAATTCCAAGTTTTTCCCGGAAGGGGTCTATCACAGCTACGACTATCCCCTATTTGCCGAAAACATTTCCATGAACGCAGCGCAGCGGATCCAAGCCTATCTTTTGTCTGGAAAGTAAGGCTGACAAGGCCCAAGCAGACGGTTGCTCCCTGGACTCTACAAAGACCGTGGTTTTCCGGTCAGTTTTTGCTAGAATTTCCGGTAAATCAGTTAGAATCAGCGGGGCCAGAGGCATATGAGCGGGTCAGTTGTCACCATTGCCTCGTTGAAAGGCGGCAGCGGCAAAACTACTCTGGCCACTTGTCTCGCCGTCCATTGGCATCTGAAGGGCCTGAACCCGCTTCTTGTCGATGCAGATCCCCAACGGTCCACCAGCCGCCTTGTGGAACGCGATCAGGCGCTTGGCGGGGTCAACGTACTTGAACAGGCCGACAAGGATGTCTGGAACACGATCAAGCAGCAACGTTCATCCCACAGTATCACGATCGTCGACACGCCCGGTTTCGACAGCGACATCACCATCGCGGCACTTGCAATCGCTGACATCGTTCTGATCCCGGTCAAAGCCTCACCTTTGGATGTGGATCGTATGATGGATACAGTTCGAACCCTGATGAGCGGGGTCAAGGGCTGGGCACCGACTTTCCGCTGCGTATTGACACAGACCGTTAAAGGCAGCGTCATTTCACGCCATGTCCGCAGTGAGCTTGAGGACGGCGGATTTCCCTTGCTGACAAGCGAAATGCACAATCGCGTCGCCTACGCAGAGGCAGGTCTTTTCGGCGCAACGCCCAGTCTGATCGCGCCGGAAGGTCCCGCAGCGCGGGATATTGCGCACATCGCGGATGAAGCTGACGCGCTCATATCGACAAAAAAGGCGCTCAGCGCATGAGCAAGAAACTGCCCAGAACCTCGCAAAGGACGCTCGACGATTTGCGCAAAGCTGCAAATTCCGCGCTCCATGCCGAGGAAACGGTCCAGCGGCGGATCACACCTGAAAGTTTCCTTGAACCGGAGGAAGCAGCGCCGGCCCAAGATCCGGAGCCGCGCAGCGGAAAACCGGAAAAGACAGGACCTGACCAGAAGGCTGTTCGTTCCCAAGACAGGGACGCCCGCGCCGTTGCTGTTCATGCTCGACAGGAAAGTCGCGGCAACCGCCCTGACAGAGAGAGTTTCCGGAGGTCGTCGGCCAACCTGATTGTTGAGCGGCACGCCAATTTCGCGGCCATCGCAAGTCTTGTGCCCATGCCATGGGTAGACCTTGCAGCAATTGCTTTGGTGGTCGATCGCATGCTGCGTAAACTGGCCCGCCTCTATGGCGCTCCCCTCGAGCGTTACAGGAGCAAACGGCTCGCCACCGCAATGTTAACCGGAATGGCTGCGCCAGGAATCGCCAGCCTCACGACAGTCGGATTGTTGCGTATGGCACCAGGACCCAATATTTTGGGAATGGCAATCACGTCAGTTTCAGCAACGATTTTGATCCGGATCGTAGGGGAAGTTTACATCTCGCACTTGTCGTCACCGGACGCACAGGTTGGAGCTGTAGAACCCGACCCGGTTCCTTGTTGAAACCGATCAACCAGGGAATTCACCCTGGGTTTTTCCGATGTTTACTTGAGCAACCCACATATAAAGGTCGATTTGCTGCGGTAACCCTTTCCATTTATCATCATAAAGAGTACCGTTTCATCCGAGCGATATGCCGTTCAGAAATACAGGCCACCTTCATTCCAGCCGGACGATGGGGAAACTCTTCGGCCAAAGCTGATTTCAGGAGATTTCTATGGCGAGCAAGAGTACCGCAAGCGAATCGGAAGAACCCGAAGTCGCGGAGACTGACGTTGAAGACCTTCAGGAAGATCAGGAGTTTGATGTCACCCGGGATTTGACGGCTGACAATCTCATAAAGGACTACGTGATCGCCTCTGTCGCGGCGAGTATTGTTCCAGTCGCCTTCTTTGACATCGCTGCTGTTGTCGCCATTCAGCTTCGCATGATCCAGAAGCTCTCCCGTCTCTATGAAAAGCCGTTTTCTGAAAAGCTGGGCCGCAAGGTGGTTTACGCTTTGGCCGGTGGTGTACTCGGGTATGGGGCCGGATACGTTGTTGCGGCAAGCGCGACCAAAATTATCCCCGGCATTGGCTGGATGGTTGGCATGGTTTCCCTGCCTGTCGTTGCCGGCGGCGCGACATATGCAGTTGGCCGGTCCATCGTCAAGCATTATGAAGAGGGCGGCACCCTCATGGACTTCGACGCCAGCAAGATGCGGGATTTCTACAAGGAGCAGTTCGAAAGAGGCAAGGATCTGGCCCGTAGGGCGAAAGACAAAGTCAAGCCGGAATCTGAAGCTTCCGAGGAAGCAGCGTCCTGACCACGAACTGACGACTTACAAGTTTGCGACAAGCCGCCTTGATAATTCAGGGCGGCTTGTTTGTTTGGCGTGTTCAACCGGTCAAAGCCTGAAGATCAGATAATACGGCGGCCCTTTCGCTTCCGGACAGCCAAGGGACTCTTTGCACGCTCTGCGGCAAGCAGCACGAGAATGCCGACGACCGGACTGAAGACGAATGCGATCAGGAAGTTTCCCACAAAACCAAAACGCGTATCACGGCCCAATATCCCGATTATCCAAGCAGCAACCACCCAAATCAGAAAAATCCATGGATTGATGAATATGGTCATTGGCGTTTCGTCTCCTTGGCGGATGAAGCCGGTTTTCCATCGTCCTCGCCGGACTGAGTGTCTGTTGCGTCACCGGTTCCGGTATCTGAATTCCGAATGTTAAGCGGCACCTGGAACTTTGCCACCGTGTGGAACTCTTCGCCATTGTGCCGAACGACAAATACCTGAGTATCGGTGATGGCGCCCTTGCGATCAAATACCAATGGTCCGGTCACGCCCACAAACTGCTCTTTGTAGCGTGCGACCTTCAGTGTATCCGAGATCTTCTGTGCATCCAACGTATCGGCGCGTTTGACCGCGTTCCGAAGGAGAGTGACGGCGTCATAACCCAGCGCAGCGTTCAAATCCGGCAGGTGCCCATATCGCGTCTGATATTCCTCGATGAATGTCTGCCCCGTCTTCGAAAGACTGTCCCGGTCGTAAAGGGACACGCCAATGGTGTCCTTCATGTCTTCCTTGCCAACTTTACGCTCAATTGTTGCGGAAAAGATGTACTCCATTCCCAGAATCGGCAAATCCAGCCCAAGGAAGCGCGCCCGCTTGATGAAGTTTGCAGTTTCGTCGACAGATGATGAAACGATGAAAATTGCATCGAAATCAGTGCGTTTGAAAAGTTCATTGTCGAGGACGAACATCAGAAGTTCGTCGGTCGACCGCTGTGTTCCCGACAAAAACCCCCGGTAGACAATATTGGCTCCAGCGTTTGTCATTGCCTCGGTGAAGAAGTTTGCACATTCTTTGCCATAGTCGCTCTTGTCAGAAAAAACGAGGATTCGCTCCAGGCCATTGGACAGGGCGTAACTGGCAATCACATCGGCGTTGGTTGCATTGTTCGGCTGAAGTGCAAAGACCGTTTCAAAGCCATGATTGGTCAGCGATGTCGCGGTCGCGTGGGTCGCCAGATAAAGAATTTCATTGCGTGAGTAGATCGAGCTTGCGGTTATAGCTGTATCTGACCATTCGTGGCCGATGACACCAATCAGGTCTTTTTTCCGGGCAATCCTATCGGACAGGCTCATTGTTGTCTGAACGACTGTTTCCAACGCGGTCTTGGTTGTAACGCCTCTTTCCATGGCAAGCTGCAGTACCAATTCTTCTCCCAGAACCTGCTCCTTGCTCGCATTGATTTTATCGACCCCCATCCGTGCGCCATTGATGAAGCTCTGTTCCTCGCGGTCTTCGGCATAAACGGCAACGACGCGGTACCCTTTGAAGTCGTCCTGCCAAAGACCGGCAATTCCGGGGAACCACTCCTTTAGAATGCGGGGCTGCGGGGTCATCATGCCGATGCCTGCAACGAGTACGGTGATAAACGCAACAACACCGGTGACAATCAGAAAGCCTTTGAACCAAGGCCGCCCCGCCGGTTCATTTGTATCCGTTTCGTCGCCGCGCTCCACCATCGGATCTATCGGTCACTGCCCAGAATCAGCGGTAAACCATCCTTGCCGGAACCGATGACAACTGTCTTGGAATTCGGAGACGAGGCCAGATCCTTGGTTGCCTGAACCCCTTGCCAGCGCAGCAGATCCTCCGTCAGGCTTTGTTTGACAATGTTCTGGTATTTCTTGATGCCTTCTGCCTCGATAACCTTGCGTTCCGCTTCCTTCTGCTCGATCTGAAGGCGATAGGTGTAAGCCTTTTCCTGTTCAGACAGGGTCAGTTTGTTTTCGATGGCCAACCGCACAGCCGCCGGCAGTTCGACGTTCCGAACGAGAACATCATCGACGATAACATAACGGTCTTCGACACTCGTCAGACTTCGAATTACGACTGTTTCAAGAAATCCGCGTTTGGATGTGTAGACCTGTTCAGGCGTGTACTGGCCGACTGATCGGCGCAGGACGGCTTCGGTTTCCGGGAATACGATTTTTTCCAGATAGTCCGGGCCAACCGTTACGTGCAACAAAGGCAAAAGACGTACATCAGGCTGATAGCGCACTGCGATTTGCAGATCGACCGGAAGACCGTCTCTGGTCAACATCGTGTAATTGCGCTCTTTGGTCTGCAGCCGGACATTGTAGATGTTCATCTTGTTCCACGGCCAGATGATATGAAGCCCCTCACCGTAGATCCGCGACAATTCCGTTCCGGAAAGCCAGCGATACAGAACGCCAGCCTCACCGGACTGCACCGTGATGACAATCCTGTTCCATAAAACCCCGAGACCAATGCCGCAAGCCAGCAACATAATCAGAAGGTAAAGCTGAAGACGCCGCCGACGGTCACTTCTTAGCTCTTCTTCGTAGTCATCATATTCATCTTCGTAAGCCATACGGCTTGCTCACCCCACGCGAGACTGCGAGAAACTGGACTATACGAACAAGCTGCCCGGCTTTCCAGTGAAGAAGCATCTTGTCCAGCGGCGATTGTAAAGCCTTACGTCCGTTTCGATTTTCTCTCCTCTGTCGAGCCTGTACGCAGATAAAACAAGGCAATCGGAACTGGGCGGTCCATCAGGGCTTCTGCCGCGTGCCAAGCCGGCTTGAAAGCCATTCCTTCAACTCAGGTCTGTGGATGACCGAGAAGTGGTTGGCATCAACGCGATGCAACTGAACCTTTGCGCTCGTCAGTGCAGACCAGCCGTCCAGGTAATCGCCGTCGGCTCCCTCTGTCGCCCGAACCAGATGGATCGATACATCCGTCCGCTCGGGGACGTATTCGAGAGCTGCCTTGTAGTTCGCCGAATAGACGGCAAACAACCGGTGCAGATCCTCCGCCGTGCCCCCCGGGAACATCAATTCAAACTGAGGGAACCCGAGTGCCTGTTCGACAACATCCTGATCCGGCTCAATCTCCACATCCGCTGCGAACAAGTCTCTCAGAAACGCTCTTTCACACGCTATTTCAAAACCGGCTTCCTCAAGCCCTTCAGTCTGTTCGAAAGCCCGCAAATCATCGGGCGCATAACTGTCGACCAGCCCCAGAAAGCTGACTTCCTGCCCGTTTTCGGAAAGCTGCCGCGCCATTTCGAAAGCGACGATACCGCCAAACGACCAGCCGCACAGGCGGTATGGCCCATCAGGTTGCACCTTGCGAATTTCCTCGCAACAACCTGATGCCAGTGCCTCTACGCTTTGCGGCTTGCAATCCTCGCCGGGCCTCAGTCCATTGGCACGCAGTCCATAAAGGGGCGTATCCATGGTCCAGGCATCCACAAGTGGCTGATAAAAGCCCAAGGTTCCGGCCGCTGCATGCAATAGGAAAAGCGGTTTTTCTTGCTTTGCATTGTCGCTCGGGGCGGCATTTTTCAGTTTTACAAGCAAAGTCCCTTGTCCTGAGGGCACCACAATCGGACCCGGGTTTTCAATCGCTCCTTCTTCATTCTTGTCCTGAAGCAACCTGGCCTGGCCCGATATCGTATTGGCCCTTGCCAGATCGGTAACCGACAGCTCCGTTCCAAAAACCTCTTGAATACGGCTCAAGAGCCGAATGGTCAGCAGACTGTTACCGCCTGCCTCTCCGAAATCGTCATCAGCACCAAGCTGGCTCGTGGCAAGGTCTTTGCCGAGCACCTCATTCCAGATTTCAACCAGCCGGCTTTCATGCCAACCGTGCGTGCGCCCCCCTGGTTCGCCCATGTTCCGGCGGCGTGTCTTCTTCAATTCTGCCAATGATGTGCGATCAATCTTGCCGCTCACTGTCTTGGGCAATCCCTCAACAATGACCCACTCGACCGGCACCATGTAGGCCGGGAGCATTTCTGTAACATTCTTTTTCAACTCAGCTGATTGAACCCGATCATCAACCGAACCGACATAAGCTGTCAGAACCCGGTCGCCCGCCGAATTGCTTTCCAGGACAACCGCCACTTCGGCAATTCCGTTTGCCGAAATTGCAGCTTCCACTTCTCCAAGCTCGATCCGGTGCCCCCGCACCTTCACCTGATCATCAACACGGCCGTGAAACTCGACAAGTCCTCCACTGTGGGGTCGGAAAGATGCGAGGTCCCCGGTGCTGTACAACCTGATCGTTCTCTTGTTGAGGCTGTACATGCAAAACTTTTCGGCGGTCAGGTCCGGTTGGTTGTGATATCCGTCCGCCAGCCGGTCTCCGCCAATGTGCAATTCTCCAATGATGCCGTCGGGCACCGGATTGCCGTCTTGGTCAAGGATATAGATTTCTGTGCCAGGCAGAGGCCGTCCGATCGGAACGCTTCCCTCAAAACCATCGGCCTTCACGTTATAGACAAGCGCAGTGATCGTCGCCTCGGTTGGCCCATAGGCGTTGATCAGACGCCGGTCGGGCAGATCGCAGGCCTTCCAACGGCTCAGCAGATCAGGTGTAAATGCTTCGCCGCCAACGACAAGCAGCCTCAATGGCAGTGCCGTCAGGTCCTCATCGTTCATTGTCCAGGATCTCAGGAGTTCACTGAGATAAACAGGAGGCAGGTCCGCCACCGTTACGCCTGCCTTTTTCAGAAATGTCAAAAATGCCCCGGGTGACTGAAGATCCTTGGGGTGCAGTTCCAGACGCCCGCCCACGGTCAGGATCGGCAGTATTTGCTCCAGTGCAGTGTCGACGGAGGTGGAAGCGAACTGCAGCACCACATCTCGTGGAGACAAGCCGTATTCTTCGCCAATGATCTGGCAGTGCGCGGACAATGCCTTGTGTGAAACAATTACACCCTTTGGCCGGCCCGTGGAACCTGAGGTGTAGATGATATAGGCGGGATCGTCCGGCTTGACGTTTCGGACAGACAACCGGGTGAAACGGCTTTTTAGGCTGCTCCGTCGATTCTCAAGATCCAGAACGTGCCTGGGCGGGTTTGGAAGATCTCTCAGCTTCTTGACCCAGTCGCCTTTAGAAACCACTGCCAAGGCACCCGCGTCCTTCAAAATGAAGGCAACGCGTTCCTTAGGCAGGTCCGGGTCGATCGGCACCCAAACAGCACCGACGCTCATGGCAGCCATCAACGTTGCAATTCCGTCGCTCTCGCGTCCCAGCAGGACAGCGATGCGGTCGCCGCGTTTGAGCGAGAAACTTTCAAGCGATCTTGCAATCTCGTGGCTTCTGGCAACCAACTTCTTGTAGGACAGGTTAGTGCCATTCCCTGAAATCGCGACGGCGCCAGGTGTCCTTTTGGCCTGGTTCAGGATCAATTCATGGATGGGTGTTTCGGCAACTGCCGCCCTGCCCGACCGGTTCCAGTGATGCAGCGCCCTGTCTTCTTCGGCAGCGGTCAGAACCGACATTTTCGAAAGGGAAAGCCCGCTGCCCCCCGCCATAAATTCCAACATCTCCTGATAGTGCTGCAGCATCAGCGCCACTGTGTCGGACCGGAAAAGGTTGCTATCAAAGTTGGCAACCAGGCGAACATTGCCGCCAGTCTTTTGAACTTCTATTCCGAACACCGAACCACCCGTCTGCCGTATCTCAGGCATCAGCTCAACTTCGCCGCGGGCAAATACAGGGTGTTCGCGCAAACGATCGCCGAACCCCTGGTAGGCGAAGGTCACCTCATAGGGTGCTTCACCGGTCTCGGTACCGCCAGTCTCACGGGCGACTTCAGCAAATGGGTACTCGCTCTTGGCAAGTCCGGCTGCGAGTTCCCTGTCGACAAAGTCCGCGAATTCAGCGTCCGTTTGACCAGGATCGATAGCCAACCGCAGGGCGACGATGTTGGCACAGTAACCGACTGTTTCCGCAAATCGCCGCATTGGGCGGCGAAGCGCCGGGATACCGATCACAAGGTCCTGTTGGCCGGTATATTTGTAAAGAATTGACGCGAATGCGGACAGATAGACAGAACTCGCGCTAACACGCCGCTCTCTGGCGCGTTGGTCCAGTCTGCCGGCGAGATCGTCAGACAATCTCACCACCAGGCTCTCGCTGGCACCGGTTTCTTGATGTCTGACTTTGTCGGCAATGGGCCATTGCAACCGTGGTAGCGGCCCCTTGAGCATGTCCAGCCAATATGATTTCTGTTCCTGGCCTTTTTGTGAGCGAATGAAACCGGCCTCCCACTCGGCAAAGTCGGCATAATCGGCTGACAAATCGCTTTTTGCCTCAGGCGCTGATTCACCGTAAGCGAAATGGGCATAGGCACTCCAAAAGTCCCGCGCCAAAATCTCAGATGTGAGCCCATCGGTTATGATGTGGTGCGCCGTGATCAGAAAAATACTTTCTTGACGGTCCAGCTTTCCGCCTGCCGCATGCTCAACGCGGAAAACACCTTTGTCGAGGTCAAACGGAATGGCAGCTTGCTGTTTCAGACAAGCCTCTGTTTCGATCTCTTTCGAAAGCGTGATCGGCTGGACCTCGATGCTGCCTGACATTGCGGTCAGGGCTGCTGTCTCGCCGTCAAGAACAACCCTGGTTGCCAGGATTGGATAGCGCAAGACCAGCCAATCGACCGCCTGCTGCAGGGCCCGCCTGTCCGCCGAGGTGCATTTGAAGGCCATTGGAACGTTGTAGTCTGAGCTTCCGGGATATAGTGACTGGTAAACCCAGAGCCCCTTTTGCGCCTCGCCCAGAGGTACATAATACGGTCCTGCCCTGCCTGACAGGTGATCGATCGAGGGTGTGTGTGCTTCACTAGGTGGAAATGTCTCGACAATTGCGGCCAACTGAGACGGTGTCTGCTCCCAGTCCAAATCATCATTTTGAAGAACCACACCAAGTTCTTTCTCCAGCTCGTAACCAAGCCGCATGCGGGCCATTGAATCCACGCCAAGAGCTGCAAAACTCGTATCACTTTCAATATCGGCGGCAGCCACCCCCAGCTCGCGTGCCAGAGTGCTGCAGATGACCTGTAAAGCTCCCGGCCGTTTGCCTGCAGTTGTTTTTTGCGCTGTCCTGGAAGGAGGGGATGCGTTGATTGTCCCTGTTTCGGGTTCCTGCGCCTCGGACTTCAGCCAGTGGCGTTCACGAGCGAACGGATAACCTGGCAGGACCAGCATGGGTCCGGATCTTGAAACAGCGACAGCGTCGTCGGAGACGGGTTCTCCATGTAGCTGTGACGGCAACGGGCTTTCGAGTTTTTCGATAAGTTCCTCGATGTTTGACGCTGAATAAGTGATGCCAGCGTCAAGGGCTTCCCGGCCAAAAGACAGTGTTCGTGAAAGAGCGTCTAGCGAGAGACTATTTGCAGAACGAAGGTAGCCGGCGAGTTCTTTCCGAACCTCCTCCAGTTGGCCTCTGGTTCGGGCAAAAACCGGGAAAGGACGGCGGATGCGGGGCTCTGGAACCGGATGATGCTGAACAGTGGCCGGAGCCTCTTCCAGTATTACATGAACGTTCGAACCGCCGGCACCAAAGGAGCTGATTGCAGCTCTGAGAGGCGTTTCCCGGGTGGTTTCCCAGACTTGTCCCTTTAACTGCGGCTTGAACGGCAATCCGTCAAAAACGCCCTCAACTCCTCCTTTGACGAATGACGGAAACAACTCGCGGTGCTGAAACTGCAGCAGCACCTTTGTCAACTGGGCCAAACCCGAAGCGGCTTCTGCATGGCCCATGTTGGTCTTCACAGACCCGAGGGCAACGGCATTTTCGTGCCCCGGACGTCCGGCGAAAACATTGGATAGAGCCCTCAGCTCAATCCTGTCGCCCATGTTGGACCCGGTTGCCGCAACTTCGATGTAGTCAATCGTATCCGGATCAATACCGGCGCTCTCGTATGCCCCCTGAAGCAGTTTGACTTGTGCGTCGGCATTTGGGACGGCGTATCCGGCGGAATGGCCGGAATGATTTGCAAAACCTCCCTTGATCACACCCAGCACCTGGTCCTGGTCTGCCAAGGCACGATCCAGCGGTTTCAGCAGCACGGCTCCCACACCTTCGGCAGGTAGATATCCATCTCCTGCACCAAGGGACCGCTTCTGCGGATCAGAGCTAACCAGTCCGGCACGGCTCAAGGCCTCGAATTTCAAAGGGTGAATGGTGAGATTGACACCACCGGCAAGCGCCAACTGGCATTCGCCGGCGTTGAGGCTTTGGCAGGCCTGATGGACGGCCTGAAGACCTGACGAGCACATGCTGTCCAGCGCGATACTCGGCCCCTGGAGGTCAAAAAAGAAAGAGACCCTATTTGCGATCGCCGAATACGAGTTCAAAGCCAGCAAGGCCTTGGCATCTTCCTCGACGGCCAGGCCCGGATACTGGTTGTACATGGCTCCGACAAAAACGCCGACGCGCTTGTCATAGTGTTCGGCCAGATACGGCCGGGTATGGCCAGCGCGCTCAAAAAGATGCCAGGCTGTTTCCAGAAACAGCCGTTCCTGCGGATCCGCAAGATCCGCCGCGCGGGGTGAATAACCGAAGAAATCGGCATCGAAACAGTCGACACCTTCCAGGAAGGCTCCCCATTTGCAATAGCTGGTGCCCGGTTCTCCTTTGGACGAAGAGTATCGTTTCAAAAGATGTGCGCGGTCCTCCGGGATCTCTGTCACACAATCACGGCCTTCGCGCAAAAGGTCTGCGAAACCCTCAATCGTCTCCGCACCCGGAAAACGCCCGGCGACCGCGATGATCGCGATCTCCCGATCCCTGGGTGAACCATCCCGTTCAGAAGCGCTTTCTCTCAACGGCGGTGCCAACAGCTCAGCGCTGTCCGACGTTCCGTCAAATGCGGTTCCCCCTCGCCCGAGAAGTTCGTCTGCCAGACGGCCGATGGTTTGAAACTCAAACAGAATGGTCTGCGACAGCGGGCCAAAATCGCGCTCCATGGCCTCAACGATCTCCAGCGCGGACACGGAGTCTACACCGAACCGGTCGATTGTGCTCTCCTCGTCCAACCGATCTTCCGGGATACCGAGACACTTGGAAAAAGCTGTCTTGATCGCAGCAACAATTGCCATGCGTCGGGAAGCTCCCGCTTCGTTTGCGGAAGTTCCGGTCATTGTTACTTTTGAGATGGTGCTTTCCGGTTTCTCGGAGGATGACCCGTCTCCGGGTCTCATCATCTCGCGCAACCGGGCATGATCGCCTTCAAGAACCAGAACCTGTTCCCGTTCAACAGAGGCCACGATCACATCGAGCGCCGCTATTGCCGGTCCCGTTTCCAATGGCCGGACTCCGGCGCTGCGATCCATGAGCCGGATTGTATTGGCGTCCATCTGCATACCGCCATCGCGCCAGTAAGGCCAATCTATGGAAACTGACCAACCCCGGCGCAAGCCCGCCTCCGCTTGTACATTGCGCCAGGCTGCAAAGCGATCAAGGAAGGCGTTGGCCGTGCCATAATCGGTCTGGCCGGGATTTCCAAGAGCACCGGTCGCGGAGGCCAGCAACACAAAAAACTCGATTGGCATGGAACCGATAGCTTCGTCGAGCACTGTTGCTCCGGCAACTTTTGGAGCAAGAACGCTTTTGAATGTGGTCTCTGTCTTCCGACTCAGCAAGCCGTCCTTCGTAACCCCCGCTCCGTGGAAGACACCGGTCAGATCACCATCGGATTTCCGAATTTCGTCCAGCAGAGCCGAAACCGCTGCCTTGTCAGTGATATCGACCGGACGGTAACGGACCGTCGCTCCCGTCATTTCCAGATCGCGCACCTGCTGTTCGATCACCTGGTCAGGGGCGGAGCGCCCCGTCAGCCACAGGATCGGTTCTTTGGTCCCATCTGCAATTGCGCGGGCAATGTGAAGACCCACACCACCTGCGCCTCCGGTCAGCAGATACACGCCCCGGTCTTTCCATGGTCTGGTCTCATCAGTCCTATCAGGCTGAATTTCATTCCAGGAGCGGACGAAACGCAAACCAGACAAATACCGAATTTCACACTGTGTTCCGGCGGTATGCGCATCAGCTTCCAAGCAGTCCGCAAAATTGCCCGCACACGTATCTGTGCCGACAAGTTGACAGGACCATTCCTTGTTTTCCAGAGCGGCGGAGCGCAGTAAACCGGACAAGCCTTCCAACAAACTGCCATGCCTGTCCGTCGGCACCACGACTTGAAGCGTGGCCTTTAGCGGCCCTCCCGACAGTGTCTTTAAAAACGTGAATAGCTGCAGCGCGCAGGATTCAAATACCGCATGCGGCTCAGTCTCCTCGGTTGCGAGGCTAAGAACCGTGACACCACGCCGCTCCAGCTCATCAGCCAACAACGGGTGGGAAGTTCTCACCCCGCACAGCACACAGTAGCGGTTTTGAACGGAGGCATTCCTTCCGGCTGGACGCGGGGTCTCTGCCCAAACCGGTTCAAATAACAACGGCAGCATTTCCCGGTGTTTCGATGGTCCGGACGGGGTCAAGGTTTGAGGCGCCGTATCGGGCAGCCAGCAATAGTCTTCCGCAAACGGGTAGGTCGGAAGACTGATTGGCAACGGGTCCCGGTCCACCCTCAACGCAGCCCAATCGACATCACCAAAACGCACCCACCGGTCAGCTGTCTCGGAATACCGATTTGGGGGAACACCCTCGCGCGTTTGGCGCTTTGCGCCGTTATGAAAAATTCCCTCAATCGCAGGAGCGTCCGCCAGATAGCAATCCAGCTTGTTCACCAGATCAGCCCTATCATCGGCGACAATCGCCAAACGCTGCTCAAAAGTTTCCCGCCCCTCCTGCAGCGTATAGGCCACAGACGGCATGTCTTTGTCTTCGAGCTGTTTCAGGTGGTTTCGAAATCTGGAGAGAAGGACAGACAGACGTTCCGCGTCCCGGGCCGAAAACGGATAGACCGCAGAACCAATTGGCGAAACGGGCTGCGTTTCCTTCTCATACTCCGCTACCACGAAATGGGCGTTCGAACCTCCGGCCCCAAAGGAGGAAAGACTGGCGATCCTGGCTTGGGCAGTTCCTTCATTCCAGTCTGTTTCCCAGGCTGCAAGCTTTTGCTGGACTTGAAAGGGCGAGGCATCAAAATCGATATGAGGATTGAGACGGTCCGAGTGCAACGACGGCACGATCTGCTTGTGTTCAAACTGCAGCAGCACTTTGGTTAGACCCGCAATTCCCGCCGCGCTTTCCGCATGTCCGATATTGGATTTCACGGAACCGATAGCACATCGGCGGGAGCGGTCCGAAACCCCGCCAAAAACGCGGGTCAGAGCTTCTATTTCTATCGGATCGCCGAGACTGGTGCCAGTGCCGTGGGCCTCGACGAAGCTGACTTCTTGCGCGGTTATGCCGGCATTCGACAGCGCCTTTTGAATGACGGCCGACTGAGCGGACAGATTGGGCACGGTATAGCCGTTGGTCTTGCCGCCATGGTTGAGCGCTGACCCTAAGATAACACCGTAGATCCGATCACCATCGGCTTCCGCCCGGCTCAGCGGTTTGAGCAAGACAGCTCCAACGCCTTCTGCGGGGACATAGCCGTCACCGCCCTCACCGAAGCTTTCGCATCGACCTTCGCTGGACAGAAAACGTCCCTGTGCCAGTGCGAGGTACTTGTTGGGATGGGTTGTCAGATTGACCCCGCCCGCAAGAGCCACGGAGCATCCGCCACCCCGCAAGCTTTCGCAGGCCAGGTGGATAGCCGTCAGGGACGACGAGCACATGGTGTCGAGCGCAAGGCTTGGCCCGTTGAAATTCAGAAAATAGGAGACACGGTTTGCGATGGAAGCCGGGTTGCCTGACAGTGCAACCGGATGCCCGGCAGCAGCCATGTCGCGGCCATAGAGCTGATACTCCTCCCACATGACCCCGACAAAAACGCCGGCATCGGCGCCTGTCAGACCGTTTGCATGGCCGTTTGCATGGCCGGTGAGAGACGCCCGCGTATAGCCCGCATCCTCAAGTGTTTCCCAGGCACATTGAAGAAACAGCCGCTCCTGGGGATCCATAAATTGCGCTTCGCGCGGAGCGATGTTGAAAAACATCGGATCGAAACGATCATGTCCCTCGATGAAACCGCCCCACCTGCTTGTGGTTTTCCCTGGTTTTCGCTCGGGGTCATAGTGGTCGGAGTGATCCCACCGGTTTTCGGGAATCTCGGTGATACAATCACGCCCCGCCGCAAGGTTTTGCCAGAATTCCTGTAGTGTTCGGGCACCCGGATACCGACCGGAGAGCCCAATTATCGCGATCGCGTCGTTGGAGCGCTCACCCGTGGGCGCCACGTTCTGGAGCGCAGGTGTCGAAGCGACGAAATCCCGCTGGTTCCCTTCTCCGCCAAACATCTCCGCAAGCCGTTGCCCGTGATGTTCACGAAAGTATCCGATCAACTCTTCCAGAGACTGGTGCTCAAAGAACAATGTTTTGGGCAGTTTCCCGAAATCGCGCTCCAGAAGGTCCGTCAGGCGCATAATCAGCACCGAGTCGATACCGTAATCCTCAAGAGGTGCTGACAATGAGATCAGCGAGATTTCAACTTCTGTTTCCCGTGCGATCAATTCGGCAAAATACTGCCCGGCAGCAATCCCTGCCGGTGCGCCAGACCCGGTCGCTTGAGCAACAGCAGATGGCCGTTCCGTGACTGGAGCCTTCAGCTCCTTCAGCGAAAAACCCTCAAGTCGGACACAGATTTTGCCCGTCTCGCCGAGCAGATCAATGTTCAGTTTTCGAATGCCGCTTGCTGCCGGCAAAACTGACAGATGCGCCCACATGTCCGGAACCGTCGGGCCGTAAACCGTCAATCTATCGATCGCGAAGGGCAGAGCGAGCCCCGCGTCACCATCACTGGCAAAGGCAACAAGAACAGCCTGAAAAGCGGCATCGAGGATGCTGGGGTGCAGCAGGAAATCACCTTCCTGATCCGCGATCACACGCGGCACACGCAACCGGACAAGGACGCCGTTGCCTCCCGTACTCAACTCCGTAATCGCGCGGAGCGAGGGGCCATAATCGATACCAAGAGCCGAGTAACAGGCATAAAGCCAATCCGGGTCATGCGCTGTCCGGCAAATCTCGTGAAGACTGTTCAGGTCAACTGTTGAGGGCTGGATGGCAGCCGGCAGAGCGGAGACCTTACCCGTGACATATGGGACCGGCTCTCCGGTTTCCGGCACAAGCTTGAATGGCACTGACGCGGTTTCCTGATCTCCAAACAGGACCTTGAGCGCTTTCAGACCCGCGTTGAGTTCAACCGGCCGACGCCACGTCACGTCCGTCAGAGCGAACGGTATTTGGGCAATACCCGGTGATGCCAGCGCGGCCTGACAGGCAATCTCGAGACTCATCGCTCCAGGCAAGATGCGGTTGCCTCGCACGACATGATCCTTGAGGTAAAACGCATCTGCCTCGACAATATTGGCGGCAGATGCAGCAGCATTCCCGGTCTGTCCATCACCGTCCGCGCTGTCCGTCTCGATCCGGAATATGTCCCGGGCGAAGGAATAAGTCGGCAATCTCAACCGTCGGTGTGAACCGGGATTGACGATCTTCCAGTTTATTTCTCCACCATCTATCCAGTGCCGGGCAATTTCGTCCGGGTGGGCACCAGGCCTAAGCAAAACGCCTTGAGGCGGGCTCCAGTTATCAGGACCGGCGAACACTGTTTCCGCTGCCTCACCCCGCAGATACCGCAACAGGTCCGTCTGGAGATCATCCAAATGCCTGCAGACAATTGCCAGACGCACTGCCATATCAGCCCGGCCGACCTGCAAGGTATAGGCGAGATCCGCAAGGCAATCATCAGGGACTTGCCCGGTATCGAGGTGCCTCAACAGAGCTTGCGCACTTTCGTTCAACCGGGTTTTATCTCTTGCCGACAGCACAATGATTTGCGACGGGACATTTTCTGGATGAAGAGGCTGCCGATTTTCCTCAGGACGGTACTCCTCCAGAATCGCATGGGCATTGACGCCGCCAAAGCCAAAACTGCTGACGCCTGCACGCAGCGGCTGTTCGATACCGCGCTCGTCGGGAAGTGGTGTCCATTCTTCCAGTGCTCGAACGACACGGAACGGAGCGCCATCGAGATCGATGTAGGGATTGATTTCCTTGCAGTTCAGGCTTGGAGCCAGCGTCCTGTGCTCCATCTGCTTGAGCACCTTGATCACGCCGGCAACCCCGGCCGCAAGCTCAAGATGGCCGATATTCGTCTTGACCGACCCCAACCCACAGAGGCCGGTATTCCGCATTTCCGTTTGTCCCGATGGTGACCGGAATGCGGATTTCAGAGCGTTGACTTCTACCGGGTCACCAAGCGCGGTTCCGGTTCCATGTGCTTCGACATAGCCAACAGTTCGCGGATCCACCCCAGCGTTTTCATAGGCGGCCATCAGAAGGTCGGCCTGAGCACTCGTGTTCGGCGCTGTCAGAGAATTGGCATGGCCGCCATGATTGATCGCTGTTCCCCGGATAATGGCCAAGATCGGATCACGATCGCGTTCAGCATCCGACAAGCGGCGGACAAACAGCATGCCGACGCCTTCGCCGCGGACATAGCCATCTGCGTCCGCAGAAAAAGTCTTGCAACGGCCGTTCTCGGACAACATACCAGCCCGGGCAAAGTTGATATGAGCTTCCGGTGTGAGGATGGTATTCACCCCGCCGACAAGCGCCATATCACAATCACCAACCTTGATAGCCTGAACCGCGCGGTGCAGTGCGACGAGCGAACTGGAACACGCTGTCTCGACAGGTTCACTCGGCCCGTGCAAATCCAGAAAATAGCTGATCCGGTTTGGACCGACGGACGGCACAGAGCCGGTCGCGACGTATCCCTCGCCTCCCGCGTCGCTACCGATCTGACCACGGTAGCCACTGGACGAAGTGCCGACAAAAACCCCGACTTTCTTCCCGGCTAGGCCGCGCGGCGAATGGCCTGCATCCTCAATCGCCTTCCAGGCATGCGTCATCATCAGACGCTGCTGTGGATCCATCAATTTGGCTTCGCGCGGCGAAATACCGAAAAAGAGCGGATCGAATTCGTAAACACCATCGATGAAACCGCCCCAATGAATATTGGTTTTTCCCGGCTCTTCTCTCGGATTCCCATCGACTGCCTGCCACGACCAGCGATCGGCTGGAATTCTCGATATGCAGTCGCGTCCGGCAACAAGATTGGACCAGAATGCATCACCATCCTCAGCCATCGGGAAGCAACAGCTTTGGCCAACGACCACGATCGGGTCATCACCGGCCTGAAGGGATGAAACTTGCGCCGCCTTGGATGCGTCGTCACCGGACTTCTTTGCCTTGCCGGGTACTGATGCAACGGCCCCTTCTTGCTGACCTGGCCGCGACATACCAAGCTGCTCATCGGTGAGGCCGTCACAGATATGATCGGCCAATCTGGCAAGGGTTGCGAATTCGAAGAAGTCCGCCGGAGTGAGTTCAAGGCCGAGATCAGCGTTAATTTGCGTTGCAAAACCAGTCATGCTGACGGAATCGAAACCAAAGTCGCCAAGCTCCGTATCGACATCCAGCGATGACGGTTCCACCTCCAACGTTCTTGCGGCAATGTTTGTAACGATTTCCAGCGTCTGCTTCTGACGGCCGGCCTCTTGTGCGGGTTCGCCGAACGCGGTGTCAGCACCTTCTCTGGTACCAGCGGAAGCCGGACTACGCGTCACAAAACCTTCGAAAATGACTTTGATATTGCCCAGATCATCGCAGAGGCTGATATCGAAAGAAGCATCTCGTTTCCGAACAACGGCCCACATCTCCGGGTGTGTCGTACCGTAGACTTTCGTGCTCCGGACGGAATAGGGCAGCGCAAGCTCATTGCTGCCTGAAGCATCTGCTTGCAGCGCAAGAACGGTCTGCAGAGCCCCGTCAAGCATGGAAGGATGCAAGGCAAAGCCGGTATCCGCTTCCCTGGGCAGTTCCAGGCGCGCGACTGCCGTGTCTTCACCGCGCCAAATCCGGTTGAGCCCGCGGTGTGCGGGACCATAGTTCAGACCAAGGTCTTCAAACTGCCGGTATAGTTCAGCAACATCAACCGGCTCCGCCGCGATGCTTCGTGCTGCAGGCAGGTCCAGAGCCGGACTGGAAACGGACAGCAGCTTGCGAAGAACTCCTTCAGCATGCCGCTGCACCCCGTCGGCGGATTTCGCCGATATGACATAACGCGCGTTCTCAACCGCGCCATCCGGCAGCGACACTTCAAGCTCCACCTCGCCCGTGGTCACCGGAACACTCCCGACCCAGGTATGGCCTGTCAGCTCAAAGGCTGTTGCATCTCGTGTTGAGCTTGCCAAACACCGGCTCAAAAGCTCGAGCGAAAAAACACCGGGCAAAATCTTGGACCCATGGACCTGATGATCGCGCAGGTAGCTTTCCGAGCCGTCCATGGCATGAGTGAAGGCAGTGTGCGGCAGGAAGGCCTTTTGACGGCCCGGCGTTTCACCAATCCAATAGCGGGTCCTGGAAAAAGGGTACCCCGGCAGTGCCACCCGGGCACCTGGGCGTCCTCTGCGAACAGTAGCCCAATCGACACCAAATCCATCGACCCAAAGCGCCAGGAGATCATCCGCGCGACCCCTCGTGGCAAGCCCGGCCGCCGCCTCCCGCAGCGGGCCGTCGTTTTCCAGAACCGAAGTTCTCTTGCGGCCGGACTTCAGGTTCCCGGCATGAAGCTTTCCGGTATTGCGCCCGTCGACGAAAGCCTGCAACCGCTCCAGAAGGACTGAATGACTGCCCGCCAGGAAACCGAGGCGGAAATCCATGGCTTCCCGGGCCTGCTGAAGCGTGAAGGCAATATCGGAAAGCTCAGGTATGTTTTTGCCAGAAGACAGGAACTGGATGAACCGTTCTGCGGTTTCCTTCAACTGGGCTTCTGTCCTGGCCGACAGGATGATCAGCTCAGGTTCGTCAACTCTATAGTCTGATGGTGGCGAGATGGCAGGTTGGTATTCTTCAAGAACGACATGCGCATTCGTTCCGCCGAACCCGAAACTGCTGACACCCGCCCGCCGCGGGAGATTTTCGCCCTTGTCCGTGAAACCGGGCTTCCAGATTTCGGCGCGATCTGCCAGATGAAACGGACCCCCTTCAAGTTTCAAATACGGGTTGGGATCACCGCAATTCAAAGACTTGACGATTTCGCCGTGACGAAGTTGCAGCAGTACCTTGATCAAACCGGCAATGCCGGCGGCAAGTTCCAGATGGCCAATGTTTGATTTGACGGAACCTATTGCGCAATGTTGGCTTGGGGCAGCCTCGTAGTCAGCTTCGGCCTCTCTGGAAAGGTCGGAAAAAGCTGCCGTCAGGGCTTCTATTTCAATGGGATCTCCAAGCGGCGTTCCCGTGCCATGTGCCTCGACATAGCCGACGGTTCTCGGATCAATTCCTGAGCGTCTATATGCGGTCCGGATGAGATCTGCCTGCGCTTTGGGATTGGGTGCCGTCAGGGAGGCAGCATGGCCACCATGGTTTTCCGCGCTCGCCCGGACAACCGCCAGAATACGGTCACCATCCCGCTCGGCAGCCGCCAGGGATTTCAGCATTACAAGCCCGATCCCCTCTCCCCTGGCGTATCCGTCTGCCCGGGAGGAAAACGGCTTGCATCGCCCCTCGGGCGACAACATGCCTGCCTTGGCAAATCCGACGAAGGCTTCGGGAAGAAGCAACGTGTTCACACCACCGGCGATCGCGTGCAGGCAATGACCCGAGCGTATGGCCTCAACGCCCCGGTGCACTGCGATCAGGGCGCTTGAGCACGCGGTTTCAACCGCAATGCTTGGTCCATGAAAATCGTAGAAGTAACTGATCCGGTTCGGTCCGAGAGACGGGGCCAATCCGGTCATGGAATAACCTTCGACCTGAATGCCCGCCTCCGCGACCAGCCGACTGTAGCCTGTGTCTGCAGTCCCGACGAATACTCCCGTATCGGAACCAGCGAGAGACGAGGGAGCATATCCTGCATCTTCCATGACCCGCCACGCCTGCGTGAGCAGCAGGCGATGTTGTGGATCCATCATCCGCGCTTCCGGTGGTGTGACACCGAAAAAAGCGGCATCGAACTCTCCGATGCCCTCGAGAAAGCCGCCCCACTTGACGTTCCCCTTGCCAGATTCCGTCAGCGGATCCCCCCAATAGTCCCGCCAGTCCCAACGGTCTTGCGGAACCTCCGAAATTGCATCCCTTCCCTCTTTCAGAAGTTGCCAGAAAGCCTCCACATCCGGGGCGCCCGGGAACTGACCACTCATGCCGATGATGGCTACCGCGTCATCCTGACGGTCCGGGCGCTCATTGATCACCGCGGCAGCGGGGACTGAGGGTGCCAGATACTTCGCAGGCTCTGTCGGATCACCGGGAATTTCGAAGCCCGAGTTTCGTGCATCATCTTCTGACCCCGACATGCCCATGCCAAGAGCCACAGCGATGCGACTGCGTTTCTCATCACACAGGTGCGCTGCAAGTCCCGCCAACGTCGGAAACTCGAAAAACAGTGTTGGCGTCAGCTCGAGGTCGAAGTGTTCGTTCAGGCGATTGGCAAACTGGGTGAACCCGATGGAATCGAAACCGTATTCCGTCAATTCTTCGTCCGGATCGAGATCTTCCGGCTGGACCTTCAACTGCTCGCTGGCAATTTCGGTCAAGCTTTCCAGAAGCCGCCGGTGCAAAATTGCGGGGTCAGCCGATTTCTTGGACAATTCGGTGTCGACAGGTAGAACCGGCGGTTGCTGAATTTCTGTTTCCGGTTTGAAAACCTCTTCGACAAAACGGCGGATGCGATCAGCCTTGCCAGTCGCAAACATGACGCGGGATGCAGTGCCAGCGAGCGCTTCGTAGAGCGCCTTCACCCCATTTTGGGTCTCAAGCGGGGCAAGACCCGTCGTTCGGCGCATAAGATCTTCTTGCACCTTCGACAAAGTCATGCCGCCATCGCGCCAAAGCGGCCAGGCAATCGACACCGTGCGACCCTGGCATTCTCCTCTCAAGCGGCGGCTTTCGCGTTCGTGCGCAAAACCGTCGATAAATCCATTGGCCGCGCCGTAGTCCACTTGCCCGGGATTTCCAACAACTCCTGATAACGAAGAATAGAGCGCAAAAAAATCAAGCGGCTCGGTTCCAAGGGCGCGGTCCAGGGCGATTGCTCCGGACACCTTCGGCGCTAGAACACAGTCCAGCTGTTCTGGTGTTTTTTGTGAAAACACTCCATCGGCGATGACACCGGCCATATGTATGACGCCGTTCAACTGTCCGTATTTGCGGCGTAAGTCTGCCAAAGAGCGCATGACCGCGTCTTGATCCGACATATCAACCGTCAGGTGATGAAGGCCGGAGGTCTTTCTGATCCAGTCGGCGAGCGCTGCATCGGGATCGCTCCGGCTTGCCAGCACGACAGTGCAATCGGTGACGTGCGTGAAAATCTCCCGGGCAAGCCCTTGTCCCAGCGCACCGGTTCCACCGGTAATGAAATAGACACCGCCCGTCCGCCAAGGAACGTCTTCAGGCGTGGGCGATGCCGGCACTTCTTCCCAAATTTCTTCGGTAAGCGCACCACTTTGAAGCCTGAGGACAGCACCTGCCGGGGCAGCAGCATTCCTGGTCAGCACAGCCTGGAGGTTCGCAGCAGAAGGCCTTTCAGACAGCAAGAGAACCTGACCGCCTATCGAACGGTGTTCGCGGCGAATGCTGCGGAACATGGAAGCCAGCCCTGCCAACGCGGTTTGGTCTTCCGCGGCTTCCAGGATCAACTGGATCAGAACTTCACCGCTGGAAAGCTCTCCCTTTGCAATTTCGAGAATTTGGCGTGCGAGCATGCGATACCGCTCATCCGGACGCGCAGCCAGGTCGTCGTCGAGCAAACGCACGTCCCATTCCGGCGATATGTCAGCCAACATGCCTGATATCTTCGATGACCCGACGATAAGAACGACCCTGCGCCGGCGTTCCTCAACGCCGGTGGTTGTCGGGAGCGGACGCTGCCGGGGCTCAAAACGGAGACATTCATTCTTCTTCGGAACATTGAGAGCCCTGGTCGCAAATCCCTTCAGGGCAACGCGCACGCTGCCGTCACCGGCGACAAGATCGACATCCATCTTCGGGCGAACAGCTTCCCGACCCCCGATTGTCCGGACACTGACCCACATCTTCGGCTCGCAAGGACCGAACGTTTCCGCACTGTCCAGTGAGAAGGGTAAAGCGGTTTCCAGCCCCTCATCATTCCAGCCAACTCCGATCGCCGACTGAAGCGCCCCGTCCACAAGACTTGGATGAAAAACAAAATCACCAAGTGAAACATTCATGTGTTGAGGCAGTTCGATTTCGGCAAAAACCGATGAGTCTGCCTGGGTCCGGTCGTTTATCGTCAAGCAGTTGATCACACGGTGGCCGGCCCCATAGGCCAGACCAATCCCATCGAAAGCGGCATAGACCTCGTCGTGGGTCAGATATTGACCGCTGGATTGCCTCAAAGCCTCGAGGTTTATGGATCTTCCGACACAAGAACCTGCTTCACTTACGTGCAGTTGGGCATGCAGTTGGCGTTCACCAGTATCTGCCAAACTGGAAACTTCGACCCTGAAGCCGCCATTTTCTGCCGCAGCGAAATTGCAAAACAGTTCGGCATGTCCTTCTACCCGAAGCGGTGCCAGCCAGACGATCTGCCGGAGAAGCGGGTTTTTCAGACCGTTTTGAACGGCAGCCGAGCGCACTAGTTCCAGGTATGCAACACCGGGCAAAACCGGTGAACCGGCGACCTTGTGGTCGGCGAGGAACACTTCCTGGCCGGTCAGAACCAGAGCAAACTGCCCCGCCTCCCCCGGCTGTGGCGAGAGCGGGCCATTTGCATGCCGCGGGTTTGCCTCTTCAAGTGGCAACCAATACCGTTTGCGTTGGAACGCATAGGCCGGAAGCGATACGCGGCGCGGTCGCTCTTTCCCATAAAGACGCGCCCATTCGACGTCGCCGCCCTCAGCCCAATGCCGGGCGATGATTTCCGCGCTTCTTTCTGAAGGATTCAAAGGATCGGCTTTGCCGCGCCGCCCGCCCGGAACCCTTCCGGTGATAGCGGCCGTTGCATCGCCGCCAAGATACACTTCCAGTTTCCGCGCAAGGTCCTCGCTGCTTGTTGCAAGGAATACCGCGCGGCACCGCATTGCGTCCCGGCCGGCCTGCAGGGTGTAGGCAAGCTCACGCAGATCCGCCTGTCTTGCGACCGCACACAATCTTGCGATCCCTGCTTCAAGCGCTGCTTCGGTTTTCGCGGAAAGCGGAACAACAAGAGGTGTTTCAACCTCGTGCCATGCATTTCCGGCAGGGCGGCGGTACTCCTCAACGACCAGATGGACATTGGCCCCGCCTGCGCCAAACGAGCTGACACCCGCTCGCAAGGGCTGTGTCTTGCCATCAAGATCAAGACGTTTCCAGTCAGAGGCTTCCTGCAGCAGGTAGAACGGGCTGCCATCAAGGTCCATCAAGGGATTGGGAGTACCGGCGTGGATCGTCTTGAAAAGCGTCCCGCCTTTCATCGCAAGCAGCACCTTGATCAGACCTGCGACACCAGCCGCTGTTTCCGTGTGCCCGATATTCGATTTGACCGACCCAAGTCCAATGAACGCCTGCGCCGGAGGGTCAAGGCCCCAGTTTTCATAAAGTTCCTTGAAGGCAAGTTTCAGCCCCTCGGTTTCAACAGGATCTCCGAGAGGCGTTCCGGTGCCGTGACATTCGATCAGGCCAATTGTGCGTGGATCGACACCGGCCTGTTTGTGCGCCTCGACGATCAAACGGGCCTGCGCTTTCGGATTCGGTGCGGTCAAGGACGTTGCGCTGCCACCATGGTGTTCAGCAGATCCCCGAATGACACCCAGGATCGGATCGCCGTCTCGTTCGGCTAGGTCGAGCCGTTTCAGTAGCACGGCCCCAACACCATCGGACCGGGCATACCCATCCGCGTCCCGGGAAAAGGCTTTGCAGCGGCCGTCCTGCGTGATCATTCCCACCTTGGAAAACATGATGTGCTGCATTGGTGACAACAGCAGGTTCGACCCTCCGGCAATCGCCATTTCGCAGCCTTCAAAGCGAATGCAGCTTACGGCCCGGTGTACCGCGACGAGAGAGCTTGAACAGGCCGTATCCACCACTTCGCTCGGCCCATGGATATCCAACAGGAAGGACAGCCGGTTCGGGCAAAACGCATGACCGAGCCCCGTAAGCTGCTGGGCGTCCATTATTCCAGCGCGATTGACCATGTTGGTGTAGTCGAGCAGGTTGATGCCCAAAAAGAGGCCTATCTTTCGGCCTGCAAGCGACCCTGGAGCATATCCGCCCCTCTCTATCAGGCTCCACACACATTCCATGAACAGCCGGTGTTGCGGGTCCATCAACTCTGCTTCGCGCGGTGAGATGCTGAAAAAACCCGCGTCGAAGTGATCGGCCTGGGGAATGAAGCCACCGAATTTTACATCGGTGAAGGCACCCTTCTTGGGATCCCCGAATACACTCCTCCAGTCCCAGCGTTCTGCCGGCACCTCCTCCATACAGTCATCGCCAGCTGCCAGATGACTTTCGAATGCCTGCAAATCCGGGCTTTGCGGAAACATGCCTTCCATCGACAGAATGGCAATCGGGACAGCGCCCGCTTCTTGCTCCGATGGTTTCACGTGAGGGATGCTTTGCTCCGCATGAGTTGTTGCCGTCCCCCTGGGTTTGGCATCATTCGGTTTTGCCGGTTTGAACACCGCGCGATATCTACGCATCCATCGGCTTTCGGCTCCGGTTTCGCCCTCGTGAGTGTCAGCTGTGTCCGCCTGGCCGCCAGGTTCACTGCCGCGCTCGTGCCGTCGATTGGCAGAATTCGCGATCGGAGTGTTTTCCATGATCGATGCGGCGTAGTGTTTCTCGATCGGTGAACCATACCGGTCCATCAGGATCGCGCCGAGGTCATCGAGGTTTTTGGCCTCAAAGAATGTGGTTGGAGCTACGGAAATTGCGAAGTGTTTCGAGATCTGCGCCATGATTTCGGTGATCGCAATGGAATCGACACCGAAATTGGCCAGGTTTTCCTGAGGATCGAGTTTGTTTTCCGGAATGCGCAAGGCTGCGGCTGCGATCTTGCAGACATCGGCAGAGAGGAGGTCGGATGCGGCAACCACCTCCCGGGGTGTTGCGACAGCATGTGCCAACCGGGTGGCATCCTGTGCAGCCAGGCGCACATGTGCCCGCTCGACCAGCTCCTTGTCCAGAAGCTGAGCCATTCGGGTCCGCGTGTCGCTGGGGCCAGGGCTCATTCTGCAGCCGCCTCCCGAGACCTGTCTGCATCATCACCCAGCATATCGCGGTAGTGGCGCATATGGCCGAGAAGTTTCCAAAGATCGGCCTCCCACTGATGCCGGTAGGAATCGATGAAGTAATTCTGTCCGAGATCCGGCGTGTCGGTTTTCTTGGCTTTCAGGAACTGCTCCAAGCCGGGCGTCCTGCCGAACAGGGCGCGGGCATAGTTCAAAACGAACAGACCCTGGGTTTTCAGCCCGTCTCCCAGTCCACCCGCAGCATTTATGAAACCCATGAACAGGATGTTGTCCAGATCGCGCGGCGTGGAATGCAAGAATAGATCAGGGATATCTCCCTTCCACTCCAGCAAACCTTTGTCGAGAAAAGGAAAATCGCGGTTGTAGCCAGTTGCGTAAAGCACCAGATCAACGTCTTGCCTGGTTCCGTCCCTGAAGATGGCAGTCTTGCCCTCAAAGCATTCGATATCGCCTTTTGGTGTGATATCACCATGGCCAATGTAGTAGAGCAACAGCGAGTTCATCACCGGATGGGCCGCATCCAGCGGATAATCAGGCTTCGGAAGACCGTAGTCTGTGCCATCGTATCCGGCGAGCTTGAAGACTTCCTCGATGTAAGCAAGCGTTTCTTCTTTGGTCGGAAACTTGTTCCCCAGCTCCATCATCCATTGAGGGGTGGGTTTTCCATAGATGAATTTCGGCTGGTAGTAATATCCGCGCCGCGTACTGTGCGCGACGCTTTGCGCCGTTCGCGCGGCGTCAACGGCAATATCACACCCCGAGTTTCCGCCACCGACCACAAGAACCCGTTTTCCGGCAACCTGTCTCGCCGACTTGTAGTCTCTGACATGGAGGATTTCGCCTCGAAAATCGCCAGAGTAAGCAGGATCCGGATATCGAGGGACGCGCTGCAGGCCATTGCAGACAATCACCAGCGGATAAAGTTCATCATGCCCGGCTCGTGTCTGAAGCCGCCAGTTTTCGCCTTCCTGCGTGAGTTTTCTAACCGGAGCATTGAAGTGTGCCCGGTCATAAACACCAAACTCCCTTGCATAGGAGCGGATATAGGCCAGCATCTGCATGTGGTTCGGATAGTGCGGATAGCTTTCCGGCATTGGAAAGTCGGCGACCTGAGTGTTGAACTTCGGCGAAATCAGATGAAGGGACTCATACGTCCGGCCACATTCGGCCTCCGCATTCCAGACACCGCCGAAATCAGCTTCAGCCTCATAAAGATCCACCTCTATGCCGCCTTCAATCAGCTCACGCGCTACCCCGATGCCCGTTGGTCCACCCCCGACAATCGCAACCTTGTTTGGCACAGTGCTCATGAGGGAAGGTTCTCCTCGATCGCAAAGCCCTGGACCTTATCCAATGTCGTCAATTTGACACCAACCAGCCGCAGGCTTTCATTTCCGTCCGTATTGTAGGCCTCCACCGTGACACCATTGGAAGATCCGCTTGCAGCAGACAGTTTCACGGTGATCTGATCGCTGGCAGGTTTAAAGCCATACATGGCCTGAACACTCATGGGGAACGGCAACGCCTTCGGGCCATCATGTTCAAACGAGGTGTCCGACACTGTGAACGCCAGCAAGCGCCAGACCGCATCCAGAATGAAGGGATCGAAAACCATGCCCGCCGCTTCGGCAGCGTCATTCGACGGGCGCGTGAGCCTCGCCCAGAACACAGCGTCGTCACGGCATACATGATCCACCCGTGCCATCTCAGGTGACGGCGGACCGGAGTGAATAGAACAAACTTCGGCAAAACTTCGGAACGCGTCGGTGATTTCTGTTCCCGGCAGCGGTTGATTGCCAGCCAGGGTCTTCCCGGCGGGCGCTGCCAAAGCCCCGGAAACGCTGGATCCAAGATGGCATGGATGTCCGTCCTCTCCGTCAGCTTCGACCCTGAAAAGCAACCCTTCGGCATCGGACATCACCGAAATATTCAGTTCGCGCGGCTTACCGTTTATGGCAACCGGCGCTCCCCACAACAGGTGCTGCAATCCGTTGACCCGCGTGCCGGTCAACCGCTCCAAAACGCTGCGAGACATTTCAGGCAGCAATAGCCCTGTCATCAGTCTTTGCTCGCCGCTTGTATGCGTCGTCAGGTAGGGCTCGGCGCCGCTCAATCGAATAGTCATCTGGCCGACTTCGCTCGCTATCGCCTGTTCGCCAAACCAGGACGGACCACCCGTCAAAGGCTCGGACACTGCCGGGCTTTCGTGGTTGGCGGCTTCCGGTTTTGGCCAATATGCAGTTTTCCTGAACGGGTAGCCGGGCAAGTTGATCCGCGCAGTTTCGGATTTGGGCCATCTCAAGTCAACGCCGGCGGCCCATAGCGCCAAAGCCTTGTCCACTTGACGCGCATCACCAGACCGGAGCCACTTCTCTCCCAGCGCCCGCACTTCCCCATCCTGTTCGAAGCCCGACGAACTGGTGTTGCCGTTTGACGTGAAGTGCATGCCCTCAAGCGGAACCCCGTTTGCTGCTGCTGCCAGTTTGCGCAGAAGATCCGTCCGGTCGTTGAAGACGAAGGCCAGTCGGTCGCAAAATCCGGACCGGCTCGCCTGCAGGGCCGCGGCAAGACCGTCCAGATCGATGTTCTGCCGCGCGGTGACAAAGCGCTCAACCTCTGCCGCGTAGTCGATCAGACGATCTTTGTCTTTGGCAGACAGCACGAAGGCACGGGGCTTCATCCCTCCAAAATCCTTGGTTCGCGCAACGTGTTCTTCAAGAACCAGATGCGCATTGGTGCCGCTGAAACCGAACGAACTGACGGCGACACGCCGCGGTGCACCAGTCTTGTCTTGCTGCCACTCCTCCAGTGACTTGCTGACTGAAAAAGGTGTGTTGGAAAACGGGATATGGGGATTTGGTGTGTCGATATTGATTGAAGGCGGGATCTGCCTGTGTTCCAGCGCCAGCATAGATTTCAAGGTCCCTGCAACCCCCGCAGAAGCAAGCAAATGACCGATGTTGGATTTTACCGAGCCGATCGGACAACTGTATCCTGCCGGAACATTTTCAAACGCGTCGGTCAATCCTTCCACTTCGATGGGATCGCCCAAGGGCGTGCCCGTGCCGTGGCACTCCAAAAGTCCAATGCTCGCCGGATCGATGTCGAACCTTTCGTAGACCGATTTGACAAGGGCGGTCTGGGCTTTCGGATTTGGTGCCGTAATTCCGTTGGTGCGCCCGTCCTGATTGGTCCCCCAGCCGCGCACAATAGCTCTAATCGGATCGCCGTCCCGTTGCGCTTCCTCCAGACGCTTCAGCATGACGACACCCACCCCCTCTCCGGGGACAAAGCCGTTTGCGCGTTCGTCGAAGGAAAAACACCGTCCATCCGCCGACAGCATGCTCACCTTGGCCGTATCTATGAACATTTTCGGACCAATAAGAACGCACGCCCCGCCTGCAATCGCCAGGTCGGAAGTGCCCGACAGCAAACTTTCGCATGCCTGGGCGATGGCGACCAGAGAACTGGAACATGCCGTGTCCACCGAGATCGAAGCTCCGCGCAGATCGAGCAGATAGGAAATCCGTGCGGCCAGGATCGACCCGGAATTTCCGAGAAGACTGTAGGTATTCTCCTCCTCGATCAGGCCCTGGTATCCGCTCGGACCGGACGCCGCATAAACGCCGCACCGGCTGCCGGAAAGTTGTGCCGGATCTATCGCGGCGTCCTCAATCGCGTGCCAAGCCGTCTCCAGGAAAAGCCGTTGCTGCGGGTCCGTAAACACTGCTTCCAATGGCGTGACATTGAAGAACTCCGCGTCGAAACGGTCAATTCCTTCGAGGGAACCCATCCACTTGCAATAGGTTTTTCCCGGAGCCTGAGGATCAGGGTCATAGTACCGGTCGATATCCCATCGTGTGGACGGAACTGCATCGATACAGTCCCGGCCAGACGCAATATTCTGCCAGAATGTCTCGAGGCTTTCCGCCTTTGGAAACTTGCCGGATGCGCCGATGATGGCGATTGCTCCGCTGCCGGTAACTGGTCCTGTCTTTGCTGCATGCAACGTGGCCGGTGCCGGGCCGGATCTACCTGGTGGCGGCTCAACAGGCTCTTCCGAATGATGCTCTTCGCGTTCCCCGACCGGATTTTCCGCCGCCGCGATCAGCCCGGCGATATGCGAGACGAGCGCACCTGCGGTTGGATGCGCATAAACAGCCGTCGCGGGGAGATTGATTTCATATTGCTCGTTGAGTTTTCGGATCCACGTCACGGCAAGGATCGAGTCCAGCCCGAGATCCAGGAAGGCGGATCGATCGGAAATCTCTCCCGGATCAATCATCAGGTCCTGTGCGAGAGAGATAATGATGTCTGACCGCAGATCTTGATCGACGGCACTTGCATCCTCCGTGCCTTCGACGGATGCGGCAGCAGCCGGTTGCTGCCCGGCTTCGGCCTCCTCGCGCGGTTCATCTGCGTTACCGGCACCAATCACCTCTGCAACATGACCGGTCAGAGCCTGAACCGTCGGATATGCATAAACGGCCGTCGCCGGTAAGGCGATGTCGAACTGCCTGTTGAGATTGCGGATCCAGGTAACGGCCAGAATTGAATCCAGTCCAAGTTCCAGGAAAGTGTCCTGTGGCCGGATGTCAGATGCGTCAATCATCAGGTCACTCGCCAATGACATGATCAGATCCGCTTTCAGTGCCAACCGGTCAAGATCAGGCTCTCTTTCAGGTTCCCTCTCTTTGGACCCTAAAGTTTCGGAAGAAAACTTGGCTGCGATCCGCTGTTTGACGTCCTGATTGCCGATGAAAGTCTTCTCGTGCATGGCAAGTTCGCACTCAAGAACCTTTTCCAGCGCAAAGCGGACACCCTCGGCATGCCCTGTTTTCACGGCAATCAGCCGTTCAACCGGTTCCCTGGCCAGCGCATGGGCTTCGTCCAAGGCAAAACCAAGCACATCGCGCGCCGGATAACTTGTTGCACGCTCTGTTCTGTCTGTCAGGTCTTTGCCCCGGTACTGCCGCGCCGAAAACAGGATTTCCCTTCCAAGTTCATCACCTAGTCTATTGGGGAAGATCAGTGTTGCCCCGGCTCCAGGCGTAAAACCCAGCAGCAGATAGTTGCTTTGGTAGATCGCCTCGTCGGCCATGATCGTGCGATCGCAATACATGCCGAGAGACCAGCCGGCTCCGATCGCATGCCCTTGCATAGCCGCAATGACAGGAAGGCGACACTCCAATGGCAGGGAATAGATCTTCCGGTCTGTAAACCGGCTACCACCTTGCTGAAGATCGTCGAGCCCTTCCCGGGTACCACCACATGCGAAATAGGTGTCGTGCCCAGTCAGCACCACCACCTTGGCCTCCGGCAGCAAAGCGACGGTTCCGAAGGCCTCTTCTAGTCCGTCCATGAAATCGGGCGTGAACATGTTGCGGCCGGACCGCTCCAGCATGGTTATGAGAGCCACCCCATCCTCAAAGAGCTCAAGGCGCATCACATCCGTCTTCAAGGTGATCGGTCTTGAAGACGGATGTGGCTTCCTGTCCTCGGGGGCAGGCACCGCATTCAAGGGGAACAGCGCAGCTGTGTTGTCACCAAGAAGCTGCGGCAAATCGCGACGCATGTGCTGCTTCAAGAGAACCAGCGACTTCCGCGGTCCCTGTGCAATATCTTTCGCCAGCGCCAGGGCCGCGTCATACTCCTGCCCGGCGTCCACCCGAAGTGCACCACGCCGTTCTTCCCTACCGAGTGCGACAGACCGTCTTGCGACAATGAAATCGGCTGCAGCAAGAAGTGCGCTCGCCCGGTCAGGCGTATCGCCACCGGCACACACCACAACCGGAACAGCGCACTCAAGCAAGACTGCCGATTCCAACTCTGCTGGCCAATCCCCTGACGTGTCCCAATCATCCGCCAGGACGACTACAATCGCGCGTATGGTTTCGTCCACGCCCGATTTTTCAAGCGCCTGGGCGAACAAATCAGCTTGTTGAGGCCCCCAGATGCCCAAAAGAGTCAGAACATGAATGCCCTCTGTAGTCGCATCTGAAAGGACTTCGCCAGCCATCACTTCCTTTTCGGAAGTGGCCGCAAGGGGTGCGAGAACGACTTTTCCGGATCGGGCGACGGCGGAACCGCGCGAGACCGCAACTTCGGCAGCCGGCTCCGCCAAGGTTATCTTTGGTTTGGAAACCGCCGCCCGGACAGGCTCGCCGCGCTTTGCAGACGGCGCCGACCGGGTTGCAGGATCGTCACCGGGCGTGCTGCGGTCCGCCGCTGCTCGCTTGCCAGCCACCCAGTAGCTCTTGTCGGCAAACGGATAGGTTGGCAGCGGCACCCGAAGCCGTGGACGCTGGAAAACTGATCCGGTGTCAATGGAAGCGCCTGCCAGGAATTTCCGTCCAAGGGCCCTCAAGCTGGCGCACCTTGTGTTGCCGACCGCTTCCGTCAGCCTTGCAGGCAACTGCGGCCCGCCATTGACGATGACAGGGCACTCTCCGGATTCCACTCCGCTGTCCGCGCGCCCCCGCAGCCATGTTCTCAAGGCCTGGCAGACGTCGTCCAGGCCACTTGCGACAAGTGTCAGCCGGTGCGCCATTGACCGTCTGCCAACCATCAACGTGAATGACACATCTTCGGCGAGGAGCTCATGAGGCTTTTCGAGATGGATGACCAGGTTTTCAGCCTGTGCCTTCAGTTGATCTTGGGTACGGGCAGAAAGCACAAACAGCAGATCACCGGCGGGTTCCGGTTCTTCCTTCCTGTCCGGCGCGTCCTCAATGACCGCGTGGGCATTGGTGCCGCTGAAACCAAACGAACTGATCGCCGCCCTGCGTTTCTTGCCCCCACCCTTTGGCCACGCCACCGGTTGCGTATTGACCGCAAATTGGCTGGAAGGGAAATCGATGGCCGGGTTACCTTTGCCGAAATGGATGCTCGGGGGAATAGTTTGCTCGCGCAAGCTCAAGAGCACCTTGGCAAGGCCTGCAATTCCCGCCGCTGTGGTCGCATGCCCAATGTTCGACTTCACCGCTCCAAGATAGACTTTACGCCGATTGTTTTTGCCAAATGCCCGGGTGAGAGCTGCATGCTCTATCGGGTCTCCCAGAACGGTTCCCGTGCCATGAGTCTCGACATAGTCGATGGTGCCCGGATCAATGGCATTTTCCTCGTAGACCTGACGGATCAAACGCTCCTGAGACGATGCGCTCGGCGCAGTGATGCCATTGGTGGTGCCATCCTGATTGGTCCCTGACGCGGCCACTACACCGAGGATCGTATCACCATCTTTCAGCGCATCCTTGAGTGGCCGCAGGAGAACAGCTCCGACGGCTTCTCCCGGAACGATACCGTCGGCGCTGGCACCGAAGGCGGCGCAGCGGCCGGTCGATGACAACATCCGTGCCGCATTCGCATAGCGGAAAAAGCGCGGTGAACACTGAACGAAAACGCCGCCTGCCAGCGCCAGGTCGCATTCCCCGTTTCGAAGGCTCTGACAAGCCAAATGCAGTGCAACGAGGGAACTTGAGCAAGCTGTATCAATGGCGACTGCCGGTCCTTTCAGATCAAGCCAATAGGAAATACGCGCCGGGATAAGCGACGTCGTGTTCCCCCAGAACGCCTGGCCCGGCGGCTGCTCATCAAAAAGTTCCTGATAATCCCCATGCGCGCAGCCCACGAACACGCCACAGCGACGACCGATGATATCCTCGCCTGCATGTCCGGCGCTCTCCAGCGTCTTCCACGCCTCTTCCAGGAAGAGCCGTTGCTGTGGATCCATATAGGTCGCTTCAACGCCGGAAATTCCGAAGAATACCGGATCAAAGCCATCGATACGATCCAGGAAGCTGCCATGCCGGCCATAGTTCCCCGCTTCGGCATCCCGGTGAAACGGCGACAGATCGAAGCGCCTCACCGGCTCAACCAGGTCTTCACCTGCAATCAGATGGTGCCAAAGATCGTCCATCGTCGGTGATTTTGCGAACCGGCCGCTTGCGCCAACGATCACTATCGACTCATCGGTCTCACTCGGTGCAGCGGCCGTGATCTGGGGATCCGCTGACGGTTGCGCGGCAGAGGCGGCAAGTGTGTCGCGGGATTCGAAGGCTGCCTTTTCACTTTGTTCTGAAATCCCGGGATAGCCGCTGAGCAAATGCGCCAGCAATCTGGAAGCATTTGTAAAATCGAAGAGAACGGTCTGATCGATCTCAATTCCAAATGTCGTGCGCAAACGGTGAACGAACTCGGCACCCAATATCGAGTCCAGACCGTAATCGGCAAAACTGCGCTCAATTTCAATGGCCGCAGGCACGATGTTGAGCGTTTCACCCAACGCCGCCAACAGGCGGTCGCGAACGGTCACATCCGTTTCACCAGACGCTTCGGAAGGGAGTGCAAGGCCAGAAACCTCAAGCGGCCTTTGATCTGCTTTGGCAACGATAATCTGTTGCCCTAACTCCTGTTCCTGGGCAGAAGAACAACAGACCCACTCAAAGCTGTTTGCCTCAAGCGCCTCTCGCCAACCTTCGGACGTCAGCGAGGGCGACCCCGGGATACGCCGGTCTCCATCGACAAAACGCCACCAACCGTCCAGCAAACCAAAAGTCACATGCGTGAAGACGGTGGGTCTGCTGGTTTCGTTTAAGAGCAGGAGACCGCCCGGCCTTAACGTTTCACGCACCCTTGCCATCATGCTGGAAATATCCGCTGTTGCATGTAGAGCGTTCGCAGCAATCACAATGTCATAGCACCCGGATTCGATACCCTGTTCCGAGAGCGGTTTTTCAATGTTCAGCAGCATCGGACGCAAACCGGCAACCCGGTCGGCATAATTCCGTTCGGCGTGAATCAAAAATGCCCGTGACACGTCCGAATATCCATATTCGGCAATCCTGTCCCGATGGGAGGCCAAAGCTTCAAACACGGGTTCGCTCGTACCACCCGTCCCTGCTCCGATTTCCAGAATTCGGAATTTGCGCCCTGGAGTGTTGTCTGCCGCCACAATTTTTCCGGCGGTTTCCGCGACCGTTTGACTGAAGCGCGCAGCCACCTGGTTCTCCTTGTAGACCGCTTCTACAAGAGATTGACGCCCATCTGGGAATAGAACGTCGGTGGCTTTTTTTCTACCGGTCAGGATGTCCGGCAACGACCGCAGGGCCGTTTCTGCCAATTCAAATTGTGCCCGCGACTTGCCTGCCTGTCTGGCCTTTTCCCAAGCGGTCCACGCTTGAGGTTCATCGCATTCGCCAGGCCCGTTTGATATCAGGGATCGCGCCGCGCCAAGCCATTTCTTGAACGGCAGCGTCACCTCGTCGTCTCGAACTTCGTTCAGAACCGCCGCCAAAACGCGGGAGGCCGCAGCTTCCAGATGCTGTTGGTGTTGAAGCAGCCCAACGTCGCCTCGCTTTTCCTCAACGCTCTGACGAATGTCCGCGACTTCGATTGGGGCGGTGTGGGGCACCGCGTTTTCCAGTCCAGTTACACTTCCGGGGAGCCAGTATCTGTTTTTTGCAAAAGGATAGGTTGGCAAAGAAACGATGAGCCCGGAACGATGCCCTGGCAAGTGTTCCCAATCCACATTCACGCCTTCGACCCAAAGGCGGGCAACTGTTTCCAGATGGCCGGTTTCCCAGGCTCTTTCGACAACATCCCCGATTACCTGATCAGCCGCCAGCGCACCAAGCGCGCCTTTCCTCGAATTCTGAATACTCTGCGCGTGCGGGACGCACGGCTCTTCATCTTTCAGCCAGGCATCAAGCGCGTTCCGCAGCTCATCCGCACTAGCCGTCACAAGGGCAAGCCTGCAGTCCATCGCTTCACGGCCGATCTGCAGCGTATAGGCGATATCGGCAAGGTTGGGAGCAGTCCGGGGAAATCCCTGGTCAACAGAATTCGACGCAATTAGCTCAAGCAGACCATTGATCGAGCGGGACATATCCAAATCCGCAGGCGTTGGGCGGCACCCAAAGGTCTTTTCGCACCAGTTTTGCAAAGCAGGAATATGTGATGTTTCCAGTCCAAGAGCATCGAAATCTTCCTCGGGGTCAATCTGTGCCGGATCAATTGCCAGGATACGGCCGAGTTCAGCCTGAACTTCTTCAGGTGACACGCTTTCACTAAAAGACTTCCGGTTCGGCAAAGGAGAATTCTTCAAAAATCCGAGCAGCCGCTTCACATACTCTTTCAGCCTGCCGGGGTCTTGTGCTGACATCAAAATCAGTTGCGGTGTTTCAGCGACATCCCCACTCGAAGAAGGGCCATTCTGGTCTACCCATTCTTCCAAAATCACATGAGCATTCGCGCCGCCCGCGCCAAAGGAAGATACCCCGGCCCTTCTCGGTGACCGGGACGACCAAGTTGCTGCCTCCCTTTGAATTACAAATGGTGTTTCCTCCAGAGCGATATTCGGGTTGATCCGCTCCGCATGCAGACTGGGAACGAGCACCCGGTTCTTCATTTGCAGAACCACCTTGGTCAAGCCGGCGATCCCAGCAGCAGCTTCCAGGTGACCTATCGAGGATTTCACCGATCCCAGTGCACACGAACCGGCATGTTCCGTTACAACGCCAAATGCCTGAGTCAATCCATCGATTTCAATTGGATCGCCAAGTTCCGTTCCGGTCCCGTGCGCCTCGATGTAACTGATGTCGCCCGCCTTGAGCCCGGATCGGTCAAGGGCGGCGTCTATCACATCCCGCTGCGCGTCTGGGTTGGGAACAGTGTATCCGTTTGTGCGGCCGCCATGGTTTACGGCACTGCCCCGAACGACCGCGTGAATTCTGTCTCCATCGGTTATGGCCCGGGACAATGGTTTCAACAGAACGCATCCGGCTCCCTCACCGGGAACAAACCCGTCGCCGCCTGCGCCAAAACTCCGGCACCGGCCTGTCGGGCTCAACATTCGAGCCGCGCTTAGCTCAGCATAATTCGATGGATGCAGATAAAGATTGACGCCACCGGCCAGTGCCAGGGCGCAACTCCCGCTTCTCAGTTGCCCGCAAGCCTCATGGATTGCAGAGAGCGAAGACGAGCACATCGTGTCGACAGGCAGACTTGGGCCGGAGAGATCCAGGATGTGCGATACCCGGTTGGCGAGGCTGGCAAAGGATGTCGATGGCCGCACCATCGCCCCGTGCTCGGACCGGAATGGCCCATAAAGCGCGAACCCGGTCTTGGTCACGCCTGCAAAAACACCAACGCGTGCACCACCGTGCTCCGTACCGGCTATTTCCTTCAATCGATCTCTCGTATAGCCACCATCTTCGATAGCCTGCCAGGCGGTCAACAGAAACAGCCGTTCCTGCGGATCCATGCCTGCGGCCTCCCGCGGAGACAGACCGAAGAACAACGGGTCGAAATCGGCGAAACCGTCCAGAAACGCACCCCACTTGCAGTAGCTTTTGCCCTGCGCCACGGCCTTGTCGGGATCGGGGTCGAAGACCTCCTCCAACGCCCAGCGGTCATCGGGGACAGCACCGACTGCGTCATGGCCGGCAAGCAAGTTGTCCCAGAATTCTTCCAGATTGGCTGCATCGGGATAGGTTCCGCTCATGCCGATGATGGCAATCGGTTCATCATCGGCGAGGCTTGACGACGGTATCCCGGAGGTGGGCACAACGCGGGCGCGTCGGCTTAAAGGCTGTTCAGACCCGGCCGTTTCCCCCGTCCATACTCCACATGCTACGGGTTGGGTTTCAACGAGGAACGTACTGACCTCATGCAGCGTCCGGTAGCGGAAGAACAGGGTTTTGGGCAGTTTTTCAAAGACGTCATCCAACCGGCTGTTGAGCCTGGTAATCATCAGCGAGTCGATGCCGTAGTCTTCCAAAGGCGTTTGCGGATTGATCGCGCTTGCCGCAAGACCGCTGATCTCGGCGAACAAAGCGCCGAGATTCCGGACCACTTTGTCTTTAAACTGACCTGAAGCGTTCGCGAGACCTGCATCATCGTGTACAGGCGCGGACCTATCCCGCGCCGTCGCTCTTTCTCCGGCGGCAAAAAACGCCCGAATTCGTGACTCGTTTCCACCAACGACGGCTACTTGGGCGGCGTCAGACACAATGGCTTTTTCCAGCGCGGCCAAACCGGCTTGTGTCTCCAGGGGACGCTGCCCCATCCGGCGGTAAAGAGCGTCTTTCACCGTGTCATCAGCAGACATGCCGCCATCCGCCCAAAGGGGCCAGTCGACAGCAGTGATCCTGTTTCCGGATCGTGTTGCGAGAACGTCCAGAAAGCCGTTTGCTGCAGCGTAACAAGCTTGCCCGGCATTTCCGAACGGCCCGGCAAGCGATGAAAACAATACGAACGCGTCGAGTGATGTATCTGAACAAGCGTCCGCAAGCGCCAGCGCACCCTGCACCTTCGGAGACAAGACACTTTTCAAGTATCTGCTGGACTTTGTGGCAATGTATCCGTCATGCAAAACCCCGGCACAATGGAAGACCCCGTTGAGTTTACCGTGCACCTCAATGATATGGGCAGCAAGGTCACGGACAGCCTTCGGGTCACAGACATCAACCTGACGGTAGGCTGCGACAGCACCCTTTTCGCGCAACCTGGACAAGACTTTTTTCCGGTCTGCATCAATCGGACTGCTGCCAGTCAGAACAATTACGGCGTTCTTGACGGTCACGGCAATATGTCCGGCCAACAACCGCCCCAGACCACCCATCCCGCCCGTGATCACATAAACACCCCCGGTGCGCCATGGGGTTTCGACGGTTCGCTCTGCCAGCTCCTGCCAACACCAAACCTGACGTTGTCCTTCAACGTAGCGCGTGCGCACGCTGTGCAAATCGCCAGCAGCCTCCTTCAGCCAGACCAGGGTCTGCTCGGACGAACCGGCAACCGGGACCTCAACGACCTGACCGCGAATACGAGGGTCTTCTTCGTGAGCCGTTTGCAGCATGCCGGTCAGCCCGCTGAAAAGAGCATTTTCTCCCTCAAGTGGAACGGCAAGTTGGACAAGAACATCTTCCTTGCCACCGGAGGCCATTTCCTGCCGCAGGATTTCCAGAAGCTGTTCGGCCGCATCGGTATATCTGTCGAAGATAGTCCCGCCGGCAAGAAGCAGGTTGTGGCTGGTTACGGCCCGGTCGGCCTGAACATGGACCCCACAACCGACGACGACATGGCGGCCCGAGAAAGGAGTGGAGGCTGTCGCCTCTGCTGTTGTCCACTTCGCCGAAAAGAGCATCTTTTCGCGATTGTTTTCAGCACGCCTTGCAGCGGGCAGCCAATAGCGGGTCTCGTCGAACCTGTGCGCAACCAACGGGGACCGTGTCAGGCGCTGCTCAGTATCGACGCTTTCCAGCACAACATGTGCGTTCGCACCACCGAACCCGAAACTGCTTACCCCGGCCCGTCTTGGGTGGCGATCATTGCCTCGTTTCCAGGGTTCCCGCCGGGTCAAAATCCTGAATGGACTGCCCTCCAGATCGATGTGCGGACTGCGTGGCTCGCTGTGTAATGTGGGTGGGAGTTCGTTCCGGCGCATGGCCATCAGCACCTTGATGACACCGGCGATACCGGCTGCGGCCTCCAGGTGACCGATCGCCGATTTCACGGTTCCAAGGCCAATCCAGGGAGCGGCAATTGGCTCAGCGCCCAGCAATTCGGAATAGGCGCGGCGCAAACCGTTGATTTCAACGGGATCTCCCAGTTCGGTCCCTGTGCCATGCACCTCAATGTGGCTGACGGACTTCGGATCAATATCTTGCATTGCCTCGATGATCAGCCGCGCCTGTGCTTTGGCGTTCGGAGCTGTCAAAGCTCCCGACCGGCCGCCGTGGTTTTCAGCGCCCCCGGCGATCACACCGTGGATGCGATCACCGTCGCGTTCTGCGTCGGCCAACCTTTTCAGCAAAAGGGCTGCCACACCCTCGCCTCTCGCATAGCCGTCTGCGGCCTGCCCAAAGGTGTGGCAACGACCGGTGGGTGACAGCATTCCTGCCTGATACGGACCTTCAAAGCCGTCCAGCGCCAGACACAAATTGACGCCACCGACAATGGCAGCCGAACATTTGCCACTTAACAGAGTGTCTCGAGCCCGCAACATTGCAACGAGTGAGCTGGAACATGCCGTATCAATCGCCTGGCTCGGTCCGTGAATATCGAACTGATGTGAAATACGGTTTGCGGCCATCGCGAGGGAATTGCCAGTGGCAACATAGCCATCGGACGGGAGGTCCTCCGAACGCCACAGTTCGGCGTAATCCAGCGAGGTTATGCCGATGAATACACCGGTATCGCGTGGCAGGTCCTGCGGCTTGTATCCGGCGTCTTCCAGAGTACGCCAGGAGGTTTCCAACAAGAGTCGCTGCTGAGGATCAAGCCGTTCGGCCTCGACCGGCGAGACATTGAAGAAAGCCACATCGAAGCGGTCAATATCCTTCAAAAACCCGCCATGCTTTGCAAAACCCGCTTTTGCAAACCTGTCGGCATAGACTTGGGAATATCGGGCAAGGGGCAGATCGCCCGTTAAATCGTGTCCCTCCAGCAGATGATCGAAGAACGTTTCAACATCTGGGCTCTGCGGAAACCGGCCAGCCATGCCAATAATTGCGATCCGGTTCTCCGGTGCTGGCTCCTCAGGTGTACCCGACCAACGCGAAAACCGGGCGCTTCTTTCACGCATGCCCCCGTCTTCCAGACCATCAGAAGACGCCACGCGCAGAGTGTCTGCAACCTCGGGCATTTCCGGAGGTTTCAGATCATGCCGGCCGATCAGATGGTACGTAAGCGCTTCTACATGTTCACATTCGAAGAATACCGCCGGTGAAACCTCGATGCCGTAGGCCTGGCTGATGTCGTTTGCGAAACGCGCGAGGGAAATGGAATCGAAACCCAGGTCATGGAAGGTCTCGCGCGCTCCAATATCGGCGGCTGAAAACTTCAGGATTGCGGCGGCCTTTTCCCGTAAATCCCGTTGAAGCGTATCTGCGTGAGTTTCCGAAGGTCCCGCGTCAACGTCAACATATGTTTGACCTGCCGCAGCCTGCTTTCGCGCGCCCAGGCGGATATCGGAGATGATCCCGACGATTGATCCGTCCGCGCTCAGAAAGTGAATATTTGGGAGGCCTGTGCGCCCGAGGCGGCAAAGTATGTATGCTATTTCACCAGCCGCGAGAGAAACATGTCCAAGGCCTCGCAGTAGTGATCCAGCTTCAGCGGGAACCACAATGCGGAGCAACTCAAAAGCGGCGGCAAGCGCTGGAGCTGGACAGCAAATGTTTTTCTTGAAGAAATCCTGTTGCAGCGGCTCGTCCTTCAGGCGGCACAAGGCCCCGCCACCGGATAGTTCCCAAAGACCCTCCACACTCTCCAGATAGGGTGCAAAAGAGAGGCGCTGCTCTTTCAAGCGACCATAGAAATCTTTGACGTCGAGAAGGCGGGTGGAAGCATTTTTCAAGGCCTCCAGGTCGAACCTGCTGTCACCTGTCGTGCCTCCACGCGCAGCGCTCGCTTCGGCCCACTTGACGCGTTTGCCATCCACCGTCGCCACGGTGATCTCGATAATGCAGCCGTCCGCTGATTGAGGCTTCACTTCAATCTGGAGTTCCTCTACTTCCGGCCACACCGGAGTGAACAGGAATTCGAGATTTGACAGTGTCGGCTCTTCGGCAACGCCAGAGATTTTTGCCACCGAGCAGGCGATCTCCGCGGCGGCGATTGGCAGGACCGTCTCCCGGCCCGCGTCGAGATAAACATAGTCCCGCAATTCTTTGAGGTGAAGCACTGTGCGGTAACGCAATCCGGTCACATCCGACTGGTTTTCGCCAATAAAAGGGTGCAGTTTGAAGCGTGACCCGAGCGGATTGACGACCGACGGAGCATCGGCGTCCTGCTGATACCAGCACCGGACCTTTTCGAACGGATATGCAGGCAGGGATATTCGGCGCACGTCTCTGCCGAGATTGAAGAGGTCCCAATCCATGGGTGCGCCATGGCACCAGGCTTTTGCGACCGTCTGCAAATGCCGCTCCGCGCAAGCTGTAGCCACATCCTCAAGATCATCCGGCGGATCGGTTTCAAGAATATTCGGGACATACATCATGCCCGATACGGGCGTATCCGATGCCAGAAAACTCTCAATGAGGGTGCGCGCATCCGAAATGCTTGTGGCGGCCACTGCCATCCGGCAGGAAAGTTCGTTTTTGCCGGTCTGCAGCGTATAGGCCACATCGGAAAGGCGGCAATCCGGCGTGCGTTCCAGAAAGGCGGCAAAGCGCTTCAAAACTTCTTTCAGTCTCTCCGGTGCCAGCGCCGAGAACACCAGAAGGTCAGGTTCACCCTGGTCTGCCGCGCGGACCGCCGCGCGGTGTTCTTCCAAAACAATATGGGAGTTCATCCCCCCGGCACCGATGGAGGTAACACCCGCCCGGCGCGGCAGTTCGACGCCGTTTTCATCAATCAGCCGGCGCCAGGGGGTCAATGCACGCTGGACAAAAAACGGGGAAGTCTGAAAGGGAATGTCCGGGTTCAGCGTCTCGGCGTGAAGCGAAGGCGCAAGCTGACCATGTCTGAACTGGGCCAGCACTTTGACCAGGCCGGCAAGTCCGGATGCGCCGAGAAGGTGAGCCACATTGCTCTTGACCGTTCCGATGGGGCAGGTTTGCACCGCATCGGTGTGTTTGCGGAACACATGCGTCAGGGCCTTTACCTCAATCGGATCCCCGAGAGCGGTTCCCGACCCGTGCCCTTCGATATAGCCAATCGTCTGCGGTCCGATACCGGCGTCCTCAAGCGCCCGCTCTATTGCTACCGCCTGCTGGTTGGGATTGGGTACGGTGAAACCGTTGCGGACACCTGCATTGCTTATGCCTGTGCCGGTGACGACGCCATAGACATGATCTCCATCGCGTACGGCATCTGCAAGCGGCTTCAGAACCAGCGCACCGACGCCTTCGCCAAGGATCGTGCCCTCCGCGCCGAGACCGTAGCCCCGAATGACATCGGCGGACTTGGTAGTGAAGTGCTCCTGCGACGTCGCGATCAGCTTTTGCGGATGAAGAAGCAGGCTGACGCCACCAGCCAGCGCCATTTTACACCGCCCTGCCCGCAGCATGTGAACGGCTTCATGGACACAGGAGGACGAGGCCGAGCACATTGTGTCCAGGAAATAAGAGGGACCGGTGAAACCGTAAAAATAGGACACCATATTTGGAACGGTCCCGGTGTAGCTGCCACTGGCGAGGGAGCCACGCATCAGCATGTTCTGAAAACCGTAGAGGTCGTATTCATTGGTCATCGAACCAACGATCACGGCAACGTCGCCATCATAGCGCCTGGCCATGGTTTCGCGCGAATAACCGGCATCTTCGAAGGCTTCGACGCTGGCCTGAAGGAAGAGCCGAACCTCTGGCGACATCAACTCCGCCTCCGCCTTTGAGATGCGGAAGTAACGCGGATCAAACTTGTCGATATCCTTGAGAAACGCACCGGTCTTGACGACGGTCTTGCCCAGAACATCCCGCTCTGCGTGATGAAGGGCGCCATTGTTCCAACGGTCCTTTGGAACCGGTTCAAACCCGTCGATGCCTTCCGAAAGCAATTTCCAGAAAGCGTCCTGATCGTCGGCTTTCGAAACATGCAGCGACAGGCCGACAATGGCAATGTCATGGCTGCCGGCCCGGGCGGGTTGCGGCCCGGCAGGATCGGTTTTGACCGGGATCGGCTGCGAACCAATCTGGTCACCGACACTGCTCCGTGCGGCAGCGGATTGTCTCGCCGGTGTCTCCTCTCCAAGAGCCTGTTGAAGCGCCGCGGCATGTTCTTCGATGAGATGGCTTGCAACGCCATCCACGTCTACAAATTCAAAGAAGAGCGTTTTCGACAAAGGGCCGATCGCCTCTTCCAAACGACTGGTGCTTTCAACAATCGCAATCGAATCCAGACCGTATTCTTCCAGCTTGCGGTTGGCTTTGATCCGGGAAACATCCATTTCCAGAACATCAGCGAGAATTCCGCACACGAACTCGATGGTTTTTCGTTTGAGGGCCTCCGTGTCGGTGACTGGTTCTGCAATTGTCGGCGCGCGCGCATTCTTGGCTATGCTTGCGTCAACATCCTCCGGTGTCTGGCCAAACTCGGCCAGAACATCGTCGATCCGCTCCAGATCGCCGTGTAGAACGGTGCAACGTGGTGTGCCCTGCCCCGAGAGGATCGTTTCAAGCGCTTTTAGCCCGGCTTCGCGAGGCAATGGCGTCAGGCCAAGGCGTTTTTTCACAGCGCCCAGCGTTGCCTTGTCGACGGACATGCCACCATCGGCCCAAAGGGGCCAGGCGATTGCGACCACCTTGCCTTTCCGCCCGCCTGCCAGAACATCATTTGCGCGACGTTCTGCAAAGGCATCCAGAAAGGCATTCGCTGCACCATAGGCGGCTTGACCGGCATTTCCGAAAACCGACGCAATGGAGGAGCACAAGACAAAGAAGTCCAGGTCGATGTCTTTTGTGACCTTGTCTATGTTGACGGTCCCGGTGACCTTGGGTGCAAAGACGTCCTCAGCCGCCTTCGGATCCTGAAGCCGGATAAACCCGTCATTCAGGACACCGGCCGCTTGAATGATCCCTTTCAAAGGACCTATTTCCCGGTCAGCGCGTATGGAGATACGTTCCACATCCGACAAATCGGAAATGTCACAAGGCCAGTAATGTACTTGTGCGCCTTTCTTGCGAAGACCTGACATCCACAGTTCTGCATCACCGGGCGGCGTGTCGCTGCGACCGGTCAGGAGCAGCTTCCGCGCTCCCTTGGAAAACAGCCAGTCGGCAAAAATGCGCCCCAAACCACCCAATCCGCCCGTGATCCAGTAAACGCCGTTCGAATTGGCGTGAAAGGGTTCAGATTCTCCAAGGACGGCGTTTGATACCGGAAGCCAGGCGCTTCGGTTCCCGCTCGCGTCGTACCGTATTTCAGCCAATTCGTCGCTAGCGGCGTGTTCTGCTCCCGCAATGGCGCGCAACCGGCCAATGGAGATGTCTCCAGCTATTGAAACAAGACGTCCCCGGACCCTGGGGCTTTCGATCATCGCGGTTTTCAAAAGACCAACGAACGGCGCAGTTACAACCGCCGGAACGTCTTCCGCCGCCAGCACGAGAATGTCGACAAGTTTTTCGGCTCGATTTTCAAGGCACTGCCGAACAGCCGAAAAGCCTGCGGCATAAAGGACTTGAACTGCTTCCGCATCTTCAAGTCCCCCCACATCCGGCAGTCTCTCAACGCTCCAACCCGTCGCATTGACAAGCTCGGCTGCAACGACCTCATCAATCCCGATCAAGAGGAGCCGAAGCCGCCGGTCACCGACATCGCTAGCGCGGACTTCTAACGGAAGACTTTGCCATCCACCGTCAGTCACGATCAGCGGCAGGTCCTCATCTGCGCCGGAAACCGGCTCCAGCAGATGGTCGTGATCGATGACCCGCAACACCAGACCCTTGAATTTGACTTTGCGCGCGCCACTGCGATCCAGCAAATCGATATCCAGTTGCCGAACCGGTGCGTCCTGCGCGCCATCACGCATCCGGACATGCGCCCACATCACCATCTCGCAGGCACCATGGACTTCAATCTGCTGACATGAAAACGGGACACCGGCTCCCGTTGGCGGCGCGTTTCCGGAAGCAACCCACGCCTGTATTGCAGCATCCAGCAATACCGGGTGCAGCGGCATCGTCTCAAGAGAAGCCATCAGACGACGGGGCAACTTTATCTGAGCGAGAACTTCCTGACCACTTCGGTTTACCCTGGACAACGCCCGGAATGCAGGTCCGTGATCAACGCCGCTCTGGCGAAGCCAGTCGTAACAGACGTCCGTCTCAACAGGATCCGCAATGCGGCGTATCAATTCTTCGAGGTCCTCGACCTCCTGATCTGCAAAGTCACGAATGCAGAGGGTGCCGGTTACATTGGCCTCGTTCTTTGCGCTCCCCGGTGCGGCTATCTGAAAATTGATTTTCTCCTGATCTTGCCGTTCCAGACGTGTTTCAATGGTTAGTGCCTGCCTGTTCTCAAGTTGGACTGGACGGCGCCAAATCACATCTTGAATTAGACACCCCCCGGAATTCAACACGCCAGCCAGATCCGAAGCCCCTCTGGCCATTTCGAGAGCCGCGACGCCGGGCAGAATCTGCTTGCCGCCGACATGATGGTCCTCAAGAACAAATTCACTGCCGGTCAAACAGGTTTCATAGCTGCATCTGTCAAAGCCGGATGTGTTGGTGTGCAGCAGCGGATGAAGCGGTCCCTGTTGGCTTTTCGCTCCCAGGGACAGATCCATCCAGTGCCGCTTTCTGTCGAAGGGATAACCTGGCGCGTGCGTTCGCCGCCCTTTGCCGATCCTCCTCGTCGACGCCCAATCGACAGATTGGCCTTGCAACCACTCGTTCGCAAGGCGCCTGATTTTGGATGATTTTGCGGAAGTCTTGCCGGAACTGTCTTTCGGCAGGACAATTTGCCCGTCAGCACCCAAGACCAGAAACTCCCGCAAGGCACAGGCAAGTTCAGTTAAATCCGAAACAAGAAAGACACAGCGGACATCCATTGGTTCGCGGGCCATCTGATAGGTGCGCGCGATGTCGGCGAGCGGAACGGTGTCTGGATTGATCTCTTCAGCAAACTCTAGCAGCCGTGCCGCGTATTCTGCCAAACGCTCGGTACTTGTTGCAGACAAGGGAACAGCGGCGATCGATCTTCGCATCTGCCTGACGCTTTGACCCGGGGCCTCTTCCAGCAAGACATGCCCGTTGCTGCCGCCAAATCCGAACGAACTGACACACGCCCTGCGTGGACGGTCTCCACCTTCCGGCCACTCGGTTTGCTCCTTTTGAATCCGGAAGGAGGATCCGCCAAGATCAATCAGGCGGTTTTCCTCCCTGAAACCGGAATTTGCCGGTAACCGACCATGTTTGAGCGCGGCCAGCACCTTGACGACACCGGCCACACCGGCAGCTCCCTCCAGATGACCGATGTTTGTCTTGACGGATCCTATGCCGCATGCCCCAGCCGTCAGGCTCACCTTGTTTTCGGCAGCCAACTCGGAAAAAGCTGCTTTCAGCCCGGCAATTTCAATCGGGTCACCAAGTGGCGTGCCTGGGCCGTGAGCTTCGACAAAATCGACGGCATCAGGTGAAACACCCGCCTCGCGATGAACCTGCTTGATCAGCTCTGCTTGCGCGTCCGGACTGGTGACGGTCAGCGAGTTTGTCCGACCGCCATGGTTTATTCCAATGCCCTTGATGACGCCATGAATTGGATCTGCATCTGCAAGCGCATGTGACAAGGGTTTGAGCAGCAGAACGGCACCGCCTTCCCCGCGCACATAGCCATTCGCGGCATCATCAAACGCCTTGCTCTTGCCGTCTTTGGACAACATGCCCGCTTTGGAAAAGGCCACGAAATGATTGGGGGACCAAATCAAATTGACCCCGCCGGCGAGAGCCAGATCACATGTTCCGTCCTGGAGCGCCCGCACGGCCTCATATATGGATGTCATGGAGGCCGCGCACGCCGTATCGTTGGTGATGCTGGGGCCATGAAAATCGAAAAAATGAGAAACCCGGTTGGCTATGATCGAAAATGCAATGCCTGTCGGTAGATAGGCATCGACAACCGTCAGGTGTTTTTCCAGAAGTTCCGCGTAGTCCCAGTGGCACACGCCCATGAACACGCCCGTACGGCTGCCTGCCAGGTCAGACGCCCGGTATCCGCCGTCTTCGATGGCCTGCCACGACATTTCCAAGGCAAAACGCTGCTGCGGATCCATCCACGCCGCTTCACGAGGCGAAATTCCGAAAAATTCCGCATCGAAACAATCCGCGCCTTCGACAAAACCACCCCAGATGCTATTGGTCTTGTTGCCCTTTGCCGGATTTCCATAGACCGCCTTTGCATCCCAGCGTTCCGCAGGCACTTCCGTGATCAAAGAGCGCTCAGCAGCCAAATGCTCCCAGAAGCCGTCCAAGGTCTCAGCACCGGGCAAACGCAAACCCAGCCCAATGATCGCGACCGGTTCTTTCTGACTGTTTCCCCCCATAACAGCCCCTATCCAGTAAATACCGACAAGCGGCGGTTCAACAGATCCGCTGTCTGCTCCAGCAAATGAAGCCCGATGGCATCTGCATGCCGGTTTTGCCAAGCCTCGAGGGATGACCCTGCCACCCATTGATTGAAGGCCCCTTGCGCAGGTCCGCAATGAACCTGGAAGTCAACCTTGCGCTCGGTCATCCCCTTCAGAGCCCAATCTGTCGTATCGCGGTAATAACGTTTGAAAACCAGCGCCATCTTGTGCTTGGGCATACGTTGCGCCCGCTCGATTTCTTCTGCCGGATAGGCTTTTGCAATCTGTTCAAAAACCTCACCGAAACTGCGGCCCAAATACCTGTCCTCGATCTGACTGCGCAGTTTTGGCTCGATGGTTTCGAGACTGTCATGCTGGCGGTAGGTCGCAACCAGCTTTTCTGCGCGCGAGGGAAAAAAGACCCCTTTCTTCAGCACCTGTATCTTTGAACCCAATTCAAACATTTCTCCGGACGGTGCATAGGCGGTGTCATAGACATTCACATCTGCAAGCATATCCTTCACGGCAGCGCTGGTACCGGCCTCGACAGTGCATTGATTGATCGATCCGGTGATGATGAAATCGGCGCCCAGGATCAGGACTGCCGCGGCCGCCTCCGGAGTTCCAATTCCTCCGGCTGCTCCGACAAAAATTCTCCCCGAAAGATCAAACGCCTCTTCCGCAACCTCTCTCAGTTTCAGCACAGGCGGGATCAGGGCAAACGGCATACCCTGATCAGTATGTCCGCCGGAGTCGGCCTCTACACAAATCGCATCAGCCATGGGCACGCGCCGAAGCAGGTCCGCTTCTTCTTCAGTGATCGCTTTTTCGTGCAAGAGTTTTTTGATTATTGGTTCGGGAGCCGAGCGGAGAAACTGGCTGGCAACGTCGGGACGCGAGACTTTGGCTATTACCCTGTTATCAGCCTGAACTCTGCCACTTTCTGATCGCAGGCCCTTGGCCCGGTACCGGACAAGCGCTTGCGTTACGTCCATAAAGGCGGACGCTTCGATCACGGAAATGCCTTCGGCAAGAAGCAGGTCCGTCAACTCGTCTTCAAGGTGAGGTCGATTGAGATGGGCAATGAAGTTGACGCCAAACGGCCGGCCCGCAGGAATGTTCGACCTGATCCTGGCAATCGCAGCCTTGATCTGCGGGATCGGCAGTCCTGCAGCCCCGAATATCCCGAGCAAACCGGCCTTTGCCATTCGAATGACGAGGTCAGCGGACGCGATGCCCTGATACATGGCGCCGCTGCCATAAGGATACCGAACCCCAAAGGCCTCACAGAACGCTCGAGAACCGATGTTTTCCATCGAAACATGACTGAATTTGACGGCCGAGCCGTTCATTTCAACCGGCTTGCCCAAGCCTCGGGTGTGGCTGTCGTCCTGTTTTTCAGTCTTGGGACGCTCCATCAGCGGAGGAAGTTCCGCCGCCAGTTCCGCACTATCCAAAGGGCCGGCCTCAAGTTCGGTTCGTTTGAACATTGGCCGGACGATTGGTGGGCCTTCCGGACCGACTTCCTGAATATCAGAAAATGAAACTCCCTTTGCGAGCAAGTAGCGAAGACTATCGCTCCAGCGGACCGGCGATGTCACCTGCTCGATCATGCGCGCGGCAATATCAGCATCCACATGCGGCCTGGCGGTAACATTCGAGATGACCGGGATGTTCTGACTTTCGAATTCGAAACAGGATATGAACTCAGCAAACCTCCGGCACGCCTTCTCCATGAAAGGTGTGTGAAATGCACCGCTGACCTGCAGGACCTTGTAGTGCGACGCGCCCGCATCAACGAACTGCCGTTCAGCACCGATCACCGACTGTTTTATGCCCGACAAAACGATCTGTTTGGGCGTGTTGTAATTCGCGGCAAAAACGTCATGGATACCCTCGGATCTGAGGATCGCTTCAATCTCATTTGCTTTCAGGCCAAGGACCGCAGCCATCCCGCCGCCTTGCGCCTCCGACATGAGTTCACCGCGCTTCACAACGATTTTCAAACCCGTTGCGAAATCCAGTACGCCAGCTGCAAACAGGGCGGCATATTCCGACACGCTATGCCCGAGCAAATATTCCGGCGTGCGACCGCCGTCTTCCAGATATTTCAGATATTGCAGGCTGTTAACGGCGTATAGCGCCGGTTGAGTATATTCGGTCTGGCTGAGTTTTTCGATCGGCCCATCTTTGCAAAGTCTGGCCAGATCATAACCAAGAATATCGTCCGCCTGTTCTTTCAAGTCCTTGAAACGGACGAAGATGTCTTGCCCCATTCCCAGGCGCTGAGCGCCTTGTCCGGGAAACATGCAGACGCTCATTCTGCCTCCAACTCGGCCTTACTCTTTACCCACTCGATTTTGCCTAGATCCAGTTTGACCACTCGGTCTGCGACTTTCCAGTACTTTTCATCATGGGTTGTAACTATGACAGTTTTCCCCTGCCTGCGAAGCTCGGGAAGAATGCCATTGTAAAAATGGTCGCGGAACTGGACATCCTGTTCAGCCGACCATTCGTCGAACACATAAACCGGCCTGTTTTCGAGAATGGCCGCGATCAACGCCAGGCGCTTTCTCTGTCCCGTCGACAACTGAAGCCGATTGAAACGCCCATCTTCAAATGTAACCTTCCCGGAAAGCTCCATCTCGGCAAGCAATTGATTGACCTGTCCCGGATCGATGCCTTCCAGACCATACAGCCGGTCGAAAAGATGAAAGTCGACAAAGACCGAAGAGAAAAGTTCGCGATATCCGGCGACCGCCTTGCCCGTGACTGTCTTGTCGTCAACACCGATCCAACCCGACTGCAAGGGAAGGAGACCGGTCATCATTCGCAATGCGGTCGACTTGCCGCTCCCATTGCCGCCAACCAGAAAGATGATTTCTGCCCGTGACACTGTGAGGTTCAACGGACCAACGACATATGCCTCCTCATCCATGGGATCGTAGCTGAAACGGATGCCGTTGAACGTTATCTTTGAAAAATCGAGATATTCCTTGCCGAGCGAGCGGGCCTGCTCCGGCGAAATGCTGGAACCGGACGAAAGTTCCCGGTCAATGGACAGGATCGACTGCAAACCGACTTCCGCGCGGATAAACATAGGCGACTGAGTAACGGTCTTTGCCAAGGTTCCCATGCAGAAAAGCAGGACCGGAACCAATTGAAAGATCGTCGCGTTGTGCCCTGCTATGTATTTTGGAAATGCAAAAGCGACGACGCCCAGCATCGTGAACATGGTCACGCTACCGAGCATGATCAAGGATACCCAATGCTCGACTGAACGGACCAGCAGGCGCTCCAGAAGCGTGGAGCGTTTGCGGTAGGCCTTGCCAAGCGCATCGCTCCGATCAGCGCTGAGCCGCAGCTCCTTGCTGCCGCTGATGGTGTCGAGGATGGCATCAAGCATTTCTGCCTGCATCCGCTCCACCAACTTCAAGATCTGACGGTACCGGCTGTCGATCACCTTGAAACCGATAACGCCGGCCCCGACGGTCGCCCCAAAGACAAAAAAGGCGGCGGGTGAGAGATAAAGAAGATAAAGCACTGCCACGAACAGCAGGACGACCTGCTGGACCGCATCAACGATAAGCGGGAACGTTACCGAAAGATGGTTGGTTTCCTTCGCTACCAGATTGTAAAGCCGCCCCCGATCAAGCCGGTCGACGACGGGCAGCTCTGACTTCCGCAATTTGTCGGCAACCTTCAGCCTCAACTGGTTCAGCAGATCTTCAATGATCGCCATGGACCGAACAAGCGCGAACTGATTGGCCAGGTAGTAGAGCCCGAAAGCACCCAGAAAGGACATCCATGCGACCAGATCGGGACGCTCCGCGTTGGCAACAGATTTTGCAACATTTGTTATGACCACGATGAGGGCGGCGTTGGCGCAGCCGGCGATGACGGTCAGCAGGATCATCCATCTGAGCTGATTGCGGTTCGCCCCTTTTACAAAATCAATCAGGACCATGACCTAACGCTCTCCATCCGGAAGGATCATGCCGAGATCCAGAACAATGCGTCGGTCGCAAAGGTGCCAATAGTGGTCGTCGTGGGTAACGGCCAGAACCGTCTTTCCGCGCGCTTTGAAATCGGGAAGAATTTCGGAATAGAACTTTTCCCGGAAATGGGCGTCCTGATCAGCAGCCCATTCATCAAAGATGTAGACTTCCCGATCTTCCAGCATGCCGACGATCATGGCCAGACGCTTGCGCTGACCGGTCGACAGGTCCCGCGTCGTAAAGCGGTCATTTTCAAATCCGACCTTGCCGCCAAGCTGCATGCGCTCGATCAAGCGCTCCACTTCTTCCGGTTCGACATCTCCGATCCCGTAAAGACGGTCGAACAGGTGGAAGTCCGTGAAGACGCATGAGAAGATCTCCCGATATTCCTGCCGGTTGGTATCTTCGACAGGGATGCCGTCGCACAGGATTTGGCCGGCATCCGGCGTGTACAGCCCCGTCAGCAATTTCAGCGCCGTGGACTTTCCGGATCCGTTCCCGCCCGTCAGAAAAACGACTTCTCCGCGATTTAGAGTCAAATCGAGAGGTCCCGCCTTGAAGGAGACGCTTCCATCCAGATCTGCATATTTGAACTCGACGCCTGCCAGTTCAATCTTGGAAAAGCCACGGAAGGCGGACCGTTGCCTCGGCCTGGGCTCGATTGGCAGCGATGCCCCATGATCAAGCTTCTTTTCCAGCGCGTAGACATGCCCCAAACCTGCCTCCGCACGACCTATGAGACGGACAACCGAAAAGATTGCCGCTATGGGGCCCAATGCAAACACGGAGGCTGCCGTGATCTTGTAGATGCTATCGTCGTAGCCGTCGAAAAAAACAGGGAGGACAAAGACGACGATGCCGACCAGCAGGAAGATAAAGGCGTTGCTGAATTGCAGGAGCGTTACCCAACGGCCCCCGAGCTCGGTGACCACATCTTTGAGCCGGTCCGTAACGCCGGAGAAATGATTGAAAAGCGCTTCATTCTTGTCTGCGTTCAGCCGGATTTCCTGAAACCCAAGCGTAAAATGCATCAGGCTGTCGAGCATTTCAGCTTCCCGATGATGGACTTCCGCCAGGGACGCTGTCAAAGCCCGTTGCCGCGCCATAAAGACTCGCGCGCCAAAGAACGAAAAGGCTGCAATGACAAAGAAAGAAATCAGCGAAATCGAGGCAATATAGAAAAACAGGAACAGGACCAGCAGAGCACTTTGAGCCGCGCCAATCAACAAAGGCAGCGTTTGCGAAAGATGGTCGGTTTCCTGAGCGACCGTGACGTAGATGTCGCCTTTTCCAAGCCGCTCCAGTGTCCGGAGATCCGCCATCCGGATTTTGCGAACGATTCGACGCCGGGTGGCTTCCAGACGCGATTGCACGAACCGGTTCGCCTGTTTCAGCGCGGAACGATTGGAGATAAGGAAAAACAGCAGTGTCAGGACATAAACGACAAGCAGGCGTGGTTCGACATCGAGGCCGAACAGCGACTGCTCGGCCGCCTCGTTGACGAGACCGACCAGACCGGCATTTCCAAGCCCGGTCAAACCGGCAAAAACAAAGATCATTCGGCGGCTGGCTGGTGGGCCATCCCTGAGCAGGCGGAAGATATTCATACCAAACCTGCCATGATGGTTTGCCCCTCTCGCACCCGGGCTCGCCGGACATTTTGATTCGGCTCGCTGCCATTGAAACCGGCAAGATCGCCGTACCCCTGCAAAAGTCAGTATTCACAACTAGCGTTGCGTTGCCTAGAGGGCAAAAGCACAATTTTTTCAATCTCTAATGCTCTTTTCCCCAAGGAGAAGCGTCGTAGCTGCAGCACCGATTGAGGGCGACCCGGCGAAAGACACAGCGAACTCCACCCGCAATTGGGCACATAACATCCGGTTTCCTGACATTGGGCGTGGATGAAGTACGCTTCTGCAAGTTTTTCCGGCTTTATTTCTTGTCGGTTTTCAATTTACTGTAGCTGATGATTGCTGTTGTTATCTGGTCGCTCTGCCGATCCATTTCGAACAGAATCCACTGTGCAACAAAGCCGAAACGGCCCAAGACTGCTGTTTGCGACCCTCTTTGAAGGCGTACACTCAACATGCAACAAATTCGCGACTTTATTGAAGATCAATTTTTGATTGAGTTCGACGAATCTTTCCCTGAAACCTCGGATCTTTTTAAAGAAGGTGTGATGGACTCGTTTGGATACATCCAGCTCATCCGCTTTTTGGAAAAGGAATTCGACATCAAGTTCTCCGAGCAGGAGATGACAGCGAATGTTATGGTCAGTTTGAGCCTGATCGAGAAAACTGTCAGTCGAAAATTGTCAGAATCAATCACTGATTGACCTTGGACAGGCGGAAGTTTCATGTGCGGTATTGCCGGTATTATCGACCCCTCTCGCGTCGCCGACACGCTTGTCAATGATGTCCAGAATATGCTCGCCCAGATCGGGCACCGGGGACCGGACGGAGCAGGCTGTGTGGTCGATAATGGTTTTGCCCTGGGCAGCGTCCGGCTGGCCATTTTGGATCCCGCTGCCGGACAGCAACCGTTTTCAGATCCTTCGAACCGCTATTGGCTCAGTTACAACGGTGAAATCTACAATTACCTGGAGCTGAAATCCGAGCTGGAAGCCATGGGCTGCCGATTTCAGACCAACTGCGATACCGAAGTCGTTCTGAACGCCTGGATAACCTGGGGGCCTGATTGCCTGCGCCGCTTCAATGGCTGTTTCTCATTTGCTGTTTACGACTGCAAGACAGAAAGCCTGTATCTCGCACGTGATCGCTTCGGCAAACGGCCGCTTTTCTATGTCCGCCAAGGAAATGCTTTCTATTTTGCCTCCGAAATGAAGGCGTTCCTGGCTATTCCGTCTATCTCCTTTGAACAGGACGCCGGCCAGCTTGCGTCGATCCTGTGTGTCTGGACGCCCCTTCCCGACCAAACGGGCTTTAGGGAGATCAAGAGCCTTCCGATGGGCCAATGGCTCACATTGAAAAACGGTGATTTGACAACTGAAAGCTATGCCGAACTTCGTTTCGACGAAGAGCCTCAGCCCGATGACGAACATGCGGCTCAAGAACTCATTCGGGAGCGAATGAACCGCAGCGTTGAGCTGCGTCTGCGCAGCGATGTTGAAGTCGGGGTATATCTCAGCGGCGGCATCGACTCCTCGATCGTCGCGCTGCTTGCGAAAGACTTCTCGGCAAAACCCCTGTCAACGTTTTCCGTCGAATTTGATGACGCGGAATTCGATGAATCATCTGATCAGCAGCTGATCTCTGAATATCTCGGAACTCGGCACTGTGCTGAACGAATCTCTTATCAGGACATTTGCGATCAAACCCCTGCAGCCGTGTATCACGCTGAAGTTCCGGCATTTCGAAGCGCATTTGTTCCAATGTATATTCTCTCCGACCGGACCCGCCGCGAGGGTGTCAAGGTTGTGCTGAGCGGTGAAGGAGCCGACGAAGCGTTCCTTGGCTACGACCTTTTCAAGGAAACACTGTTACGCACCTCCTGGGACCAGCTTTCCGGGGAGGTGCGCCGGTCCCGGATCCAGAAACTTTACCCGCATCTCGCGCATTATGGCCCCGAAGACACAGCTGCAATGACAGGCCTTTATCAGCAATTTTCCAAGGAACGCATGCCGGGCCTGTTTTCGCACGAGCTGCGATTTCAGAACGGACAGTTTTCAACGCGGCTTTTGAAGGACAAGAACACTCCGCTTGCAGCGATAACTGACCTGATATCGTCCACTCCGGACTACGATGCACTCTCTCCGGTCGAGAAAGCCCAGTGGCTGGAATACAAAACGTTGCTACCCGGCTACCTGCTTTCGACACAGGGCGAAAGGATGAGCCTTGCGCATGGTGTGGAGAACCGCTGTCCGTTTCTGGATCCGGGCGTTTTTTCCCTGGCAACGGCCATCAATCTGAAGTTCGACGATGGTTTACGGGAAAAACGGCTTTTGCGGGAAGCTTTCCGCAACCGCCTTCCAGACAGGATCATCGACAAGCGCAAGTTCCCCTATCGGGCTCCGGACGCGGCCGCCTTTGCAAAGCACCAACCCGACTACCTGGATCTTGTCTTGAGTGATGCGGAGCTTGCCAAACTGCCATTCCTGAATGCCGCATTTGCCAAACGTCTTGCCAACAAGGTGCTGACCAAACCAGCCAGCGACATCAGCACAAAGGAAAACCAGACGTTTCTTTATCTGCTTTCAATCAGTCTGTTGCATCGCTCATTTGTGCGCCGGGAAACCCTGCCGCACGCAACATTGCCTCCGCTGGAAAAGGTTATCAATCTCCAGCGGGAAACTGCCGCTTAGGAACGGCCTTACCTTTCCCACGGGAATTTAAGTTCGCTGACATAGCGCCGAATTCCAGCCAGCACGCCCGGATCTGAAAACATATCCCGGTTTGCAACCAAGGCGGCCGCCTTGTCCTCCTCCGGGTTTCCGCTGCAGGCAGCCAAATAGGCTTTGTAGCGAGCGATCGCAGGCTTCTGAAGGTGGGCCAATCGCACGAGATGTTGCCTGAGCGCGGCCTCGGTATTTTCGGTCAGGGCATCCACAAGTCCAACCTCACGGGCTTTTTGCGCATCGACCGGCTTTGTCATCAACGTCATGTAATGTGCAGCTTGACGACCAACGCGCCTGATCAGGAACGGAAGAACACACGCCGGAAACAGTCCAAACAACAACTCAGAAAGCGCGAAACTCGCACTCTTGTCGGCAATGACGACATCCGATGCAGCCACGAAACCAACACCTCCGGCGTTAACCCTCCCCCGCACCAGGCAGATAGACACATAAGGACCGCGGGACAGTTTCGACCACACATCATAGAGAGGTTCCGGATCGCCGGCAGACCCTGTGTTCGAAATTGCCTCGAAATCGCCCCCGGCGCAAAACACATCACCCTGGCCCTCTAGCACCACCACGGTTACCGGCTCTGAGGCGGGCCCCTGTTCTTCCGTGCACCTGGTCAAGACCTCAGACATCTCTTCGACCATGCGGGCATTAATCGCATTTCCGGCCTCCGGCCGATTCAAGCAAATGCGGCATATGTTTTGTTGAAAGGTAACGTTCAACGTGTCGTAAGCCATGCGGGCCTCCAGAAGGTTACGGCGCCGCGATTACCAATGCCGTATTGATGCCGCCAAAACCGAAAGAGAACTTCAGGGCGTGACGGATTTCGTGCGAAACCGGTTCTGCCTTGACCCAATCAAAGCTTTCATCAATTGGATTTTCCAGGTTCCGTGTGGGGTGAAGCCGACCTTCCTTTATCTGCAACAGGACGGCCGCCAATTCCAGTGCTCCGGCAGCGCTCATGCCGTGACCAACGATGGATTTGGTTGCGTTGATCCGTGCATGGTGCAGTTCGAGAGAGTGATAGGTCCTGCACTCTTCAAAGTCTCCCTGCGGAGTTCCCGTTGCGTGCCCGTTTACGAAATCAATTTGTTTGGCGGTCAAGCCGGCTTGCGCCAGAGCATTCAAAGCCGCGCGCACTTGTCCCTCGGAATTCGGTTCCGGGCCTCGGCTTCCATCGGCAATATGTCCGGCACCGATGAGATCACCATAGGAATTGTGAGACATGGACAGGTCCTTGCGCATCAAAACCAGCGCAGCACTAGCTTCGCCATAGATAAAGCCGTTGTGCGCAAGGTCCATCGGGCGGCAGGCTTCTCCGGGCCGTGCCGCATGATCTGCACCACCCATGACACCCAGTGACCGCATGGCATGCAGATCATAGCCTGAAAGATCCTGAAGCGCTCCAAGTGCGATACAGACATCCACCCTGCCGGAACGCACAGCGTCCATCGCCTGAATCACGGCCACCGATCCGCTGGCTGATGCCGCATCCACGCTCTGGGAAAAACCGCGGATTGGGAGGACGGAGGTGCAAAGACCGGAAATATCAGAGCTCAGAAACATGTGGCCGTGGCGTGGCGGTACAAATTCCAGCTTGTCTTCATATCTTTGTGCGGCCAGCGCCTGTTCGCGCGACATGGGGCTGCTGCTTCCGACCACAAGTCCGATCCGCTCGGGATCGACCTGATCAAGTCCCGCATCTTGCCAGGCTTCCTGTAACACGGCCATGGCAACACGGTTGCTCAGCGTGGCGGTACGGGCCAAACGTGCAGGTAGTACATTTGGCGGCTCGTCCAACTCGACACCAACAAAGGGCGGTTCTCCGCCGGCCGGTTCACGCCCGTGCCGGGTCAATTCGGAAAATACACCGCGAGCTTCAAACAGTCCTTGCAGAAATGCGGCCTTACCGTATCCAAGGCCGCTGGCAACACCTATCCCCGTTACCGCAATCCTCACCCTGTCATCCGGCGCTTTTGACAAGGAGCAAATCCGCCAGTTCCTGAATGTCTTTGGGCCCATGTAACTGAACCATCGGAATTTTCAGGTCCAACCGTTCCATTGCCGCCAAAATGACTTCGCTGCGCTCGATGGAGTTTACGCCCAGGTCCACCATGGAATCGCTTGCGGAAATCGGTTGACCTTCCAACTCGGGAACAGTCTCCCGAATTTCTTCAATCAGGATATTGATGATTTCGGTGTTATCCAATGGGCTCCCCATCCTCCGGTCAGATCCATTTGTAGTTCCGCTGGTAGTTCACCAGATTATCGAGAACAAGCAAATCCCCGTTGCCGGACACAGGCCAGGCAGACGGGATGATCTGATGATCCAATTCGGCATCTTTCGTACCAAACCTGACAACTGACTTTCCCGAAAGCAACATTTCATATTCTTCGATCGAAAGCCGGTATCGTCTGTCCAGTTTTTCCGCGATCCGCATTTCCTTTAGCAAACTCTGGCTCTTTGATGTCGCCACACCGCTGAAAAATTCCGAGCAACAACCTGAGCCATAGGAAAACAGGCCAATGCGGATGGGCTCATTGACCTCACCGGCATCCAGCGTTCCGGCAAGGGCAACAAATACAGAGCCGCCCGCCGTGTTTCCAACCCTTTGTCCAAATGTCAGGCTCGGGCTCAGCCTCTGTTCAAAATCCTCCTGAATTTCCTCAGGATTCGCCTTATGGAGTTTTCGCATCAACTGCCTGTGCGCCCCCTTGACCATGCCGCCAAAAGGTGTGTGAAAGCAAAGCTGCGAAAAGGTCGATTTGAAATCAGCGCCCTGAACCCGATCGGAATAGTCCTTGAATGCTCCTGCACAGCAATCGAGATAAGCCATCAGAGAGAGATCTGCATCCCCTGCTTCCGTATCCGGACCAGGCCGGCAGGTATCCATGACCTCGAAGGCGTAATTGCCATAAGCGCCGACATCGAGTTGCAGGATTTCCGGCATGTCCGAGACCAGCATCGCAACAGCACCGGCGCCTGAACTGGGCTCAGAGTAAGCCCATTCCTGCACGGCGTTGGCATCGGCCAGCGCGAAGCGGGAAATGTCGGTGGTTATCACCAGTGCCAGCGCGCCGGGAGACGTCTGCGACAATATGAAATTCACCGCCATCTGCAGGCCAGCAGCACCTGAGTAACAGGCTTGTTTTATCTCAAACAGGCGACAATTTGGCTGCAAATCCAGAAGTTTGTGAACATGAGTACTGAGCGATTTTCCGAAATCCAGACCGGATTCGGTGCAGGTAATAACCATCTCAATGCGCGAGCGTTCCTGCTCACTGAGTTGATCGACTATCGGTTTGGCCGCATTTACAGCGAATGTGACCGGGTCCTCATAGGGTAGCGCTACGGTCTTCTCCTGCATGAGCAGATTCTCGAACCGGGGAGTATCGAGACCCCGGTGAATGCAAAGCTCACGAACATCCAGACACGCCATGCCGCCGAAGACGTTGATGGCTTGAATTCCGGCAAGTCCGCTCATGCCGCGGCTTTTACTTTGACCGGCAAGCGGCCCAGGCCGCGCGCATTCATCCGGTCCAGCCGCCACTCCGGTTCTCCGGCCAGCTCAATCTGTGGATATTTTTCCAAGAACCTGGAAAAGGCGATCTGTGCTTCCAGCCGGGCCAATGGTGCGCCGATGCAGAAATGCGCCCCTCCGCCAAAAGTGAACTGTGCATTCGCCGGGCGGGCAATATCAAGCGCGTCCGCGTTTTCAAAGCGGCCCGGATCCCTGTTGATTGCACCGATCAACCCGATGACCGGCGCGCCCTTCGGGATGGTCACTCCTTCGACGTCGAAATCCTCGCGCGCGACCCGCAAGATCATGTTCCCCCCCGGTTCCATGCGCAAAAACTCCTCGATCGCGGTTCTTGTCAATCCGGGATCTGATCGCAATCTGGCCAATTCGTCCGGATTGGACAAGAGGAGCAGCATGCCATTGCCGATCAAAGTCACTGTGGTTTCGTGCCCAGCCACCAGCATAGACACCAGATTGGTCAGAGTTTCCTCCTCATCAAGCGTACCGTTCTTTTGTGCCTGAATGGCAAGGCCCATAAGATTGTCTTCGTTGTTGTTTTCCCGCTCCTTGATCTGCTGACGCAGAAAATCCTTGAACTCCGCCAGAGCTTCCATCGCCTCCGATTTCTGTTCCGGTGTCATCAGGATATCTCCGATCCGGATAAGAGACGCGCTCCAGCGGCTGATCGTGTCATCAAGGCTTTCCGGAATATCAAAAAGCTCGCACAGCACACGAAGCGGCAGAGGGGCCGCAAATGCCTCGATGAAATCAATTTCTCCCTTGTCAGGCATTGCTGCCAACAGCCTGGATGCCTGATCAGCAATCAACGGTTCCAGCCGGGACATGGCCTGCGCTCGAAACGCCGGTTCATAGACCTTGCGCATGCGCTTGTGTTCTTCCCCGTCGGAATTGATCATCTGGGGCTGAAATTCACTGAACAGCATGTAGCCGACCGGGTCATGTTGCCGGTAATCCTCGGAGTTCCAACCTCCGGTCCAGTTCCGCGTGTCGCGCCCCATAGCCGAGGATTTCGAAACACGCGCGAACGCCTTGTGACCGAGTACGAAATATATGCCGTTCTTCCGATCAAAATGCACTGGACCTTTGGCCTGCAAGCGGCGAAGTTCCGAATATGGATTTTCCAAGAACGTCTTGTCCGAGAGGATCGACCACCAATCAATGGCATCATCGCAATTGCTGTCGCTTTCCGTCTCCGGAAGGATCCCATCCAACGGGCTATCTTCAGCCATTCCTGCTCTCTGCTGGGAGTAATAAGAAGACGGGTTTTTGTGTCTTATGCGGGAAGTGTTTCGTATTTGCACCTTATCGTCAAGGAAGTAAGAGACTATCTCAGACAACATGAAACTCAGAGCAATAAGCGACCTCCATCTGGCAAGTCCGTCCAATCGCGAGGCGCTCGATGAACTGCAGACGGCGCCCGACGACTGGCTTATCGTTGCGGGCGACATCGCGGAACGGTTTGAACACATCAAATTCGCATTTGAGGTTTTTGAACGGAAATTCGCCAAGGTATTCTGGGTTCCCGGCAATCACGATCTTTGGGCGATCCCGGAAGAGAGAGATCAGCCTGCGCTTGCAGGAGAAGCAAGATATCTGGCGCTGGTCGAGCTCGCGCGCCAATATGGCATCCATACACCTGAAGACCCTTATGAGACTTGGAATGGCCCGGGAGGTGCGCATGTGGTCGCGCCGCTGTTTCTTCTGTACGACTACAGTTTCCGGCCACAGGATATCAAGCGGGACGATGTTGTCGCCTGGGCGCGCGCGCAAAACTCGGTGTGTGCGGACGAAACCTTTCTCGATCCGGCCCCCTGGGACAGCCGGGAGGATTGGTGCGCCAGCCGGTGTAGGGAAACCGAATTGCGCCTTCAGGAAGTCCCCGACGGGATGCCGACAATTCTGATCAACCACTATCCGCTCCGCCGGGACCTGATCCATATTCCCCGGATACCGCGGTTTACACCCTGGTGCGGGACTGTCAGAACGGAAGACTGGCATCAGCGGTTTAATGCCAAAGTGGTCGTTTCGGGCCATTTGCATACACGTCGGACAGATTGGCGTGACGACACCCGCTTTGAAGAGGTTTCGCTCGGCTATCCGAAACAATGGGACAGACGGCTCGGTATCGAAGCCTATTTGCGTGATATTCTGCCTGGTGAATAGTCAGGCTTGAGCGAGGTTCCGAAGAAACTCCATCGGAGCCGGTCCTGCTTCTACCCTGAGATTTGCCTTTGCAGGGTGGCGGACCGCCAGAGCCATCAAATGATCCGGACCGGGCTGGTAGCGCTCAAAGTGCCAATGGTCCGGATCGTCTGCCGACCGGTCCAAAAAGGTGATATTGAGGCCATTCAGATCAAACTCAAACGCATCAAGCGGTTGAGAAAGGCCTTTTCCGATCGCTTTCACGTAGGCTTCTTTCAGCGTCCAGTAGGCCAAAAAAATGTCGAGCTTTTTCTCCTTGCACGCGCGCTGAACGTCCCGGCGTTCGCTTTCTGCAAACATGCGTTGCGCAAGTTCATCAACCATGGCATCGCGATGGCGCCATTCAACGTCGACGCCGATATCGTGTTCGCTGGTCAATGCGACTGCTGCCAGCCCTCTCGTGTGAGATATGTTAACGCGGATCCTCGGGCCACCTGCCGGGGATATCAGCTCCGGCTTGCCGTGATCTTCAATGGAGAAGCGCCAGTTCTTGGCAGGTTGACCCAGATGGTAGCTCAGGAGACCGCGGCAAATCCCGTGAGCGGCGATGTAGATTTGCCGATCCCGTTCGAAATGAAACCGTCCGGCCCTGGCCAATTCTTCATCGACCAGCAATGCCTCCAGCATTTCCAGATCGCCCTCGGTGAGGTGTTCCAGCAGCAACCACCATGCGGCGACCCCGTCTTTGCTCACCAGTGCATTGCCATCTCTCACAGCACCATGCGACAAGAAGCCTTCGCTAGGTTGTCTGCCTCCCAGGGTCTTCCGCATGCTCTCAAGTTCCTCTTCCTTGCCCGTCGCATTCTGTTTTGCCGGGCAAGGTTCTCAATACTTCCATATGGCGGCGGCCTTCCTGAAGACCTATCCGGTCTTCAGGCAGTGGATGGATATCGGTGACCGGATCGTCCAAAATGCGCAAGGGTTTTCTGTTCTGGATATCATCTATTCCGACGAACACGGCATCAGCGATCCCTTTGACCGTCTGGAACATTCCCATCCCGCGCTCTTTATCACCCAGTTTGCAGTGGCAAAACTTTTGCAGAACCAGGGCGTCAGGCCCGATCTTCTGCTTGGGGCCAGCCTGGGTGAATTTGTTGCCATGAGCGTTTCCGGCATGTTGCCGTTTGAAACGGCCTTGAGAGCTGTGGCATGCCAACCTGCGCTCTTTGAAAAGTCCGCTCCCAAAGGCGCCCTGATCGGGACCCTGGCATCGGCAAGTGTACGATCGCAGTCAAAGATATTGGCAGAAAGCACAGAGATTGCCGGCAAAAACGGCGCCAGCCACTGTGTTCTGGCGTGCCGGAAAGCTGATCTGGAAACGGTTCTTGGAGAGCTGCGGAGGTTGGACATCTCCTTTCAGACACTTCCCGTCCCTTTTGCCTTTCATTCGCGCTGGATCGAACCAGCCAAACAGGACTTCCTGAATACGGTCTCCGGCTTGCACTTTGAAACGCCCTTTTGGCCGGTCTGGTCTTCCTGTCTTTGCCGCGACGTGCAACAGGCCGACGGCAGGCAGCTCTGGAATATTGTCAGGCAGCCCATGCAGTTGCAGGCAACGCTGCATGCCATCGAGGCCAGGGGCGGTGCCCGATACATCGACCTCAGTCCCACAGGAACGCTGGCGGCCGTATTCCGACAAGAGTTGTCTGAAAAAAGTGCGTCAGAGGTGGTGCCCCTCATGTCGCCCTATGGGGGAGATCTGAAACGGATCGAGGCCCTCTTTCCCGCCAGTCCGTAGCGGCCGGAACGTTGCCTACCTGCGACTGAACCGCAGCGGCAGGGTCTGCAATCCGCGCTGATTGGTCCGGTCCGTCCACCAGACCGGTTCTCCTGCCAATTCGATTTTTGAGAAATTTCGTATCAATTCGCTGAATGCCACTTCGACCTCGAGCCGCGCCAATGCTGCACCGATGCAAACATGCGGCCCGCCGCCAAAAATGGATTGCGCATTTGGCCGCCGCGCAACGTCAAATGTTTCAGCCTTGGCAAAGCGGGCTGGATCCCTGTTAATCGCACCAACCAGGCCAAGCACCAGGGATCCTGACGGTATTGACACACCGTGACTTTCGAAATCCTCGATTGCCACGCGCAGGATGAAATTTATAGCCGGTTCAAAGCGGAGGATTTCCTCAATCGCCGTTCGCATCAGATCCGGTTGTGTGCGCAGGCGGTCGAATTGATCCGGGTGGTTCAAGAGCGTCAATAGACCGTTGCCGAGAACGTTGACCGTTGTCTCATTGCCAGACACGAGCCCCTTGAGATTGTTCAGGGTTTCGTCCTGATCCATGACTCCGGCATCCCATGCTTCGATCGCCAGGCTGATCAACCGATTGTCCGGGTTGCCACGCTGTTCCTCCAAATGAGACTTCAGGAACCGCTTGTAGCCCTTAAGCGCTTTCAAGGCGTCTTGCTTTTGATCCTGTGACATCATGATGTCACCGATCTTGATCAGCGAGGCATTCCACTCCGCGAGCTGGGGGTCCATTTCCGGTGAGATATGAAACAGATTGCGGACCACCCGAAGCGGAAAAAGGTTCGCAAAGACCGTCATGAAATCGACCGGAGTTTCCTCGGGGATGTCCTCGAGCAGCAAACACGCTTCCCTTTCGATCATGGGCCGAAGCGGCGGAATGTCAGCAGGGCGGAACGCTTTTTCATATACATCGCGCATCCGCCGATGATCCGGCTGGTCCGAATTCACCATCTGGCGCTGAAATTCACTGAAGAGTTCGTAGCTCAGCGGATCGCGCTGCTTGCTTTCCGGTCTGCTCCAACCGTTTTTCCAAAGCCTGGTATCGCGGCCCATTTTTGATGAGCGGACCATGGAATTGAATTCTTCATGGCCGAGAACGAAATAGATATCCGACGGCGCATCATAGTGAATCGGCCCGAGTTCCCGAATGCGCCGCAAATGCGGATGCGGATCAACGAGATATCCCGGATCGGTTAGCATGCCCCACCAGTCAATCTGCTGGCCCGCGTCCTGATCCATCAAGCGTTTCCCAAGGTTATCGGCAAGGCATCCAGCCCATGCTGGTCGGCCCTGTGCTTCCACCACTCGGGCTCCCCGGCCAGCTCGATCCTGCCGAAGCGATCCATCAAGGCGTTGAACAGCACCCGGGCAGTCAAACGGACAAGTGCCTTGCCGATGCAAATATGTGCTCCGACTCCAAAAACGACGTGCGGGTTCGGGTATCGCGTCACATCGAAACGATCAGGATCCCTGTAGGTTCTGGGGTCCCGTCCGATTGCTGTGACCAGGCCGATCGCCAACGCTCCTTGCGGTATCAAAACATCACCACACTGGTAGTCGTCAATGGCCACGCGCAGGATGAAACTGCACCCGGGTTCAAAGCGCAGCATTTCCTCGATGGCCGTTTCCAACAGCTCGGGATTGCGACGCAGCAGTTCGAATTGGTCCGGGTGACGCAAAAGGGTCAAAAGCCCGTTTCCAAGCAGTGTGGCCGTTGCGATACCGCCTGAAATCAGTGTCATGAGGTTGTTGAGGCACTCATCTTCATCCATGACGCCGTCGGAGTACGCTTTGATCGTTGCACCAAAAAATCCGTCATTCGGGTCGTCAATTCCGGAAGCCATTCGCTCCCTGACGTAATTCCTGAACTCGGTAAGTGCTTTCAGGGCATCCTGTTTTTGCTGCGGAGTGATGATTACGTTGCCGATCACGCTCAGAGCATCGACCCAGCGCGCAAGATCCGCATCCATGGATTTTGGAATATTGAAGATACGTTTTGAGATGTTCCGTGACAACGGATCTGCAACCGTCTGCATGAAGTTGAATGATTGCTCAAACGGCAAGGTGTCCAGGATTTTGCGGCATTCATCCTCGATCATCGGGATCAAGGCCTGAATATCTGTCCTTCGAAAGGCTTTTTCGTAAACATCCCGCATTCGGCGATGGTGCGGTGCATTCGCATTGGTCATCTGGGGCTGGATTGTGTTGTACAATTCGTAACCGACCGGATCGGCTTTCTTGTTTTCCGGATTGTACCAGCCGCCTGACCACAAACGCGTGTCACGGCCCATATCCGTAGACAGGGCCATTTTCTTGTATTCCGGGTAGCCTAAAACAAAATAGATCCCTGAAACGGGATCAAATTGCACCGGCGCTCTTTCACGAATTACACTCAGTTTTTCATAAGGACTGGCCAGAAATGCATCGTCTGCAAACATTTCCCACCAGTCGATATCGGGGCTATTCAGAGCAGCGATGCCATCAGCACTGATTTCCAGATTAGAACCGTCGGACACACACCCCACCCCCAATGATTGATAGAATTCTCACTACACCATAGAAGTGAATTCTTTTCCAACGAATATGCTTGTCAGGCCGGCGTCAATTTCAGGGGCAGTGAACTCAATCCGCGTTGATCACTCCGGTCAGTCCACCATGTTGCATCGCCCGCCAGCTCAATCCTACTGTAGCGGTCCATCAGAGCATTAAATGCCACTTCCGTCGTCATGCGCGCCAACGCCTTGCCGATGCAGATATGAGGGCCACCGCCAAAAGCGGAGTGATGGTTCGGCTTGCGCGTGATGTTGAACGTGTCCGGATCGTCAAAGCGCGCCGGATCGCGATTGATAGCTCCAACAAGGCCAATCGCCAGCGCCCCGGCAGGAATGCACACATCTCCACACTGGAAATCTTCCACCCCGGCCCTCGGAATGATGCTGCTTCCCGATTCATAACGCAGCATTTCCTCGATTGCCCTTGGCATCAAGCTCCGGTCCGCCCGTAATTTCTCCATCTGGTCAGGGTGCTTCAAAAGCGTCAGCAAACCATTTCCCAGGAGCGTGAGCGAGGTTTTGCTACCGGCAATCAACATCACCACGTTGTTGAGGGTTTCCTCCTCATCCATGGTACCGTCGTCCGCAGCTGCCAGGGCCATTCCGACGAAACCATCGCCGGGATTCTTCCTCAGGCCTTCCAAGTGCTCCTTGACGAACTGCTTGAATTCCTGATTTGACTTCTTGACGTTCCGCTTCTGCTCCGGTGTCATCACGATGTTGCCCAGCCAGCTCAGGTCGGAAATCCACTTACCGATCTGAGCTTCCATTTCCTCTGGAATATCGAACAGTTTCAAAGAGATCCGGTTCGGCAGCGGGTTGCCGAACAGATCCATGTATTCGAACGCCTCGCTTTCCGGCAATCGGTCCAGAAGCTTGCGGCACTCGTCCTTGATCATCGGCAGATAGCGCATCATGTCGCGCGGACGGAACGCCTTGTCGAACACACCCCGCATCCTGCGGTGATCGGGCTGGTTCGCATTGATCATCTGCGGCTGAAAATCAACAAACAGCTCATACGTTTCCGGGTCATTCTGCCGGTTTTCAGGACTGCTCCAGCCATTTCTCCAGTAGGTCGTGTCCCGGCCCATACTGGACGTCTTGGCCATCAGGCCAAATTCCTTGTGCCCGAGAACGAAATATATCCCCGACTGGGGGTCGAACTGGACAGGCGCCAGCTCGCGTATCCGCTTCAACTCCGGATAGGGATTTTTCAAAAACTCCGGGTCGGTCAACATCGTCCACCAGTCGATGTCGAAACATGGAGCCGTCGAAGCCCCGGCCCCTTTGTCGTCACCGGCATCGGGTGAAGGACTGTTTTCCACGTGGACTTCAGACATTTAATTGGCTCCGGCACTCACTCGAACGAAGGGTGTTAAGGCGTGCAATCACTCACAGACCGGGCCACTAACGTTCGGCTCGATACTGCCTGCGGTCCCGACAGGGCGCAAGACTGAACCGGATGG